AGGACGGGCCTATTCTCCATCGATAATGAAGTCTATTGATACTATTCTCCATGGATGATAAGTCCATTAAGCACCGATTTGGGCCAATTAATTTTCGGATAGCATTTTCGTAATTTTTTGGGCGACGAAAGGCCATTTTCTCTGCATTTTGAAGGTTACAGATCACGAATTCGGCCTGAGGCTATTCTTCAACGATGATTAAGTCCATTAAGCGCCGATTTGGGCAAATTTATTCCGGGTCCATTTTTTGCAGATTCCAAAGGGGTACCATCACAGATTTCGGGCAATTTTTCCGAAATGCCATTTTCTTTCGATTCTGGAGGCTGCAGATCACGGAATCAGGCCGAGCCTATTCTCAACCGATAATAAAGTGTATTGATACTATTCTCCACGGAAGATAATTCCATTAAGCACCAATTTGGGCCAATTTATTTTCGGATGGCATTTTCGTAATTTTTTGGGCGACGAAATGCCATTTTCTTTGGATTTTGAAGGCTACAGATCACGGATTCGCCCTGAGGCTATTCTTCAACGATGATTAAGTCCATTAAGCGCCGATTTGGGCGAATTTATTCTGTGTCCATTTTTGTCAGATTCCAAAGGGGTACCATCACAGATTTCGGGCGATTTTTCCGAAATGTCATTTTCTTTCGATTATGGATGCTGCAGATCAGGGAATCAGGCCGAGCCTATTCTCCACCGATAATGAATTCTATTGATCCTATTCTCCACGGATGATAAGTCCATTAAGCACTGATTTGGGCCAATTTATTTTCGGATGGAATTTTTGTATTTTTTGGGCGACGAAAGGCCATTTTCTTTGGATTTTGAAGGCTATTGATCACGGATTAGAACTGAGGCTATTCTTCACCAATGATTAAGTCCATTAAGTGCTGATTTGGGCGAATTTATTCCGGGTCCATTTTGGGCAGATTCCAAAGGGGTACCATCACCGATTTCGAGCGATTTTTCCGAAATGCCATTTTCTTTCGATTATGGATGCTGCAGATCACGGAATCAGGCCGAGCCTATTTTCCACCGATAATGAAGACTATTGATCCTATTCTCCACGGATGATAAGTCCATTAAGCACCGATTTGGGCCAATTTATTTTCGGATGGCATTTCATATTTTTTGGGCGACGAAAGGCCATTTTCTTTGGATTTTGAAGGCTATTGATCATGGATTAGGCATGAGGCTATTCTTCAACGATGATTAAGTCCATGAAGCGCCAATTTGGGCGAATTTATTCCGGGTCCATTTTTGACAGATTCCAAAGGGGTACCATCACAGATTTCGGGCGATTTTTCTGATATGCCATTTTCTTTCGATTATGGAGGCTGTAGATCACGGAATCATGCCGAGCCTATTTTCCACCGATAATGAAGTCTATTTATCCTATTCTCCACGGATCATAAGTCCATTAAGCACCGATTTGGGCCAATTTATTTTCGGATGGCATTTTCGTAATTTTTTGGGCGACGAAAGGCCATTTTCTTTCGATTTTGAAGGCTACATATCACTCATTTGCCCTGAGGCTATTCTTCAACGTTGATTAAGTCCCTTCAGCACCGATTTGGGCGAATTTATTCCGGGTCCATTTTGGGCAGATTCCAAAGGGTTACCATCACAGATTTCGGGCGATTTTTCCAAAATGCCATTTTCTTTTGATTTTGGAGGTTGCAGATCACGGAATCAGGCGGAGCCTATTCTCCACGGATCATAAGTCCATTAAGCACCGATTTGGGCCAATTTATTTTCCGATGGCATTTTCGTAATTTTTTGGGCGACGAAAGGCCATTTTCTTTCGATTTTGAAGGCTATTGATCACGGATTAGGCCTGAGGCTATTCTTCAACGATGATTAAGTCCATTAAGCGCCGATTTGGGCGAATTTATTCCGTGTCCATTTTCGGCAATTCCAAAGGTGTACCATCACAGATTTCAGGCGATTTTTCTGAAATGCCATTTCTTTCGATTATGGATGCTGCAGATCACGGAATCAGGCCGAGCCTATTCTCCACCGATAATGAAGTCTATTGATCCTATTCTCCACGATTGATAATTCCATTAAGCACCGATTTGGTCCAATTTATTTTCAGAGGGCATTTTCGTATTTTTTGGGCAACGAAAGGCCATTTTCTTTGGATTTTGAATGCTATTGATCACGGATTAAGCCTGAGGCTATTCTTCAACGATGATTAAGTCCATTAAGCGCCGATTTCGGCGAATTTATTCCATGTCCATTTTTAGCAGATTCCAAAGGGGTACCATCACAGATTTCGGGCGATTTTTCCGAAATGCAATTTTCTTTCGATTATGGAGGCTGCAGATCACGGAATCAGGACGGGCCTATTCTCCATCGATAATGAAGTCTATTGATACTATTCTCCATGGATGATAAGTCCATTAAGCACCGATTTGGGCCAATTAATTTTCGGATAGCATTTTCGTAATTTTTTGGGCGACGAAAGGCCATTTTCTCTGCATTTTGAAGGTTACAGATCACGAATTCGGCCTGAGGCTATTCTTCAACGATGATTAAGTCCATTAAGCGCCGATTTGGGCAAATTTATTCCGGGTCCATTTTTTGCAGATTCCAAAGGGGTACCATCACAGATTTCGGGCAATTTTTCCGAAATGCCATTTTCTTTCGATTCTGGAGGCTGCAGATCACGGAATCAGGCCGAGCCTATTCTCAACCGATAATAAAGTGTATTGATACTATTCTCCACGGAAGATAATTCCATTAAGCACCAATTTGGGCCAATTTATTTTCGGATGGCATTTTCGTAATTTTTTGGGCGACGAAATGCCATTTTCTTTGGATTTTGAAGGCTACAGATCACGGATTCGCCCTGAGGCTATTCTTCAACGATGATTAAGTCCATTAAGCGCCGATTTGGGCGAATTTATTCTGGGTCCATTTTTGTCAGATTCCAAAGGGGTACCATCACAGATTTCGGGCGATTTTTCCGAAATGTCATTTTCTTTCGATTATGGATGCTGCAGATCAGGGAATCAGGCCGAGCCTATTCTCCACCGATAATGAATTCTATTGATCCTATTCTCCACGGATGATAAGTCCATTAAGCACTGATTTGGGCCAATTTATTTTCGGATGGAATTTTTGTATTTTTTGGGCGACGAAAGGCCATTTTCTTTGGATTTTGAAGGCTATTGATCACGGATTAGAACTGAGGCTATTCTTCACCAATGATTAAGTCCATTAAGTGCTGATTTGGGCGAATTTATTCCGGGTCCATTTTGGGCAGATTCCAAAGGGGTACCATCACCGATTTCGAGCGATTTTTCCGAAATGCCATTTTCTTTCGATTATGGATGCTGCAGATCACGGAATCAGGCCGAGCCTATTTTCCACCGATAATGAAGACTATTGATCCTATTCTCCACGGATGATAAGTCCATTAAGCACCGATTTGGGCCAATTTATTTTCGGATGGCATTTCATATTTTTTGGGCGACGAAAGGCCATTTTCTTTGGATTTTGAAGGCTATTGATCATGGATTAGGCATGAGGCTATTCTTCAACGATGATTAAGTCCATGAAGCGCCAATTTGGGCGAATTTATTCCGGGTCCATTTTTGACAGATTCCAAAGGGGTACCATCACAGATTTCGGGCGATTTTTCTGATATGCCATTTTCTTTCGATTATGGAGGCTGTAGACCACGGAATCATGCCGAGCCTATTTTCCACCGATAATGAAGTCTATTTATCCTATTCTCCACGGATCATAAGTCCATTAAGCACCGATTTGGGCCAATTTATTTTCGGATGGCATTTTCGTAATTTTTTGGGCGACGAAAGGCCATTTTCTTTCGATTTTGAAGGCTACATATCACTCATTTGCCCTGAGGCTATTCTTCAACGTTGATTAAGTCCCTTCAGCACCGATTTGGGCGAATTTATTCCGGGTCCATTTTGGGCAGATTCCAAAGGGTTACCATCACAGATTTCGGGCGATTTTTCCAAAATGCCATTTTCTTTTGATTTTGGAGGTTGCAGATCACGGAATCAGGCGGAGCCTATTCTCCACGGATGATAAGTCCCTTAAGCACCGATTTGGGCCAATTTATTTTCGGATGACATTTTCGTAATTTTTTGGGCGACGAAATGTCATTTTCTTTGGATTTTGAAGGCTACAGATCTTGGATTCGGCCTGAGACTGTTCTTTAACGATGATTAAGTCCATTAAGCGTCGATTTTGGCGAATTTATTCCGGGCCGATTTTTGGCAGATTGCAAAGGGGTACATACTACATACAATTAAAAGCTTATTTTTAATTTATACATGATGGTGTTTTTTATTACAAATTTACAAATAATAGAATGATAAATTGATAATCTATCGAATTCTTTATTGTACAAGATGTTGATTAATCATTTACTTATACTAACCCGCACATGTGTCTAATATACAATGAATTCGCTTGAAATCAGCGTTTACTATTTCGTCGTTCTTCGTTTTGCGCGTACTAGGTTTTGCTCACTTCTGCTACTCTTATTGTGATCTCTTGCTACTCCTCTTACATTCAAATTTTTTTCTTATCTCCTCCCAATCAATTGTCTTATATTCTTTTTTTTTTTTTTTTCGCAACGCTTATGCTACTGTCGGAACTAAGAGATATCGCGAGGATTTAACTATGTTGAAAAAATTAGTTCACTCATTACATGTACACACAAAAAAAAGTAGTACTGACGGAGCAAGCCACGTCATGGTGATATTTCTCAACTTCTAGATATGACTAGAAATACATGGAAATTCTATAATTCTAGTTTGGAAATCATAATAGTTGGCGACGTTTTACCCTTTCTCTCTCTCCCCAACTATCACGATTCACGATTTAAATCAAATCGCGCTAGATGTTAAACTTTTTACATCCCATCAGTCCAGGTTTCTTTTTCCACCACTGCGATTTTTTTTTTTTTTTTGGTCAAACCCTAAGAAGCTCATGATAAATGACTTATATGTATAATATCAAGCATCATAGAGCTGGTAGAGGGAATGTTGTAAAGCCAAATAAACCTCATTCCACCCGTTCTGACTCGGATGATTACAATCCCAAAAGAACGCCAGCTCCGGGTGCTTACAAACCCTAACTCCGCCGCCATTATCATTCCCCAAACCGCACGGCCATTTCCCCCGCGCCAGCGTCACGCACGGCTTCAGCGGGTTCTTGTACCTCAAGCTCCCCGTATGATACTTGTGCTCCTCGAGCGCATTGGAGAAGGCCTGGTAGAGATCCAAAATTACGAAAGTGCCACCATTCTTCTTGTTGTTGTTGTTGTTGTTGTTGTTGTTGTTATTCGTCGTCGTTTCCTTGTTCAGGTCGTGGACAGCTTGCTTCAGGAGCTGGTTGTGGTTGCTGACGATGGCGTTGTGGGCTTCGTTGCACTTGGAGCTGTGCATGGCGGACGGGCCGGCGCTGTGTGGCAAGCAGCCGGCGGGCTCCATGAGTAGGACGGCGATTTTCGGGATGCCGAGCTCGTCGTGGATTCGCCGGAGGTCGGTCTTCTGCTGCTTTATCAACTTCCTCGTCAGAGCCGTTACGTTCTGCATGGGAATGCATGCATCGTCATATATTGCATTGTAACGTGTATAGCATGCATGCACATCGATCATTTCTGTTAGGGGTGAAAAACGGTGCGGTCAGGTCGGGTATAAACTGGGGACCAGGACTAACAAAGACAAAGTTCTGACCATATCATGGTTGTGCGGTATGATTTTGAATAGTTTGTACCATGCAGACTACATTGAGTGAAAAATGAACTGTTTGTTTAGTCAACTACGTGAAAAATCAAATCGTTAATGAAAGAGAAATCAATTTTTTCTCCTTGAAACATAAAAACACAAAGTCGGGACAAACCAACTTGTGCTATAGTAGGCCTATGTAAATTAACATAATGCCATGTGTCGTAGCATGGTTTATGAATGAAAGGGGGCGAGATTCACAAAGGTTTGGGAAAGTGGTCGAGCGAGTGAATTGCTAACACAAATTGGTAAGTTGGTTGGGTCTACGGTTTGATCCACCTAGTAAACAGCTAGCGGTCTGGAACAGACCAGATCAAGAAATTAAATCAATACGACAAAACTGCGTAATTCAATTTGCCCCATAATTTTTTCAAACGATCTGGTCTAGTTTCTCGTCCTAACGGTTTCTGTAGTTAAAGAGCAGTGGAGTGATGATGGTCACCTTGAGGGTGGCGTACTTGTAATCGTTGCCGGAGGCGGCAACTAGTGCGACTGAGTTGTTGAGGTCCGTCTGATTGTAGAAACGGTGTCGTATCATCTGTCCGAGCTGGCTGATCTGGTCGCCGAGTACGGGGCCCTTGCTGATCGCGCTGACGACGCCGGTGCCGCCGTAGGCGAAATTCACGCCGGATTTCAGCTGCTCGCCGCCGTCGTCCCCCGCTCTTATTTGTTGGTAAGCAATCGGCGTCCTTATCCCCAGGAAGTCAGCTGCCAAAATCGCGATTAAAATTACGATTTAAAAAATTTACGGTTATACATTTTTAAATCGCGATTTTGACTTTTCAGTGTAGTCAAAATCTATATTTTTTAAATTTAAACCAAACTTTTATACGCTACTAGATAATAATAAAAAACGCTTATACATAGAATCTCGATTTTGAATATAGGTGAAGGGGAGAGAGAGAGGGGGGAGGGGACCAATGTAATCGGTGAGGACGCGGCCGTCGGAGAAGCGGCCGCTGGGGACGCCGGGGAAAGTGCGGCCGAAAGGCGGCAGCCAGGAGCCGTTGTTGGGCTCGAAGTTGCCCGTGTCCAAGTAGGAGTCCCCGAAAACGAACAGCTTCACGCGGCCGTTGTGGCGGTGATGTTCACGCGCGTCCCGCTTTGTCCTCGCCGTGGTCGGAATTACGGGGTGGTGGTCGTCGGCTGCTCCGATCGCCGGACAGGCGAACAACACGACGAGAGTGCTGAAGAGGAAGAAGGAAACGGGGAGAAACCTTTGCCGTTTCTCCATTAGACCCGACGAAACGGGATTAAATGGAAAGTGTGCTTAGTTAATAATTAGCAATAATCTCCCCACAATTTATAAGCTGTTTTTTTTTTTGCAACAGTAGGAAATTAAATTCTCTTTCATATCAGTTCATGGAGTAATTATTTTTTACATTATATTGCAATTATATTGCATTTAATAATGTTAAAACGTTTATAGTTCTAAGCATGAACGTTATCTTTTATTTTTGAAGGTGACATAGAAATCGTCGATCATAACAGGGTGGTGGGAAAACAATACAAGTGTTCGACTGCTAGGCGAAACGGTGGAGTGATACACTCTAGATGGCGAAAGTTCAGTAGCCAAAAACATCACTAGGTGCGTTCGGGTGTTACGCATAGGCCGTTTCTTCACGATTCTCATCCTCCTTTTCTGGTGTTTTAGAGTTTAGAGAAATTGGACTATTTGTAGTCTATAAAATGTCGTGAAAGACCCTAGCATCTTTTGACTTTGTAGCTAGTATGAATTTATCATCCCAAAATTTTACTAAGGGCCAAAAGATTGATCATATAAGTAAAGTTTGAGAGGGAGGAAAAAAGATTCAAACTTTAATATTAATATCACTGTTGTCCATTGTTGCACTTGTACACTGCCCCCTCTCTACTGTAACCAAGTGGTCAAACTGTAAACTGAACTGAAACAGACAAGCATGGCTGATGGAAATGAGTAGGAAAACTCTCAATCTCCTGTTTTATTCATTTCTCATCCCTCCATAAGAATAAGAATACACATCTCAATGTTACAAAACATAACTCCACTGCCTGTAAATGCAAGAAGAAGAGAACTCTGAAACCACACACACCAACACCGAGCTTACCACTACTAACTCAGTTCTACAATCAAAACTACTTGCAGGAAAGCGTGCAAAGCCACCCTCAGCTTGCAAACTTCCTTTCCCCTCGCGAAACAACAATCAGATCGTGATCGTTCGCAGGTGATTACGTGATATGCTCTTATGTCTGTCAAAGGCCAAGTTAGAGAAAAAGATAGCGAGGTAAGATAACTGTATACACAAGCACAAGTTTCTTTTCTACAAGCATATGCTGCTGCTGTCACTTTCCTCTGAAGTAACTCGAACGTGGAGACTGACACTTTCTGAACCGGAAAGGCAAACTGCTGTTTCCTCAATCAGATGTTCGAAGACGGCTTCACAAATGTCGACGAGGGTAGTTTCTGAATCACGCCGAAGGTCCATCCAAGAACCGTTTTTGGCCATGTCTTTCTTCACAACCTGATCCAGAGTAAGCGGCGATGGCAAGGGAAGAAGGTGCCAATGTAGTCTTTCATGCACCTCGTCAATGGTGTGGTTCATGTCCGGGATAGGACGGATGGTTGCAGGGTTCCCTAAAGATAATCCTGGAGATGAACCGAAATAGCAATCGTATATCTCCATTAGAACCTCGTCGATGCAATTGAAGAGAAGCTGCTTGTCATGGCAAAGCTGGTTAGGGCAGAACTCGAACTCGTGACAACTAGATTGGTCGAGAATCTGGTCGGAAGAGTCGGACATCAAGTAGAACTCCTCCCAGTTTAAGCCAGAGGCTAGCAGTACATCCTTTATGTACTCGAGCATGGAGTCCTCATGATCCGTGGTTTTTGAAGGTGTACCTCGATCCCCAGATGAAGACCCTTGCTCCTCAAATTCAATCCTTAGTGGTTGCAATGGTAGTTCAACTGAACAGATATGTAGCAAAAAGAGACTTTAGTTTGAAAGCCAATACATAACATAATAAGCAAGGATGTCTGCACACTTAGAATTTAAGATTCTATCTATGAGTTATGATCCTGATTTCAGTAAAAAATCGATGGAGGCCAAAATCTAGATCCAGACAACATTGCACAGTATCAATACTTACCATGTTGGGTCCGGATAGCTGCCGGGCTAACATCCTCCTCTGAAAAATGTGGCTCAAGGACAGACACCGGACTTGGTTGGTCTTGCACATCGGTAGCTTCCAGATCATCATGCTTCTGGTTTGATGGAGAATCCAATGGAGAACTTACCTGTAAAATGAACAATGACGTAAGATTAAAACTTAGTAGCAGAGAGAGCCAGGAGAGCTGTTTGAAAGATCAAACCCAAATTGCATTACATGCTCCAAGGGCTCAGCATTAGTTTTCTCATGTCCAACTTCAGAGGAGTCAACGCCATTTTGGTCATCGATGATGACAGAACAGCTACTTGTTTCAGAAAGGTTATCGGCCGCATCACCCTCTTCTGGGGCAATAATAATCTCAGAGGCCTCTTCAATCTCCACATATCCTGTTGAGAATTTTCCGACATGAGAATCTCAGAGGCACAGCTCAATGAGTATGATACATATATCAGAGTAAGAAAACAACATACCCTGAGTCATCATCTCATCTTGCATGGAACTAACAGATTTTTCCACTTCAGCAACATGAACAAGTTCATTCGGGGAACTTGAAGTTTGGTCCAAAGGAGCTTGTGCTTCAATATCAGATGAAGGTACATCTGAGCTCAGTGATTTTTTACCTAGATGGCCGATATTGCTTTCCCGTCTACCTAACGAGTCAATGTTTGGCAATCTCATTTGTGTCGTCTCCGAATCTCTTGCAGGACTGCCAAAAGGAGAACACTTGTACTCTGGAAATGACAAGATCCTCCCTAGCGGTTTGGAGAATTGTCTGCTTGGGAAGTCCACATCCCCAGTCCCAGTTATCAGCATCTCCGAAAGATGTTTCTTAGCCTCTAAATATATATCTGATACACTCTGTTTAATAGGTTTACCATCTTCATCTTGCACACTTTGTTCAGGTTCTTTCGACTTTTTGGGACTCGTTGGAGGGAGTCTCGCGACTTTTTCTATAAAGAAGTGCTCTTTACCTGGACGACTTTTTCCAGTGTTCTCTTTGGATGTTCTTCTGTCACCATCTCCTGCGGTCCACACCTCATTGGAGTATCTCTTAACAGTTGAGGCATTCCTTGTCTCTTTCGCCATAGCATTTCTCAAGCGTCTTTTGATTTCAGTCAGAGAAAAATGGGAACTTCCCCTTTCATTTGGCAACTTGTCTTCGGTAGTCAGTTGAGACTGCCTCAATGAGCCAGGAATGTCTTTATTAGGTCCAGGCTTCAATATGACAATCCTGTTTGATGCATGAAAGGCATCATTTTCCCCAGAAGATAAGTTTGCAAGGGATTTACTTCGCCTGAAGAATCTCCGATGCTTTCTGGGTACAGGTTCCTGCGCTTCTTCCATAGTACTACTTCCTACCAGCGACTTTGAATCGTCAATTTCTACTTGGGAAATCAATGCTTTCTCCAATTGCTTCACTATCATTGACTTCTGACCAAGTAAGAGTCTAGAAGCCAATTCCTCATCTGAGCACAAAATGTGAAGAGCATCTGTGAGTTCTTTGGAGCTGGGGTCATTCTCCTCTTCAATTAGATGCTTCCGTCTGACAAAAACCTTAAGGGCCTCGCCCAATCTCTCTTCAAAACTGATGTTACTCTGTTTTGGATGATGGAATTCACAGTCCTCGCCATGCTTTATGCAACTACTACCTTTCTGCTGGAGCTGATGGCAGAACTCCTCTATTATTTCACCTACATCAAGACTGTTACTAGATTGCTTCGCTAACTTCTGAGGAGAAGGCTGTTCATGTCCCCTAATGCCTGCAGCATTCAGATCTTCAACATGCATTTCACAACTTTTTGAACGACCCCTCTTTGTTCTCTTGCTGCTCCTCTTTCGCTGCCGGTCCTCTTGTTCTGATTTTGGCTTCATCTCATTACCATGTATCTGGCTCTTCAAAGTTTGCTCATTTAACAAATCTTCTTCTATGAGTTTCTTTACACTTGGCTTGCAGAACTCAGATGCCAAAACAAGATTGTCTTCACCATCCTGTAGTATTGAACAAACTTAAATACCGACCAACATAAAAAAGGCAAATGAATTCGTTTAAGAGTCACACACTTACAGAGGTCTTTTCATCAGAATTCGGGGACACGTCATGTTTAATAGCCTCATCTCCATGGCCTAAAACAAAAGGAGGAAAAGTAAATTTGTGAACCATATATAAGTATGCTATTGATGATGACAAGCATATAACATAGCTGGACAAATTTTTGTATGGAAAGCAGCCATCATTATAGAAATACATTAAATTCACTAAACCAATACGTGTTACGATGCATGTAATGCGTATCTAGCGAGAGAGAGTACATACCGATAACATGCCTGCTCTCGTGCCTTTTATCTGAGAGCAGCTTCTGAGTTGTTCGACCATGGCGGAAATCCAACATATTGATTAGGCCCGACATGCAGCCTGGCTTTGCATTTCTAGCTGGACGTCTTTGAGATTTCTTTGCCATGATGATTATCTTAATTATATTCACTAGGTTTTGCTTAATTAACTTGGGACTTCCACCATATGTTTCCACTCTAAACCTAATACACAACGAGAAGTCGATGGTCAGTCCAAAAATTGCTACACAAACTGCAAAGAAAGTACACTCGGCGCTTTTACATAAAGCTAAAAAGGAATGATCATAATTCGTATGTTCTACCAACAGCAATAAGGTAAATAATGCAGTGGTTCGATCAGCAAGCTTTGCTGAATTACATTAATGAGAATCATCAGGTGGTGTAATCAATCAAAAAGCCAGATAAACTGCACAGAAACCGGGTGGAGTGCAGATCCAATTACACAAGGGGGAAATCAAGACACCATATCATTCTAGGGCCTAATCTTCCACAATGCAGATGCTGGCTCACAGTTCATCTAATAAGAGTAAAAGATCACATAAGGGAACATCTGAATCCTCCAAAACTGCATCCTTTCCCCAAAATCCAAGGCCATTTCATAACCATGACAAATGCATCTACCTAAACTTCCTACTGATTTCCAACAACAAGATCTAAGGGCCACTGATCCGGATTTCCCAGCCACATTATGCCCCAAACCAGATCAAGCATTGTGAGACAGTGTCAAGTTCATTACCTTGTGAAGTGGATAAATACATGTAAGGCCGGGACGCAGCTAGTAAGCAAGCATTTTAAGCAGATTTTTCACTTTACAAAATGCCATTAAATCCACAACCCCGACAAGAACAAAGAACCCAGTCCCAGTTTGTCTCGGAACGAGGGGGAAACCTTAAACACCTGGGTGTTGATCCCAAGCCAAAAGAAGAAATTAGAAGAGCGGGAAAATGGGTTGAAGAAAGGACAAGCAATTCAGGAGTAGACTTAATTTCATCTCTTACCTCAAAACAAAACCCGTGAAGATCAAAGAACGCAGGCTGTCGGCTGGTGGATTGGCTGAAGCGATTCTAAAGATATAAACTTTCCCACCTTGTGAGGATCGCTAAAACCTAAAACAACAAACCCAGGTAGGAGACCACTCAAACAAACAAAAAAATTGATCCGAAACTGACCATGCAAGCAACCAAACCAAAAAAAAAAAATTCGCCAGTCGGCCGTTTTGGGTATTTTGTTTTGATCTGCAAACTGAAATTGCTTCTCCCAAACGTTAACGAACTTCGATTCTCTCCCGAAGCAAAAAAAAACGCTCGACCAAAAATGGGGGAAAAACAGAGAGAGAGAGAACCTAATTCCCACTAAGCCCAGAAGAAAAGAAAGGGAAAGCAAAACAGGGGAGCTTCCGGTTGCTTGGTGGGTGGGAAAAAAAACTCAAAAAAGTGGGTATCTTTTTGACAACGAAAAAGATGAGAAAAAATGGAGGAGGCAGAGAGGGGCCAAAATTCTTATCTCCAGCTACCGGCCCACCCACGAACCCCATTTTCGAGCACTTTCTTTTACCCTTTCGTCTCGCTTTTGTGGCTGGCGGTCGGATCAAAGGCGCGGGGAGGGAGGAAAAGAACAGTAGCAGAGTAAGGAGTAGCGTATGAGAAGTTTATTTAGGAATCCAATTGTTCATCATTATGACCCCGCAATTAGGAAAGTTGAAAGCTTTACAATGAAGGGAGAAAGAAAAAACGAAGGAAACAACAAAAGGGAATGGCTACCACCTCCCACGAGTTGCTTCTCCGCTGAAAGCCAACAACATCCATCATCAAAGGTCGCAATCTCTCTCTCTCTAAATTGCACGTCATTTTCTTTCTCGCTGTAACCACTTTTCAGGGGAGAGTAGAGGGAGGCTCTCTGGGGCTGTTTTCCACTTTTGCCATTGTGGGATGAGAGAGAGAGAGAGAGAGAAATGGTTTGTTAATGTTTGATGATCAACATGATGACTACTAAACTAATGAGTTGTAAAACAATGGTCCGCCTGCTAATCCCAATCGGTCAATCACAATAATAAGTAGCAAAACTTTGTACTCACTCAACAATCTAACATAGATTTTTATTAAATATATTACTCAAAAAAACTAATGAAATTATCGTTTTATCCGTTCGGTACGCATGAACTAGTTGATCCCTCATTAGAACTTGACAGGATCTGTCGCGAAGACCGAATAGGAATCAACTTATCTAGACAAGTAACTCGTACTGAGGTGTCTTAATGATGTTTCCCATGTTTGTTTTTCTGGGTCGCCTTTGTTTTACCTCCTCTTTGCTGTTTAATCCTGGTTGTAGCCGTTAGTCCTCTGTAATTTTGGCGGTTATTGCCTCCCTTTAATAAATAAAAATATTTATCATTTTATTGAATTGTTTAGTTACGAATAAATAAATAAATAAATGTGTCATCTCAATCAAATTGATATTAAAAATGTTAGGAACTAAAAAATCAGCGTGATTTGTTCACTATGATCTAAACCTCAAGACCGAATCAAACCCCCATCTCACTCATTTGAATTCCCCCTTCTTCCTCTCTTTTTATGCCCTTGTCTGATAGTTGTCCTCGAATTTCTTCTTATTCATTCTAGATGACTCGTCAAGAAGACATATATCAATTATGATTTACTCGTTAGTGTAAAGAGAAGTAGGTCTTGGCTAGGCACGAGGTGAACAAATTCATGTGGAAAGAAGCAAGGGTTATTGCATTAACCATAAAGTGTAACATTTTCTCAGGGATTGATTCTAAAACTACATCATTTCTTTATGCACCGACTATATGAAGAATAACATACAAGAGGTTTTTTTTTCAATGTAGAGCACACGAGTGATTAATATCTACGTATGAAATTATGAGATTATGTATGGATTCTGGTGGTTACTTTGTTCCGTTATGAAGTTTAGTGAAATTTTGGACAAGAGGCTAGTAATAGTTTACAAAATATAAAGTAATAAACATCATTGTCAATATATGAATAGTGAAAACGTCAAAACAAGTATAAGTATTTGCCTACTCCAAAGAATTGGGTTCAATATCTGTAAGTTCTACACCTTAAAATGCAATAGCAAAGCAGCCTGTAAACAACCATAAAGCCCAACATCACACCCAAATTGGTCCATTTTTGAGAGGCCACAAGCCCTTGCTGCCTCAAGAACCCACTCCCATCCAATTGACAATTGAGCCCACCCTCTCCCTCACCATCAGAAGAGAACTGCAAGCACCTGTTCTTCCCTTGCTCCCCTCCATACTCATTGATCAAGAAACACTCAAAAGGGTACCTGAACAAGCTCAAGTAATGCATGAACTTCCAATACACAGGGATGTCATCTTTAGCTATGAAGTAGCCAGAGAAGAGGAAGAATGAACCCATCAGCCCCGAGATCACCGACGTCCCCATGATGAAGTTCGGCACGAGAGCACTGAAACACGCCACGAATGAGTTCGACATTGATATCACCATCCAGACCACGAGCGAGAAGTAGAGGAACCCATCGAGCTCTCTTCTCAGGCCGACCAGCCAGTACACCGGGGTAGCATACAACATGGCTACCATCAGAAGGAATGGGAGAAAGATCAACGTGTTTGATAGTACATAGGAGGAGACTCTGTAGGCGCCACCCGAGGTCTCCTTCATCAGTATCCTCCGTTCCTCTAGGAAAATCGGGAGGACCTCTGTTGTAGAGGAGAGCAGGAACGTGAGCGAGAATGCGAAGAATCCTAAGAGCGTCTGCATTGCATTGCCTCCCGTTTCATTGCCCACATTGAGGAATATTGTTCCAAGTATTAATCCGGAAACCGATGCTTGAACGACCCTAGCTAGGAACAATTGCTTCGTCCTAAAAATGTTGTTACAGAATCTCTTTGCCAGAATCACGACTTCCCCGAAAATAGAGTTGTGATGTTTGAAGATGTTGTTCAGCGACATAACAGATAACTGGACATCGAAATCCTGATCGGACCGGTTCGGGTTACGAACCACCACCACGCTTGCCACATCGATGGCGAATTCGAGCACATTGACCCGACGAGGGATGTAGTGCCCGACACGCTTGATTGTTTCCTCGAGGCTCCGCACAGAGCCACAATGGACAAGGCACCCATTCGAAAGCAGAGCAACCCGATCGAAGAGACTCAAGATTCGAAACCCGGGTTGGTGAATGGTCAGGACAACGGTCTTACCTTGGTTAACCGCCATCGCCTTCAGAAGCTCCACAACCTGAAGAGCCGCAGCCGAATCCAAACCCGAGGTCGGCTCGTCCACAAACACAACAGCAGGGTCGTGAACCAGATCGACCCCGATCGACACCCTCCTCCTTTCCCCGCCAGAGATCGAACCCACCCGAGATTTCGAAACCCGAACCAGACCCAGTTCCTGAATCAGCTTCCCGACCCGACCCGAAGCCTCGATTCTCCCGCCAGGCAACTTCAGCTGCGCGCTGTACGTCAGGGTTTCCTCCACCGTCAGCTCAGGAAACAGAGCATCTTCCTGAGTCACGAATCCTGATTGCCTCCGGATTGCTCTGGCGTCTAGCGGCCGGTTATTGATCAGAACTTCGCCGGAGACCTGACGGCAGCTAGAACAGATCTTCCCTGCTACAATATCGAGCAAAGTGGTCTTCCCAGCTCCACTGGGACCGGCGATGGCGGTTAACTCTCCGGGCCGGGCAACGAAATTCACATCCCTTAGAATAAACCCTGAAGAAGAGGAAGAAGAAGAAGCAAAAGGCACCCATTTCCATGGCAGGTTGCTAGATGCTACTTGGTAGGACAAGTTTTTGGTTTCGATTTGGAATGAGGCTGGTGATCTCCTGTCGCCGGAGATCGGCTCCGGTGGTGGTGATCTAACCGGCAATTCCATATTGGGTTTTGAGGGGGAAGACCGAAAAAACAGGGCCTAGTTGAAGATGGAGGAAAAACAGAGGGGGAAAAAAAATATCAGATGGGTTGTGATTGTAGTAAGGTTAGAGGAGATGAGCTAACTACACCAACCACCTCTGTTGGTGGTGTATGTGTTACTACTTTGAACAAGTTATCAAAAGCCCAAAGAAGACGAAGTTGAAAGATACACAAGCCATCCATATGTTGTCTCTGTCATTCGCCTAGAATTTGTTGTTGCGGGGAAGGGGAAGAATAGTGTAGTCTGTAAAATCCGGGAGTTTGTAATCGGTATAATTTTAGGGAGTTGATATTTCACGCCCTAATATTCAAATTTTGTCGCTCTAAATCACTTACATGTTTGTCGCTCTAAATCATTTAAATTGACACATTTAGCCTTGGCCAAAACTGATCGTATTAGACAATTGTTAATATTATGGTTGATGATTTGAACACGTGACTTCAAGGATAACCCAGTTTTGGTATCGTGCTAAAAAAGAGAACAACCGATCTCAATAGCCTGAATTGTTGTAAGATGTTAATGTATGAATCTTAGTCACTTACGATGAAAATTTCGCTGGAGGAGGGCAGCGGCGGGGCCGCCCCCGAGCCACGGCTCAGCCCTCCCTCTATCCAGAGCTAGTACAACACCTGTAAAATTTTTCGAATTTTGGTATTCTATCAGTGTCCTTTGCATTACGGTCCAGCTTTCTTCGTCTTTTTTTTTTTTTTTAAAAATGACACAGTGCTCTACTATGTTTTGGATCCGCCGTTGGAGCAGGAGGGTATTGGATTGTTGTGGAAATGGAGAGGAGGAAGTCAAAGGGAAGTGTAAAAGTGGCCAAGGAAGGAGGCGAAGTTTGGGTGAGCTGAATATTGACTAGTGAAGCCGAGGAGGTTGGTGGAGGTTGGGCTATCTTTTCTGCAGTTCGATGGTTTCTTCTGGGGAAGAACTATTCCATGATTCACCAACAAGACAACAACAAGCCATCCGTACCGGGATCGAATTGTTGGATTTTTTTTATTTATTTTTGAACAGGAGAGTATTTTGGGGGTTGTTTGCTTATGCTATTTTCATGGTGGATTTTATCCCAAAGTCCAGTACATGATGGATTATCTTCATAATTCATATATGTTGATAAATATTGGACTTTGCTCAAATATGTGGGGGTCCACATGTGGGGATTTTTTTATGCTGAAATCCATTGACCCCATGGATTATAAAATCCGTGGCTTAATACGTGAGATTATTAAAGGTAGGTAGAATCCATGATGTTGGATGACAATAATATCCTCATTCATTTTACATAATCCACTTTTACCGTCCATTATTATCTCTGTTATGAGTGTCACACAATTATTATGTAGGATGAACCATGCATAGATTATTTATAACGTTATGAGTGTCACACAACCATTATTGAGGATGAACCATGCATAGATTATTTATGACGTTGTGTCGACTTAACTTCCTATGAGAGGGTTAAAACATTCGGACAATATGGAGTATTTAAGAAGTTCCTAGCTGTTAGTTCAATCTCATCACCATAATAAACACATATAATGCTTAAGCAACTTAATCCTGCCCGGTTTACATTTTCATCATTTACTTTTGTAGGCCGTCTATTCAGCTACTATATCATGCATTCATGCTTGAGTTTAGATGAGTTTTTTTATTTTTTATTTTTTTGATGAATGGGTTTTTTTATTTTATTTGCAAGTTTAGATGATTAAACTTTGCTTCATCAATCATTCATTAAAGATATAAAGATAAATTCATCCACCAATACATAAAAAAATTTACTACCAACCTCCGGACCAACGCCACCTCCACAAACCCAACCCCAGCCTCTGCGCCGACCGTTGGCGACTCTACCGACATTGCCAAAGCCAATGGCGGCGTACCACCGCTAGTACCACCCCCCCCCCCCTCCGCCGCCGAGACAAAGAGCGTTCCAACAACCTCCAGAGCAACGCCACCGCCACCTCCACAAGTCCAACCACAGCCTCAACGTCGACTGTGTGCGATTCTTCCGACACCTCCAACGTCAACGTCGGCATACCACCGCATGTCCCCCCCCCCCCCCTTTACGTCGCCAGGACAGAGAGAGTTCCAAAAACCTCCGGAGCAGCGCTACTACCACCTCCACAAGCCCAACCCCAACCCCAGCACCGACGGTGGGCGACTCTACCTACACCACCATCGCCAACGACGGCACACCACCACAAGTTTCTCCCCCTCTCCGTCGCCGTCTTGGCGCTCTCTATCTCCTCACTTCGATTCTAAATTTGAGTCTGTCACTGCTATTGGTCCGAAAAAGTTCCAATGCAACCTATGCGATGATAAGTTTGAATATCTGAAGGGAAGGGAATCTCGCGTCAAATGCTGCACATACAATCTAAGAAGAAATGTTGCACTTGCTTCAGAGCCTATATGCTCACGTGGGAGTTAGACGAGCACTTTTGCGATACTTCTTGTTGAATGTCAATTGAAATTTTGTTTGGCCTTAAATGTAAATTGGGAGGTTAGGTAGTGTACATGGGAATTTTGTTCAGGTAAATGGGGATCTTAGTACAGAATTTGTTTTCGGGAGCTTGGAAATATAGAAGCTCAACTTGTACACGAATACTGTAATAAAAAAGAATATCTGGTCATTTTACGTTTGCAAATAAATAAAAAAGAGGTTATTTCCTAAAAAAAAGAGGTTATTTTCATCAAAGATTATTTATCAAGTTTAGTATAATTGTTGTAACTAATGGTTCATTTATTTATTAGTCCATAAACAATTACATACATATATATACTAGTCTCCAAAGCATATAAGAATAAATTTAACTAGTCATGCCCTTCATATAAAAATTAAAGATTTTTATAAAAAAAAATTAAAGATTCATATTTCAAAGACTAAAATTTTGAAAAACAAAAAATTGAAAACACCAAATTTGTTTCCTTCTTTCTTTTCACAAAAAAAAATACTACAATTTCCCTCCTTCTTTATCCTTCCATAAATAAGAAACACTCAATTTTCCCTCCTCATTCTCTTCCATAAAATTGAAAGAACCAAATTTTCCTCTTCCTACACAAGGCCCGTCCCGTTGGCCGGAAGAATTTTATCTAACAATATGGTATATAATAATGGATATAATAGATGATTTGAAATGCATAAAATGATTGTTTTCTACCTTAGCTATACACATAACATTTTTAAAATGATCCAACTATGCATAATGTGTTTAGACTTTCATTAAAAGAGAAAAAAAATATAAGCATTACATATAATTGTTGAATGAAAAAAGAAATAAATATAACTAATTTTCGTTCATTACTTAATTAAACCATATAGTTGGATATTACATAATCAACCTTTAGGATGAAAGAAAATGTCTCTCATAAAGTTTAGTTTGTCTTTTAAGTTTTTCCCAATAGAGAGCATTCTTTTTTACCACACCTATCTCCTCACTTCGATTCTAAATTTGAGTCCGTCACTGCTATTGGTTCGAAAAAGTTCCAATGCAACCTATGCGATGATAAGTTTGAATATCTGAAGGGAAGGGAATCTCACGTGCAGATGCTGCACATACAATCTAAGAAGAGATGTTGCACTCGCTTCAGAGCCTATATGCTCACGTGGGAGTTAGACGAGCACTTTTGCGATACTTCTTGTTGAATGTCAATTGAAATTTTGTTCGGCGTTGAATGTAAATTGGGATATTAGGTAGTGTACATGAGAATTTTGTTCGGGTAAATGGGGGATCTTAGTACAGAATTTCTTTTAGGGAGCTTGGAAATATAGAAGCTCAACTTGTACTCGAATACTGTAATAAAAAAGAATATCTGGTCATTTTACGTTTGCAAATAAATAAAAAAGAGGTTATTTCCTACAAAGAGAGGTTATTTTCATCAAAGATGATTTATCAAGTTTAGTATAATTGTTGTAACTAATGGTTAATTTATTTATTAGCCCATAAACAATTACATACATATATATACTAGTCTCCAAAGCATATAAGAATAAATTTAACTAGTCATTCCCTTCATATAAAAATTAAAGATTTTTATAAAAAAACATTAAAGATTCATATTTCAAAGACTAAAATTTTGAAAAAACCAAAAAATTGACAACACCAAATTTGTTTTCTTCTTTCTTTTCACAAAAAAAAAACTACAATTTTCCTCCTTCTTTCTCCTTTCCATAAATAAGAAACACTCAATTTTCCCTCCACTTTCTCTTCCATAAAATTGAAAGAACCAAATTTTCCTCTTCCTACACTAGCACAAGGCCCGTCCCGTTGGCCGGAAGAATTTTATCTAACAATATGGTATATAATAATGGATATAATAGATGATTTGAAATGCATAAAATGATTGTTTTCTACCTTAGTTATACACATAACATTTTTAAAATGATCCAACTATGCATAATGTGTTTAGACTTTCATTAAAAGAGAAAAAAATATAAGCATTACATATAATTGTTGAATGAAAAAAGAAATAAATATAACTAATTTTTGTTCATTACTTAATTAAACCATATAGTTGGATATTACATAATCAACCTTTAGGATGAAAGAAAATGTCTCTCATAAAGTTTAGTTTGTCTTTTAACTTTTTCCCAATAGAGAGCATTCTTTTTTACCACACCGTTGCTAATGAATCTGAAGTTGTTTGATTTAAATATATAGGACATGAAGTTAAGTTGTCGCTAATAGTTAGTTGGACAATGTGTTGTGTACAGACATCCCAAATTATTCTCAGATCGCAGACATATCTAACAACAATATAGTAATTTTCATGGAACAAATATTTTTTTCATAAAATAATTCAATAGATAGAAACCTATAAAAATCATATTGCATGAAATATATGTTACTCATTAAGTTTATGAATGAGCGAGGGTATGAGTAGAATACATTTATTTTAAAAAGATAGAAGTTGTATGGTGTTTTTGGGTTGATTCGCATATTCTCATTATAGCTAACTGATTTATGCTTTTTGCAATAGATAGTTCAAAATATGCCTTAAAACTTTTGTTTCTACCGGTGTAATAGAATTGTTTGAACCATAGGATTGCAAAATCGTATCGAATAAGTTGCTAGTAGAGTATTTATACTAAAGTCATAATTTAACCGTGGTTCAACTGTTTCATATTCTAATATCACCTATCGATTTAGCCTATGGTGTGAAGTTTTATGGTCGAACCGCCAGTATGTACGATCTTTCAATTCAAACTTTAAATAAAAAATGACTAAAAAATTGACATTATCAAATACCCCTTAAATCTCATAAATTACAATTATCATATTAAGAATAAATCATCCAACTGATAATATTGATTTAGGATTTTAAATTGATATGAAAAAATCTGTCAAATACAATATCATCTCCTAAATAAATCAAAACTCAACAGAAAAGGGCCAAAAATACCACTAAGCAGAAAGCAGAAGGGCAATTATTTCACACTACCTCATTTTCCCCTCTTTTAAATGTGGCTTCTCACTCTCTCCTTGCCTTCCTCTTTGCTTTTCCTTTTTCTTCCATCTCTTTCTCTGAGCTTTGTATCTCAACACTCTCCCCCTTTCACTTTCTCTTTCTTCCCACAGTCTGGAATCGAGATAAATCTAAAAACATCACAATTACTTCTCTAATTTTGTATTCGAAATGATTCTTCTCAATTCACAGTCGATAGTGTGAATCATAGCACCTGAAAGTTGGCGAACAGATGATCGCTTATTCTTTGATGGAGCAAAGTAGTTTGGTAGCTTGTGAATAAACTAATTACTAAAAGTGATAAAAACATAATTCGGTAAACCAATCAAGTGAGTGTATAGTTAGTTCATCACTTAAACCATTTTATTAATCTAAAGAATAAAAATGCATAATCAGATTCATCTTCACTTATTTACATGTATTTATCGTACAAATTTATTACACATAAAAAAATGGTTTTGAACTAGCATATCAAACTAAATCTCATCTTATGATTATTGGATCCATATCAGATAAGAAAAACGTCTAAGGTTATTGATCAACTGGGCTGAAAATTAATACTAATTGAAGAATTATATATCGCTTCCAAATGTTCAATACTCCAATTCAATATGCAATATTCAAACAAATGATATATGAGTTACAACCCTTCCTCAAATTTTTTAGACCAAAAAAATCTCCCCCTCCCTCAAACACACGCACACATTTGCAAAGAAATACTAAGGGGTCGTTTGATTTTGGTGATAGTTAAATAGATGAATTGTCATCAATGCATGCATAATAATATACATGTATATATGAAAATTCGTGTATTATAGATTACATCGTTTGGTTTTTGTGATAGTTATTGTGTTATTTAAATAAGTTATATTACTTTTTGGGTGAAATGTCACTTTCACCATTTGGTTATAATATACAAAAGCAAGACACATAAAAAGGAAGGGAAATAGTTGGAAGAAAAAAACACACAACAATCTGAAAACTTGAGATTTAACTATCACTCATTTTGAGTGTTAACAAACGCGAAGTTAAGGAGTGTCTAATTTTGTGCCTCGTTACTTTGATCGAGTCTATTAATATATGGATATAACTCTAATTTTGTCATTTGCACTCAAGTTTTGATGGTCTCTTTTTAGTTGAGTTGTTAGCATATGATTTACTTGAATCAACAACTCTTCATTTATGTTTTTTTTATAAATCCTTTTCTTTTTTATTAGTGGCATGTTATTCATAGAGGAGAGCTTTGAACCATTTATGTGGGATTGTGAGGTTTCATTTCAGTTTCAAACTATCTATGGATCGTGTGGGAATTCCAATGAGCTTTTATATTATATATTTCTGGACAATCTATTAACCAATATCATTTTAATGGGGCTCAATTATCATTATGAAAATGGGATTAATGATACATTTTATATTCTTAAATGAGGAGGGTATTTCCCTGAATGTTCGACCTATATATTCATTCTTTATGTAGCATCTCGATTGAATGATTTTCAATAAACTTAAACAAATTAATAGACTTAAACATAACATAAAAATATTAATATTAAAATATGAGCATTCTGGCCAACGGGCCGGATTATAAGCTAGTCCTAAATAATTCCCTTCCAGTCCAACTTATTCCTCCTCCCAATTACGTCAAGATAATTATTGTAGTTTGCTTTATGGATTTAAAAATGAGGGTTTTATAATTTAAAAATCTAATGATTTGAGGCATTATGGATTTGAAACAATCATTTTCTTGTTGGGATTTAAGGGTTTGAGATTTAGAACTTAAAGTCCAAAATTCCCTTACTGATCATTTTCTATTTGTTTGTCATATTTATGATATGTACTCAAACAAGGACAATACATACTAAAAAAATAATGTTGTCACAAGTACAATAATAGTAAACAAGGAAATTCTAATTCCGTTTAAATTTAACTTTGCTTATATTAGTTACCAATTTATCGTCTTCCATTTCAAAAGTAACACATAACAACATATATTAGAATCGGGAGAACAAAGAATTTCACGTTCTATGAAACAATCAAAGGAAACTACAACACAAAAAAGACATAGAAAATCTAACTCATATTTGCACATTAATTAAATATTTATATTATTATTTTATTGTTAATTAATAGATTAATTATAATGTAAAATAGGTAAACGTGAGGTCAATCTTGGAATATTAAAATTTCATAAGGGCATATGGGTAAAATTTCATAATGTATTTGTGTTATGTACCAAATCCCACATCAATATTAGGGAATTACAAGTCTGTCCAAATCCGTGGGCCCAATGAATTTGGTCCCTAAAAAAACTGTAAAAACCAACGATGGATTAAATCCATGATGAATTCGATTTGGGTACCAAATCCATCATCCAAATCCACGAAGCAAACGACCCCTTCATTCATTTGATGTGTAGGAAGAACTCATATGATGGTTGGTTGGTGTTTCTTTTCTCTGCGGTATTAATGGTATAGCTAGTGGTGTGTTGCATCCGTTTTATAAAGGTCAAGGCAAATTTTGGACTATTGTCGTGAACTCTCGATGTGATAGATGAGCCCATTTTCGATTCCGGACAATTGTTAGTGAATTATATTTCAATTTCGAGTTTTAAATGTTCATGATTTCTAAAATCAATTTGATTGTGTTCTAAGAAAATATTTCATGACATAAGAGTTCACCTCACCATATAGTAAGGTGGTAGAATGATTTGGTATGATGGGTGGTTAGATTTTGTATTATGATGATAATGTTCGGGTTTTTATCTTATAATTTTTTTTACCATCGATAATAATTAATGCATTTTTATGAATTTTTTTAAATCAAAGTTAAAATGAAGAAAATCTAGATTAAAGAAAGTGAAGGATTTGAAAAACTGACCCTTAGATCAGTCCTAAAGTTGAGATTGCACCATGGATGGATGGTAGAAGTAGGGTTGTGCAGCAGTTTGCTCTACACCAAATCATACCATACTAAACCAACATCTAGATCGACCACACCAAACGGCATATAATGCGATCCATCCTTGGTTTCATAAATTTTATAAATAACAAAGAAAGATTAACCAAATTGATATTTGAACCAGATTATTACACCGGATCAAATGCAATCGGTGGAGAATAGCCTCGGGCTAAATCCATGATCTGCAGCCTCCAAAATTAAAAGAAAATGGCATTTCGGAAAAATCGCCTTAAATCCATGATCCTTTAGAATCTATAAAAAATGGACCCAGAAGAAATCCGCCCAAATCCGTGCTTAATGGAGTTTATTGTCATTGAAGAATAGCCTCAAGCAGAATCCATGATCTGTAGCCTTCAAAATCCAAGGAAAATAGTCTGTCGAAAAAAATCGCCCAAAGAATTACGAAAATGTCATCCCAAAATAAATTGGCCCAATTATGTGCTTAATGGACTTAATCATTGATGGAGAATCGGATCAATAGACTTCATTGGCGGTGAAGAATAGCCTCGGACTGAATCCGTGATCTGCTGCATCCAAAATCGAAAGAAAATGGTCTTTCGGAAAAATGTCTGACACGATTAAATGTAAACTGTTTCGGTAATTCGAGTGACCAAAATTGATATTAAAATTTTTCTGAGTGACTAAACATGACACGATTTAGTAATCTCAGTGACCAAATGTGACATTTACCCATTAATAATCGCAGAGATCACTACCGGGATTCCCTTCAAGATTATGATGTTTCTACCTACCTACATGTTGAGGGAACACGGTGCGAAAGTCGACCACTGGTCGCACTTGTCTGTTGTCAGGGCTCGAACACGGTGCAAGAGAAACATAGAATCGAAGATGAATCGCTTCGACTCTGCAATCATTCTGGAGAATGAGGGCTTTGCATAAGTGATCTCAGCCCATACTAAGCCTGGCTGCTGAGCAGGGCTCAAGCACCACTCACTCACTCTGCAAAACAAAAAGCTAAAATTTTCTTGAGTTTCTCAGCGGCAAACAACCAACAACAATGGCCATTTGGAGATTTTAAACACGATGATAGGCATACCTCTGATCTGAACAGAAGCAGCTGTTCCCATTAGTGGATTCTCCAAGCCAACAACCACTTCCACATTTATGAAGTATCCACTATTAAAGAGTGGTATAAGATCCAGCATAATCTTCCAGCAGTCAACTTTTGTGTGTGCATGTATCTGCAGCTTCAACTTGCAGAAAGCCCGCAAGTAATTTGTTTGATTCTCGCTCACTTTTGTGTGTGCATGTCTGAATGGAGTTACTCCATCCTAATCCTAACTAGTATCGGAGTCGGATCTCTTTTCCTATTGGGTTTTGGAATTTTGGATTTAGGGATTGTTCAGCTATAAATTCCCTCCCCAATTCATCAAAAGTTCCCATCTTTTTAGCGACCCGCATCTTCTTCAAACAAGATGAGCAAGGAAAAAGATGGCAAAGCAGAAGAAGAAGAAGGGCGTAACTGGAGTGAGCTGCCGCCGGAGTTACTGAACCTCATCGGCCGACGGATAATCAAAGTAAAGGACGCGATCCGTTTCCGAGTGGTTTGTAAGACATGGTGGGAAACCCTCGCCGAGCAGCAGCCTCTACAGTTCCATCAATCGTCAGCCTTGCTGATGTTGCCGTATTGCAGCCACAATGAAGAAGGCAACGGCGCCGGTGATAGCAGCTGTTGCCGCCTCTTTATGGACGTGGCGCGCAGCCAATATCACCACTTGGGTTTCGAGCAAGCCCTGAAGCAAGCCAATTGCCGGGGCTCGGCATTCGGATGGCTGTTTATGCTGCAGCGCATCCCTGTGCTGTTCAACCCTCTCACCGGCGATCAGATTTCACTCCCGCCCATTACTACTTTCCCAGAGTTTTTGGGTTACTTCCCGGAAACAGTCGGCGCTGAATACCTGACTGTGGATCACGATTACGGCGGCCTCTTGTTTGCGTTGGGCAAGAAGTACGTGGAGTCTATGTACATTGACAGGATCGCAATGTCAGCTGAGCCCAATGCGGAGGGCTGTGTTTTGATGGCTATCTGCTGGGTCCTAAGCAAACGCCGCTTAGCATTTTGCAAGCCTGGAGGTGACAAGTGGACATTGCTTCCGTATCTTAGCGTGGGCGGCCGGCCGGTCTACTATAGTAACATAGTCTTCTGGAGGAATGAATTCTATGCTGTTGACAACGACAACAGAATTCTCATCTGCGATCTTGCTGTTCCCAGTGTGTCCTTTCTTGCTGGCAAAGTACGTCAACTTCCCGTCGACTTCGACACCATATACCTAGTTGTAGGTCCGGCTGACGAGTTGATGCTCGTAGGCAGAAGTTTAGCCGAACGCGAGGAGGATGCTGTTGGTGCCCTAAATGAACAGCACGATGCTGGCCGCGAAGAGGATGCTGTTGGTGCCCTAAATGAACAGCACGATGCTGGCCGCGAAGAGGATGCTCCTGCCCATATTGAAGATGACAGGCATGAGGTCGATGATCAAAATGTTGAGTACATTTGGGATAGTGACACAGATGATGAGTGCGAATGCGGTCCGAGTTATGAGACCATAAAGTTTACCGTTTACAAGCTCAATGAAGAAACAAATCAATGGGGTGAGATTAAAAGCATTGGTAACTATGCTTTGTTCTTGGGTACTAATACCTCCGCCTGCCTCTCTACCCAAGATCACTCGGGATATAAACCGGATTGCATATATTTCACCGACGACTCTTTCGAGAAGCATGTAAAGCATAGGCGTGGTGGTCATGATATGGGCATATACCATCTCAGGGATGGCACTATTGAGTCACTCTGCTGTATCAACTTGTATGAAAATCCTTCTCTGGTTTGGCCACCACCTGTCTGGGTTTCGCCTGCTATCTATTAGCTTGTATTAATGAAGTTTCATCGTTAAGTATGTCTTTGTCTTCAGACAAAAGTTGCAAGCCAGCACTATGTGTCATCTGCCACGGAGCCTCGACCAATTTTTTTCCCAGGGAATGGCACCCTGAATCTCTGATCCTTTCTTAATAGACTACACAGCAAAGCACAGAAGAAACAGATAAACACAGAGCAAAAGAACACGTTCCTACCAAGTTCACTCCAATCACACTCAATGAACAATAGATGCACACTCCGACCATTGCAGCGATATTCAAAATTCTTCCTCCATTACTAACTTGAGCGTCGGAAGGTCCCTAAAGCATTACTGGATCACAATACTTCTTTTTCTGCAGTAATCGACCTTAACGAAGTGCAACAGTAAGCGATCAGAGACTCCTCGAACCACCAAAAGTTCAAGATCAATTGCTGCTGAACATGGCATCAACAAGACCAGAACAAAGACCTCAAACAATCAACTATCCACCACTAAATGAGAAATATCTCTCCCAAAACGCACATGCCATAGTCCTAAACGATGCATGTGGTTATTGCCAAATACAAGCAATCACACCCACCCTCAATCAACATACACCTTACACACAATGCTAATATGGTGATGAATTAAGCTATTCAAACCAAAATTATGGAGAGAGAGAGAGAGAGAGAGAGTCATAAGAAGAAAAAGGAACGAACCTTTATTGATCTTTCATTCAATGGCAATGGAGGGGCTGGAAAAAGAAAAAAGAACAAACAACTAACATGACAACCACTTTGTTCCATATACCTCATTTTCCAAAGTTAGAAGAGTGCCCCCTCAAATTCTTCAGTCTTCTCATCAACAACCATACATCCCCCAGTGCCCACTTCTCTCCTTATGAATCCAAAGTCGTCTTAAGCTCCTCCAGCAGCACCTTTCTTTTCTTGTGTGGTGTATGTATTCAAATCACATATATATACAGTACAAACGATCACCTCCCACCTTGCTGCCTCCTCCATACTTACCCCCAACCCCAAACCAGAAAAGGGTAAAGAAGCAAAAGAGGAACAAGAAGAAAAGAATAACCACCCTTCCCTTCCTAAACTCCCCCAACGTAAGCAACAACCAAATTGTACATATTTCCCTGGTTTCCTCCTTCCGGTGTACACTAACAGACTCGAACATACAAGTGCAAAAATGACTGAACAACCCAAAGGTAGTGAGGGTAGTAAACCCACAAATCTTTGGTGAGAGTGGGGAGGGGAAAACATCAGGAGCTGGTAATTGATCAATGAATGAATCGATGGAAAATGCTTTAAATTTAATGCCTAGCCTACATTTGTCTACCAGGAGGGATGGTGGGTTCATGGCACAGAGCTAATAGAATTGGGGATGGGGGAGGGGGTTGCTTTTTCTTTCAATGAAGGTTGCTTATATCACAGGAAAGTTGTTTTCTTTTTGGTATCATCTAGTAGTCTTCTAGAGGGTGGGAGGGTTTCGAGTAGAGTAGTCCCATGAAAGTTGCAACTTCAAACCAGCATCAGAAGCAGAATGAGTAGAGCGGTAGGATTGGAGGGTCCTGCTGCTGCGTTGTGGCTTTCTGCGAGCTCTAAAAGCTGTAATGTCTCACCGAATGTTCCAATATATCACGACTTGGGCAGATCATCTCCTTCACACGGCTACCGCCTTTGTATATCTTGAATGTAGGTACAATCCTCACATTCTCAGTTGTCGCAACATCAGGGTTTGCATCAACGTCCACCTTCAAACACCACCAACACATTCTCAGCTCTTTCCTTTCATGAGTAACAATCAAATGCTTAATGCAACATCTGGACTTGTTCCTTTATGAAATCCATCAGCTTACCTTGAAGAAATTTATGGACGGATACCGCATGCATAAAGCATCCAGAAAAGGGGACATCTGCTTGCACTGCGTATTAGAGGTTGACTGGAAATGGACCATTGAAACACCTGTACATAAAGGATTTCCGTTCTCACCATGGTCTAAGCAACAATGCTAATTTTAAATCAAGAATACTCAAGTAAGGTTTATACCTGGAACAAATATAGCAGCTCTAAACTGTTCAAGTCCTGATACTTCCTCCACTTCACCACCAAACTTCATATTGTAAACTTCTTCCCCACGAGATTTCTTTAGTGCAACTTGAGCATGGAATAAAGACTCTGCAACTTCACTATCATTAGGTAGTTCCCTTCTCAATGACTCGTAATCCCCGACAGCATCACTCCACCTTTCTAGCTGTGAGATTTATAGCTGTATGTTAATTTTTGGCCCACATGTAGGATCTAATAGCTTAGAAGACCATATAGGCCTGCCATAACATAAGTATGAAAATGATACCTTACTGTTTGATGCAGCTCTCCGGAGGAGGGCTTTTTTGTAATTGGGTTGAATACGCAAAGCTTGGTTGCAGTCTTCTATAGATTTCTCCCACAAACCGAGTTTATACCAACATGCTGCTCTATTGCAATAAAGAACAGAGTTTGAAGGATCAACCCTCAGGCCTTCCTCATACGCCGAGCAGGCCTCTGTAAACCTTTCGGATTTAAAGAGGTCATTGCCACGGAGACGAGACCTCACCACCAGCCGCACATTCTTAAGCAGAAGAGCGACTTCAACATTTCGTGGATCAATCTGTGAAGCTCTCTCAGCAGCTGTATCTGCACCATCAAACCTGCAAAAAAACACTAGCAATCTGTTCTCAACCAGCTCAAAGTACATCTTAGTATAATTTTTCCAAATATTTCATTTGATGCCTGAACTCACCTTCCAAATGCCATATCAATCTGTGCCTTAACCAGTAAGTAGTAAGCTTCAGAAAGCATCCCGAAGAACTTGGATTGTAAACAGGAACTGGTATAATATTCTAGCCTTGGACCACTTGAGAGGCACAATTCAGCATCATCAAGATGATGGAGCTTCAAGTGGGCTTCAGCTTTGCACATGGAGAGCTGTACATTTAAATGAACTCGTAAGCCTACATCTGACTTTTTTTTACAGATGTACAACAATTGTAGCACTTGAAAGAAGAGGAGGGACGAAGCAGAAGAAAATTCATACCAGTGGAGAACAATCAGCACCAGCAGCAATAGCAGCATCACTTTCCCTTAATGCACCTTTCCAGTCATTAACATTCCGAGCATAAGAACATTTATTTATATGCTTCTCTACAACTTGCAACTTCGACAATTCAGAAGAATCTGGAGGTTGCCCGGCCAGGGTTAGGTGGCTCCTGGCACTTTCAACTTGTCCTAACCTGCACAAAAACCCATTCAATACAGGCGGTCCTGTCATAAACTACATAATCCTTAAGTATGTTGCATTTCAAAAGAGTAGAACAAACCACCCAAAAAACCAGCATATATGAACAAAAGACTGAAAAGTAACGGGCACTTTGACAAGCAATGCAGGGAACTGAAGGATCTATAAAGGTCGAAAGTGTAGAAAGCAAGATTCATTGTCCCATTACGAAGGAACGTTGCCAGTAGACAGAGACTGATACAATTGCATAATCCTTAGTAAAAGAAAAACCCATTAACACCTTGAACAAATTCTAAATATATTCTCCGAATAATCAAGTTATTCAAACCTCACTGTACAAGCAGTAACAATTCAACGTACATGCACAGGAGAAGAAAGCAACAATCTTACTCAACGTGGACATTAAGGGGTTTTACTTTTATGATAATGCAAACGGGTATAAAACAATACGTTAAAATCAATGATCATGATAGTTCAGTGGACCAAATATATGGTCTTTACTGTGAAAACAGTAACAATCATGAAATTTTACCTAAAGGGTATCCAATCAAACAACAATGGATCGATCCCACTCAGCAACATCAACTGAACTTGGACAGAAGAAAGCTAAGTATAACATTATGAAATGCAGAAATGGTAAATAGCAAAAAAGGATGAAGGCATAATTAACACGCAAACTCCACAACAAGGAGGAAAAGCTCCATTGACAAACTCACCTGATAAGCAAAGACCCCAGCCTTTGATGCGCCCTGTAATAATGAGGGTCTAACCTAACTGCCTCCTCGCATTCCCTAACTGCCTCTGCAACTTTGCCTAAACTCATAAATGCCGCTGCTCGATTACTCCTATATGCTGCATTGGCTGGTGCTAAGGCAATGGCCTTGTCGTACAACGCCAATGCCTCACTGAAATGACCTTTCTTATACATCTCATTCGCTGCCCGCTTAACTTCCTCCGGATCCATGACCCCAAGCCCTTTATTCCCCACACAGGCATTTCCACGAACACTACCGGTGCTACAATGACTACTGCTGCTACCGCTAAGCAAGTTTCCATTGTCGGAGCTAATACCACACTTAGCCCCCCCAGCTCCACCGCCGCGGATTATGCTTCCATGGCCGTAGTGCCCAGTCCCAGAACCCAAGACGTCGGACTTAGAACTCCGGCTCGGCATTGCGATACTCGCTTTCAAGATCTTACCCGAGGGACAAATGTTTCCGGTCGGGAGGACGCTGAAATTAGCAGCTGGGGGAGAGTTCACGGAGCTCTGCCCGCTCCCGGAGTAGATTAGCGGGTCGGATCTAGCGTGGCTGGGCCTGTTATTCGGAGTTTTCAACCCGGCTGCTGTAGTAGTGGGACTGTTGCCACTGGAAGAAGTACATAGCAGCTCGCCGGAATGGCCAGATTTAGCAACTGGGTTTTGCCCATTTCGGGTTCCCGACACAGATCCAGACGAGCTTGTGCTGGAGCTAGTGGTGGTGGTGGTGGTCGTCGTCGTCGTGGTGGTGGTCGTGGCGGCCAGCCCCCGGGGTCGCAAGGGGGAAACAGGAGAACCCAGATCGAGTTCGCGGAAATCAGGCTTGTTCGCTTCCAAGGAACTCAACGAGTCGCGCAGCTGATCACTCGGCGACTCCAGACCTAGTCGTCGGTTGCCGTCATTGGGTTTTCCAGAATGCGACATTTTCTCCCCGCTCCTCAATCAGAAACCTCACTGATGAAATCCAGAAAGGAGGAAAGGGGGGAAACAAAAAGCCTAACAAATCTCTCTCACCATTTCTCTTTCTCTGCTCTACAAGTTTCGCCCCTCTCCTCTCTCTCTCTCATGCAACTCTTGTCTATCTGGGTGCGGCTGCCGGCAATGTCCGGGTGAACATTAGAAGAGAGAGAGATCGGGGAAGCAAGGAGAAGAACCCAGAAACGGAAATGGAAATCTGTGGCAGGAAGACATTAGATTGGAGGGGATTGAGATGAGATATGAGATGGGAGAAGGAGGAAGAAGAAGAGAGAAAGAGACAACAGCTGATGGGGATCTCGTGATATAAAGAAAGGGGAAGGAGAGGAAGCAAAGAATGAATAATGTGAGTGATGGATGAGTGGAAGTTTTTCAGATTTCCTTTTTCCACCCTTGTATTAATTTTTTTTACTCTTCCCTTTCCATGTGATTTTGTCAGGATTCTATTATGGTTTTAATTTTTCAAAATGGTATTGTTATCAATGACATTTTGATACCTTAAAATATTAGCATGATACGATTTTGTATATGTTAATGTTAATTTAATTTTTCAAAAAGTTTCCGATCGAAGAACTCGTATTTACCTTTATTCCGAAAAGCTTAAGAAGGAATTAGAATCTCAACCTCCGATTATATTATCACGTAAATGCTTGTTGGTATTTCACCATATTTTTCATGTATTATCCGTCTTGAGTTTTTCGATATTTACAATGCAGCATCATCTAGGTGAGGCGTCTTTTGAGTTTCAATTCATTAGCCAGCAATGCTATACAAACAAGTGTGAATCTGTCATTTCTTGACTAAATTGCAAGGATTAAAAGTCAAATGTATCATTAGGATTAGATGGTAGTCACTTGGGTATATGGTTATTGAATGATAAGAACCCTAAGCTTTAGGTATTGAATTTATAAATTGGCAAACTGAGGGTAAATGTTGCTTTTATTGAGTTGAAAGGGTAGTTGGGGGAAATAAAAGTAAGCAGATCAATATGCGATGGACGATTTAGTCGTCATTGTAATGTAACATGTGAGTCAAACACATGTGTATTATCTATGTTTGTTGAATAAAATTATAATTCATAGCATTATAGTGTCATATTTATGAAATTTATAAGTGAATATGAATTTAGGGCGAGACTAGAATTGTGAGAAGGAGCAAATAGTTGTAGAAGAGGAGAAACACCAAATTGCGTGGATGAGCTAAAATATGTCCATAATTTTTTTATAAATTAGAGTGTTTTAAAATAGAAAGACATCAAACTCAATCCAATATCATATACAAAACGTATTTTATTAAATTTTATGACAAACTCGATCCTTACATCAACAAAAGACATTGATAAGCTCTTATAAACTAAATCGAACAAAACTGGATCAACATATCAAGAAATCAGAGGACTCTAATAAGAGAATTCTTCGTTCATGGGACTGAAAAGGGAAATATGAAAAATTTCAGGGTCTAAATTCAACTAACTGAAAATTCAAGCAAAATTTTCAAGTGTTCAAGTTTCAACACACGGAGAAAAAGAAAATTGGGAAAATAAGGGGAAAAGAAAACAGAGGCGATCCCTTTTGTAGCTCTCCCTCACATGCCTTCTCTCTGCAACGACGAGGAGGAGGCCTCCATTTCAGCGACAGAGGAGCTCTGAATACGTATATATTTTTTTTTGCGGCTGAAAGGATCCCAATTTCGCCAGCCCTCTTTCGCCCTCGCCCTTCTCGTCGATTCAGAGTCATTAGCAGGTAACACGAATTCTCGTTCCCCATCACGATGCACATTTTCCTCAACATTTTTTCCAATTGAATTGGTGGCGGGGAACAGGAACGAACGCCAGTCTGTAGCCAACGGTGGTGGCGGTTGTAGTTTCGTTGTCATTTACCGAGAAATCTGTCGCACATCGCCCCGCCATGAGCTCATTTTTTGTTGTGCCGTCACTTTACGGTTACCTCGCGCTCTCATTTCACCCAACTGTGAGCGCGGGGAGAGGGATTGAGGGCAATATGATGTCGAATTTCTCCTGTCCGCGTCGCTGGCTTTGGGGGTTTTGCTTCGAATGTGGAATAGCGTTGTTGCATTGTGTGGAAATGACAGCGACTTTTTGGCAGTCCCCCCCCTCTGTGTTTCTGTTTTCTTGTTTTAAACGGATTTTCTCTAGATCTTTTCTGGGGTTAACTGAATTGTCTCAAATTCTTTTCTCCCCAGAGTTTGGTACTTTGAGGGTTGCGGTATGAATTGAAGGAGATCCTTTTATGAGCGATGAGTTTGATTCAGCAAAACTGGAGAATGGTCGTATGTTGGAGATATACTGCTTGATTTTGTGCCATCAGTGGTGGTGGGGTCTGGAGGAAGAGGCGTGTTCGTTGTTTTTGGTTCGTAAGACATGGCAGATGCAGCAGGGTTAATGGAGGCGGCTGGAACTAGATTTAGTTCCTTGGAGTTGATTGGTAGAGGATCATTTGGAGATGTTTATAAAGCGTAAGTTACTTGCAAATCTTGTGCCTTGTTCTACAATGTGGTGCCCATTTTTTTTCCATGTTCTTTTTCTACAGTAGTTGAGTTGTTCTAGTGCATACTTAGAGCTTGCATCTGCAGATAATTGCCTGATCAGTATTATTAGCGATCTATGACAGCACACAGAATGTAATGTAGCTTGTTGAGTGATGGAAAGCTGAACTCTTCTGTTTATTGATGATAGTTCCATTGAGCTTATTGTTGAGATGGTTCATAGAAATAAGAGTAGAAACATTAATGATGTTGGAATGTCCAGCACCATCGGTTCAGATTTGTGGATTAAGAGTGCAGATCCATGTTTAATCTGCACTTCCCTTGTTTCCTTTCTGTTTCTTCATTTATAATCAGGACATGGGTGTAGATTTAAGTTGTTGTAATATTTGTCTATTTTAAATTTTACTTTCTGTATTCTTCTGTACCTATATGTATTATAAGTCGGTTGTATAGTTGTTAATGTACTTTATATCAAACCTCTATTTCAAATGCTACATGAGTATCCAATCTTTATTGATTGAAATCAATTTGTGTTTTTTTTTTTTTGTGTGCTCTTAATTTTATGAAGACTAGAAAGAGACTTCCAGACAAAAAAGGAAAATTTATTGAAGGGGATATCATGTTCTCAATTCATCCAAAACCATAGTGGTAGATCATTGAAATCAATTTCAGCTTATCTACTTTGTGTGCTCATAATTTTTTTTTATAAGGGTGACTTGTGTGCTCATAATTTTTACAAAGACCAGAAAGAGACTTCTAGACCAAATAAAAAGGAGAACTGTTGAAGGAGTATCATGTTCTCAATTCATTCAAAACCATTGTGATGAAACTTATGCTTGAGGATCTGATTATATTACCTCCTCTAATTTGTCTTGAGATCTTGATCTTGACACAACCTTGTGATTTTCCAACTTGAACTTGCAGGTTTGATAAGGAGCTCAACAAAGAAGTAGCCATCAAAGTTATTGACTTGGAAGAATCGTAAGTATTAAGGATTAGACTTATCTGCCTTATGTTGGCCAGGCTAAGTAAATACACGGATTTGTTCTGCATTTCTGCCACTTCTCTTTGTGCACTTTTCTGCGGTTTCCTCTTCAAGTGGAATTGAATGGCATGGATATCTGCTTTCTTGATTTTGAAACAAATGAATTCCTGATGCTTAAAAGACTTATATAATTCCTCGAAGTTAGGCATATTTTGTAGGAATTGAAGGTTTTACTAGTTCATGTTGACTAATCAGCAAATCATATTACCGTAATTTCTGTTTCCCTCCCAAAATTAGTTTTGGTACATTAGATGAGATAACAAGTAAAAGAAATAAAACATATTTTTAGGAGTAATTTTGAATCGTGATAATTTGCTTGTCCATACTAGATGTTCTGTCTCTGATAAATGCTTATGTGAACCTCTTTTTTCTAACATTTCTAAGCTGTTTTCTTTAAATTTAATCTTTTGCAGCGAAGATGACATTGAGGATATTCAGAAGGTAGTTAAATGTCACTTTTCTCTCTCTTTTAGTTCTTGTTATGCTTGTTATAATAGTTGAGACGTCTGCTTCGTTATATGCAGTCAAATAAGTGGTTGACTTGTCATAATATCAAATTTTTACAGGAAATTTCTGTCTTATCACAATGCCGCTGTCCATATATCACAGAGTACTACGGTTCCTATCTTCAGCAAACTAAATTATGGATAATTATGGAATACATGGCTGGTGGCTCTGTTGCTGACCTTGTAGGTTACCACTTACTTCTGATGTTGCCTTCACTGGAACATTACATCTTCTATCCAGGATTGGGAAAATCTATTTCTCTTTCTGATTACTTTCCAGTGCTTATAAAGATAACTCTTTTACAGCTTCAGTCGGGCCCTCCACTAGATGAAACTTCAATCGCTTGTATTTTGCGTGATTTGCTTCATGCTGTTGAATATTTGCACAATGAAGGAAAGATTCACAGGGATATCAAAGGTTCATTCCCTATGCCTTTCATTATAATTAACTGCGGCAATTTGAATGTGTGGTTCAGAGCAAGGGTGTCAAACACTCTAGATTGCTTATAATTCACACCCAAACCCGGATCATGTTCAGAGAAAGAGTGTTAGGATCACTAGATTGGGTTATGGGCATCGAATTTTGGTTACTTGTTGGCAAGGATTTGGAACGAATTTTTTTCCCCAGTCTCTACTAGATTGAGTTTTAGGTATCTCGAGGCTCTACTTCCCTTTTCTGGGAGCACTGCTCTGCTAATTTATACTGGTTCATTCTCTCTTCTCCTTAAGTTCTCATTTTCATGACAACATTTCTTAATTTGAACAGCGGCAAACATTTTGTTGAGCGAGAATGGCGATGTCAAGGTATGTCATCCTTTGCTTATATAGCACCGCATGATCGTTAGTTTCAAGATATATATTAATATTGCTATAATATGCATTGCGAACGTACTCCCCAGGCGGGATACTTAATGCGTTAGCAACAGCACTGCACGGGTCGATATGTATATATTTCAGTATTTCATGCTACTTTGGTTACCATTTGACAGGTTGCAGATTTTGGTGTTTCTGCACAACTTACAAGAACAATCTCCCGAAGAAAGGTGCTCCATTTGACACTTAGCTATTTCATGAATTTATTCATAGTAATATTGATTGTGATACTGAAATGATAGGACTTTGGGTGTTACTCTTACTACCAGTTTATGCATTCTTCAGCGCAACCTTATTCACTGACGTCTTCATCAAAAAACCCTTATTCATTGACTTATATCTCTAGTTTTTTTTTCTTAGTTGTGAACTGATTGCTAAATATTTGCAGACTTTTGTTGGCACGCCCTTCTGGATGGCTCCAGAGGTTATTCAGAATTCAGATGGGTACAATGAAAAGGTATCAAATAGCAGTTTGAGAGTTCTCCTGGCCCTTTCTTATTTTTTGTCCACTGTACCTTGTGGAACTATCTTTGCTACACCACAAACTGCGTGATACTTGGGAGAAAAGGGATTTCGAGAAACGGGGTTCATCTAATAATGGTGAGAGAGTATTGAAAATATTCTCCTTAGAGTTGAACATTGGATCTGTTGTTCACTAATCACTTATAAAAAAGAGAGTGAGAACAGGAAAAGCAGGGAGGAGAGAGACAGATAGGTTCCAGTATGCTTTCATCACAGTAGTAATTTATTATATATGAAAGGTTATCTTCCTGAATCATCAAGTGTCTGCAGGCTGATATCTGGTCTCTCGGGATAACTGCTATTGAGATGGCGAAGGGGGAACCTCCTCTTGCTGATCTGCACCCAATGAGGGTCCTTTTTATCATACCGCGGGAAAATCCACCTCAGGTTATTTATTTTGCCCATCTAGTATTCCTGCAGTTCTTCTGTTACTGTAAATTTAACAATGGACATGGGCAATTACTTGGTACAGCTGGATGAACATTTTTCTCGTCCTATGAAAGAGCTTGTTTCTATGTGCCTAAAGAAAGCTCCTGCTGAGGCAAGTATTTGGTTCCAGTGCTATTAAGTTCTGTTGCTGTTCCCCTGCAGTAGTTGTATTTGTTTTGGAAATTTTCTAGATTAATTCAAACCGAATCTCTAGTTTTCTCCCCAGTCATGATGATGTGCATCATTCTTATTTCAGAGGCCAAGTGCTAAGGAACTCTTGAAGCACCGATTTATTAGAAATGTGAGAAAGAGCCCGAGGCTTGTTGAGAGAATAAGGTGTGATGTATTTCCTGCATGTCGTTATATTGGTTCTCAAAATCTCTACGCATGCTTACTAGGACCTTATTTTTCTACTTAATTGTTTTGCTTCAAGGTCAACACATGCTTACTAGGCCCTTATTTGATTGTTTTGCTTCAAGGTCAACACATGTTATCTAGGCCCTTATTTTTATCAACACTTGTCGTTGTATTGGATCCTTAGTTACAAATATGCTTCAAGGTCAACGTTTATGTGCAAGAAGCTTGTCCCACCTAATGTCGATGAAGTTTATAAGTCATTTGCCATGTCCAAGCATGAACGATGAACTATGGTTTAGCAGCTTAACACTATTAAAGTTTGATATATCAGGTGGGACAAAGAAATGGAAACAAGATTTTTGGGTCATGCAGCATTACTCTGCAACATATGTATGGTATTGATGCTACTCTTATAATCTTGATAGGGAGCGTCCAAAGTATCCAATTAGAGATGGGGAAAGCCCAAAAAATGGTACCCAAGCAAGAGGGGAAGCATCTGATACGGTCAAGGTGACTAGGGATGTAAGGGCAGATGGAACTGTTCAAGCCAGGTCAGTTTAGTCGATATGTTCCTATCTGAAAGTGTAGGTTGTGTTGTTTTCAGTACGTGATACTCCTAATATTACAGTGGTCCAAGAAAACCCCTGAAAAATGCTGGGTGGGACTTCAGCATTGGTGGATCACAGAGTACGGGAACTGTTAGGAGTGCTTTAAGACCACCTCAGGTTAAGGAAAAGAAAGTTGATGCGTCATTCAATAAGGTCAGTCAAAGAGAGACTTTGGAGCATGGTAACCACTTGCTATCTTCGTCTCGGAATGCACTTCAGGAATCAACTGAACCTTCCCGCGTTAAGGATTCCCGGGAGCCATTTTATAATGATGAACATCCAGATGATGATGTAAGTTCTTCATTTCCAAATCTTACAATTATTCTATTAGAGGAATTTTGGACAATAAAGCCAGGCTATGTTAAATTGGTGTCTTCCAGCTATATCATTCGGTAATCCTTATGAAAAATTTGTTTACTGTCACTTATGTTTCTGTTTTTCCAACTGGTTACTTCTGAAGTTCTCGATCTGGAATATCCTGTACAGTGTTATTTAGCTATTTAAATTTTCATTACAGGATGACTTGGATGCGAGTGGTTCTGGAACTGTGGTTATACGAACTCCCAAAGGATCTCAGTCATCATCTTCTTTTCGAGATCAGAGTTCACCAGTATGACTTCTATTCAGTAATATAATAACAATGAAACTATAGAACTGTTCAGTGTACACACTTGCTGCTAATCTGTTAACATGTTTCTTCTTTGTGCAGTCTAGCACCACATTAGCTTCCTTTGATGATGCATCTACTAGTGGAACTGTTGTTTTCCGTGGCCAACATGATGATTCTGATTCTCCCCGGACTCCTAGATCTAGATTGGGGATACAAGAGAGAAGCTCAAGTGTTTCTCATGAAGACAGTGCTTCAAATTTGGCTGAGGTTTCCATCTCTCTTTATGCTTTTATCCAATGATGGCATATGTTTCCATGTACTCTTTTTGGACACTGAATCACAATAATCACCACGATCATGTAAAGCTTAGCATGATTGTGTTAAGAAGTTCCAAGTGTATAATATGCAGGCAAAAGCAGCATTGCAAGGAGGGGCAAGAAAAGGGAATGCTAGAGAAAGGTCCGGTTTCAGCAAGGTCAACAATGATGGCCCTGAAAGTAGGAGGAAACAGCAAATAACAAATAGCTCTGATTCTACCAGGTATCTAACTCAACATTCTAACCAATATTTACTCCCAAAACGCATAGGTTTTCTTTCTAACATACATCACTTTTTTCTGCGAAGTTCTCAAGACTACCTTGATGCACAAAAAGCCTTCGCAAAATCACGCCAGTCAAGTAATGATGAAGAAAGTGCCAGAGTAATCTCATCGTCAGCTCCTCTATCAGTTTTACTTATCCCATCTTTGAAAGAGGTAATGAACTCCTTTTTTTACATCCATGCTTTCTTGCTATTGGGTTCTTCCAGTTTTACTGTCTATATTAGAACTACTTCAAATTTCAAGAATAGCAAATTTGCCATAGAGAGGGAACGGCAGATTATCTTGTGGGTCCCTGTTCTAAAAAACAGCTTGGCTCTACAGTCTACATCCCCATCAGAATTAGAAAGGAAGAAAATGGCACAGAAGAGAATTTAAATGGGATCTGGATTCTTTCCAACCTTAATGATCAAGAGTTTATATGAGAATTTGCAGCATTGAATTATTTGATATTATGAGATTTTGGTACTTCTTATAATGGACATTTAGCGTCCCAAAATTGGTGGTGTGAGGAGCAGCTTATTGAGGGCCGTAGTTGAGGTGGTGGAATGTGGGACAAATGGAATGCGTAGATAGAAAGAGATAGATTGAGAAGTTAAAAGGGTTTCACGAAGCTGAGTTCTGGTGAAAAAGAGTGCGAGAGGGGAGGGCCTTAAGTTTGAGAACTGAATTTGCGACATGTACAACAACTGAGTTACCCACTCTTCAATTCTGAGTATTTAGCACGTCATTTGTCCTTCTTATAACCTGATGCTTGTACTGTAGGCAGCTGCAACCGGTTTAGAAGGATCAGCAGTGAATGCTGTTATAAACTCCCTTGTGAATATGGAGCGCATAAAGCCGGGGTCTTCAGAAATTATTGTCAGAAGTTTACTTCAGAGAATGTCAAGGTTTGTATGGTTACCCCTGTCCTTGTGTACTGCTTTTTATTTTCCCCAATTCATACTGACGTGCTCGTTGCTGGATATGCAGTTCAAAGGAACCTTCTCTAAAGGATCTTCAGGAACTGGCGGCTGCTTTATTGTCGAAGGGCAAAACCACCTCTGCTGAAGAAGCTCAAAATGCAAAGAGACAACAGCCCAAAGATTTCAACTCAAATGCCAATTTAAGCCCTCTTGCAAGGTTTCTCCTCTCAAGGTACTACTACTCTACTAGTCTTGGCCGTTCCCTTCGAAGTAGAGTTAAAAGCTGAAAACGTTTTTCGATACCCATGTAACAGTTAGTTGAAACACGTCTAATATCAATATGGTATTTGCCTAGTATTGTGTCATAAGTTAACTATGCTCAGCCGTCGAGCTGCGTTTGTTCAGGTTGAGCTGATGCCTGTTAATTATGATGTGCAGATGGCAAGGTCGAGAGGCATAAATCTGTAATGGGTGGAGAAAAAGGGACTGGAGAGGAGGGACAACTTAACTTTTGCTTGGGAGAGAACCTTGAAGGAGAGAAAGGCCAATGATACTCTTTGATTATTAGTTTGTTCATTTGTTGTTGTAGTGTTTTTGCCAACCAAACTTCCTACCTCTGTCTATTCATTCTTTGTTCTGGATTTCCGATGTACATAAACATAATCATTATTACCATTATTACTACTACACTACATAATCATTGTATGGGGGAAAGGAAAAATTCTTTGATCTTTAAGCTCAGACTTTCTATAGGCTCTTTCGTTTGGGTTGGTTGAGGTTATCGAGCTGCGAACCATGTCGTGCAACTTACGGTATTCTGTAATATAACCGTGCAATGTAAGTTATTTGTTGCAAGTGGCCCAAACTGGTCAGGAGTGTAAAATCTTGCACAGGGATTACTGTTTGCAAGTTGCAACTCCAACTTGTTCCTCTCAGATCTGGCATGTATATGGAAAGAATGGGTTACAACCTTTGATATAAAATTGAGCCGGATTTCGGATGCATACAAAACTGGGTTTGTTGTACGCTAAGTGCTTCTGTGCATACAATACACCATTATTCTCTGTAGATCATTATTCAGAGTCTTAAGAATGTCAGATATAGGTTGTAACAACACTTGCTAACAATTTACAAAAACATCGGCTGTTCCTCGCCTTTCTTCCATGTTCCATTCATGGAAACCTGGATTACCTTTTCTTAGGAGGCTGCCTTGAAGTTGGAGCCAGTTTCCGGAAGGTGGCATGCAAAATTGTGACTGCAAATAGAAGATGTGAAGAAAGACAGTCTTTCAGTTCCTAGAAAGGCAACGCGAATCATAGGATAAAGATGCAAAGAGGTTCACCAAGGTATATACAGTTAGATGCTGGGAAGTTGGGAGGTTAGAAACATAATTTACCTGCGTAGCTGACCGCAACAGCACAAAGGAGAGCCTTTTGAACATTCAGGATTATCAATATAACTGCAGTTGCTGCAACAATGAGACAGAACAGAAAGGCAATGTTGCCGCGAGCGAGAATTCAGTTATTCAAAGTACATTTCCCAGAACTAGCTAGAAGAAAACAAAGATCAGAAACGTAAAAGAGGCGAATTCGAGCTGAGCAAAAGGGGGTAGCTATCCCCCTTGGTGATGAATGGTGGCAGACTCACCACATTGTGCAGTGCGAACCAAGACCTGCCGAAGCACAGGGTACCTTTCCCATCCCCATCTTTCATTAGAAAACTTGAACATGTCCCAAACAGCCAAACACGAAATCAATCCCACGAGAGCCAGCGGCATTTGATACCTAGATCACGAAACATTCAAAGTTCAGTTCTTGACCAGACAATGTAGTAAGAATTCTCAACACATATCTATCCACTCCACTAGCAAGAACTCCATAATCAACGATATAAAACCAACCAAAATCTAGTCTCTCATCAGGTCTGCAGGAGGAACACATAGCTCTCCCCATTTTCACCCACAAAGATGGAGCAATCAAAGGATTGACAATCAAAGGACTGACGGTTCGAACTTCAAAGTTTCATCTCTCTCAAGCCATGAACACATTTTGTGACCCTTCTTTCCTCCCTTCCTTCCCTTGCAACTATGGTTTCTAATTCTCATGCTTATTGAAGAACCAATCACAGCAATCGGCATTATAGATAGTGAAAAGGGACGAGAAACTTACAGAGAACAGGCGAAGAACACGATGAAAAGAGTGGCATAATTCCTGGCGTAACGCTTTACATTCTCGGTGACCCGGAGCCTGGCCTGGTGCGACCCGGACGGAAACGAGTAGGACCCGCAGTCCCCGATGAAGGCCGACGTCCACGAAGGAGTCGGCGCCGAGAAATCAGCGGCGGTGAGCTTGGAGAAAGGGTTGGTGGAGAAGACGGAGAGGAGGACGGAGACGGCGGGAAACAAGGAATCGAAAAAGAACCCACCGGTTAGCGATGCGTGGTCGAAATCGGTGGCTGCCGCCGCCGCCGTGTCGCTAGTAGAGGTGGCGCTGACTGTGGTTGCGGCGGCGGAGGAGGAAGAGTGTTGATCGATGAGCTCCAGGTAGCCGGAATCGCGGAGCCAGGACTCGAATTCTGCGTCGGGAACGCTTACGGATAAAGGATTCGCTGCGAACGCCATTTTTCCCCCACACGCACAAGTGATTCTCTTGCCGGCGAGAAAGGGATTAGGTAAAAGCGCGCACCCGCCATTTTTGCTCTATTGATACCCGCCAAAACGGAGCCGTTAAAGGAAACGACTGAGGGAGAGAGAAGATAAAAAGAAAAAAGTTAGTAGACTACCAGACTAGCAGTAGCTATGTCTAAGTGTCATTTCATCAAACACCTTTCGTTCAATCTGAACAAGGCTCTCATTCACCGCTCTTCTCCTCTCTTCCCGCTCCCGAGTCTCGTTAATACCACCAAGCCCGATTATCCCTTCTTTAGACGTTCATGCTTCTCCTCTAACATCCCCACTTCTTCTTCTCGTGCAACATTTTCATCAGTTTCGGCAGCGAGTCCTGCCACTTCAACCGACTGGAATTACCAGAGCTACGTTTCCGTCCGGATTCGATGCCCGCGGCATGCTTACGTAAGTACCCATTTCACCTCTTGCACTGATAATTGGGGCTGGTTTCTTGCCCTCATTCTTCTGCTATGTTTGTCGAAACCAGGAATCGTTTTCAGAAGCTTTGCTATGCTTCGGAGCAAGTTCAAGCAGCGTGGATGGTGATGGTGCTGGTGAAGAGGAAGAATGTGGAGGAGGAGATGGTTCATATGGCCTTAATGAGGTTGTACTAGTTTGCTGCGGGGCTCGGTTTCAAGTAAAGACTCGGGCTTTACTAACTTGATTATGCTTTTGTTGTAGGTTGTTATTGATTCTGTATTCGTGGAGTGCCAAGATGTCAAAGCGTGCATTGCGAAAGCTGCCAATGCTGCTGGTTTGAAGAAGACACCGAGCTATCAGGTTAAGACGGGTGCCCAGGATGACTGGATTCGGCAATCTCTGGTTTGTTTCTTCTTCTTCAAACTCGTTGAAGTTGTGAAGTAGTACCACTCCATGGCATATCTTCAATTTCGGGTGCATACAAACTGTCATTAAGTTAGTACATTTAATAAGTGTAGTTCTTATACCATAAATCAAATCTCTGGAATTCTATACTATGTTGTTTGAGTCTATCCCTACACCACCCTTCATGTCAACTGCTTCTGAGTTGGCAATGGTAGTGATCTGAAAAGAAGAGCTCATCTGAGCTCCTTATTGCTTATGTATGCGCGTCTCTTCTGGCTTTTGGCTGTCTTCTGAGCTCATATGAGTGATGGCTGGTGATTGAACATTTGGTGGTGCTCTTAGAGCTGTCATTAATAAGTTCAATTTTTTTCCAGGAATCATTTGATCCAGTCGAAGTTACTCAAGGGCTTTGGATTGTGCCAGAATTGAAATCTCCGCCAGTACGACTATCTCCAATTTATCTTCTCGAATAGGATTTACTTGAATGCTGCATTTCATAGAATCTCATATGTGACAATTAGACAAACTCTGTATGCTTGCATGCATTATTCACATATTTTCTACAGCTTATTCGAATTCTGCCAGTATATATACTTGAGTAAAGATACGACTTTTAGTCGATTCTCGCTTTGTAAAATCCTGTTTTCTGACAATCTGGTGATATTTGGTTCTTCATTCTCTTTGGATTAGGTAGCAAGGAACCAGTGCTTGTAACAATTGCCTGATTTGCATGATTTTTGTTCACTACAGGATATTAATGCGACTAATATAATCCTCAAACCTGGTTTTGCTTTTGGAACTGGGGAGCATCCTACTACAAAGTTGTGTTTATTGCTGCTAAAAGGTTTGATAAAAGGAGGAGAATGTTTCTTGGACTATGGAACCGGTTCTGGAGTTCTTGCAATTGCAGCACTTAAGGTAATTAATACCAGTATTTCAACCGCGCTCTGTGAAATGTTTCACTATCAAAAGTCTATAGTTATCTCACTAAATGTACTTGTAGTTTGGTGCAGCTGTGTCATTTGGAATCGATGTAGATGAGCAAGCAATTGAATTAGCACGTCACAATGCTGTTCTGAACAACATGGGACCTGAGAAAATGAAGCTGGACTTAGTTTCTGGCGATAAAATGCCTTCTCCAATGGGTTCAAGGACAGCTGGAGTGTTCATGGAAACTGAAACATGTGATGTTGTCGTGGCTAACATACTTCTGAATCCTCTCCTGGAACTTGCAGATGACATTGTCTCTTTTGCCAAACCTGGAGCCGTTATTGGGTTATCTGGGATTCTGTCTGAGCAGGTATGCTTGAAACATAAGTTTTCAGTCAGTCTCTAACTTGCCATGCCATGCATTTTGAAGTTCTTTGATACCATTGAAAGAACCAATACATCCAACTTGAACTGTCGGGAAAATTCCAAAAATGGATCCATACTACGAACTCGAAATTAGTTTGATCTCTACCTGGTCAAATAGTTGAACAAATCTTGTCCCTCCGATGTCTCCTTATCTGTTTGATCAAGTTTCAGATTCTCGTAGTTTTGCGCTTGATCTGATAAAGATGCTCTTTTCCTGACTTCTCTCCAATGTCTCCTTTTCCCCCATTTCTGCAGGTGCCACTTATTACCGACAGGTACTCGCAGTTCTGGGAAGACCAGTCAGTTGTAGAAATGGATGGCTGGGCTTGTGTTAGTGGAACAAAGAGAGCCAAACCAAACCTATGAGAAGGTGAGAGTTTCTCTCTAACCCTGTGGTTCAAAGTATGGTGTAACAGCCACTTGATCAAACTTTTGTTGGCACATCATCTGTGTAATACGCTTACTAATTAAGCAATACTAATAGGCATTTCCTGATGAAGTGCTCCACTTAATATACAATTCTACACCGGGGGAACACACATGGAATGGAATTAAAAACAGAAATACACAGTAATTGGCAAGGTAATTAGTTAATTACACTGTACATCAACAGGAAAGATAGAACAAGATGATGCAGTAGGTTCCTGTAATCATGTCCTTCTAAATTACATCTCACCAGTACTGCAAAACACAGCAGCACAACAAAGAAGTGGCCGCTCATCTCTCCATGTAACATGAACTTGTATATGAACATATTTTGTTTCTTCTAAACTTGTCTCAGCTTTTCTTGTGTTGTTATTCCTGGCTTGAGGGTTATTGAAGTTAGACTGCACTTAACTCTCTCTGCCCCCAGGAAGCTTGTTTGATTTGATTACGATGATTGACTGATAATTAATCTTGCTGTTCCGAGTTTTAGAATGCGGGAACCATGGCTGGCCTTGCTGTTGTTGTCGCTGCTGGTGGTGGTGGAGCTTCCCCAGTAACGCTGAGATTGTGGTTTGCTGCGGCCGCTTCTGCTTCCTCGTCTTCCGACACCCACATGAAATGTGCGTAGGATCCTAGCACCATACTGGCCCCAAACACCACACAAGAAGAAACAGATCAACGAGCGCGAAGCAAGGCGAGTCCTTGTACCATATCCGATTAACGTAGTGCTGGAGTTACGTACCAATCGTTAGGGGAGGCAGAAGCAGCCTGATGGAAGTAAGTGAAAGCTCGTTCTTGATCCTTGTAGTTCTCCCATATCAAGTTTGCGTACAGAGACAACACCTCCCCGTCCCCTGGATTCTCCAGTAATGCTCTTCCGTAGTATTCCTCTGCTCTTTTCCCGTCCCCTTCCACCTTTTGGTTCAAAAACAATCCATTGCAACATTCGAGTAAGTAAAACTAAAATCACGTAATGTTTAGTACGTAACATTTACGTCGAGATATGATGCATAAGTCTTATACATGCAATGAGAATGATCTTTTGCTGCATATCATCGATACATTTTAAAATGTTCAAGTCGTCGTGATTTAATCACGAAATGATCGTAGTACATTTGTACGACGCGTTATTGTAAAATATTGCGTATTAAATGCACAGATCGCAGGTTTACCTCGTATAGAAATTTGCCGTAGTTGCGTAGGAGGAGGGCGTCGTGGGGATTCGATCTAATGATCTGCTCGTAATACTCAGCCATCCGTCTCTTATTATCATTGTCGCCGCCGTTCCCCTCCCCTCTTCCTCCGAATCCACCGCCATTGTTCTTCCCGCCATTATTATTCCCATCCTCGACAGACTCCTCCATTGGGATGGCGGCGGCGATCCCCACCCCGTAGACGTCCTTCCTCGTGAACTTCCGCCGCGATCCAGCCGCCGCCGCCTCCACGGCGGAGAGGGAGCATCGGGATGCGGAATGCGGGAGTTTCTTTTTCATTCCTCCGCCGAATTCGGATCTGACCATGTCGCTCTCCGACATGGACCTGGTGATGCTGGAGGGAGATCCTTGCCGCCGCCGCGGGCTGCTGGCGACCTCCAGATGGATCGATTTCTTGTGCGCGTTTGGGTCCCAGGCGAACATTCCGGTGAGGGAATCGCTGCGATGGAGGGAGACCTTGGGGGAACCTGCCGGCGATCCGGCAGGGCAGACCGGCGGGTGGATGTTGTTCGAGCTCGTCCTCAACAGAACTGCTTTCATGGCTGATGATCTATGAAACAAAAATGAGAGGAAGAAGAAGAACGTAGACAGGGAGGAAAAAATGTTTGGATCCTGGAAATTGGGGGTTTCCGATTTCGTTGTATATAGACGGAGAAGAGAGCAGATGGGCCGGGTCGGAATGGGCCGGGTCGGGTTGAGTTCAGGAGGGATGGGAGACGGACACGTGGAGCGGAGCCCACGTGATGCATGAAAAAAGGCGGGAAAGGGGGGCGCGCGCGAGAGAGCCGGTTGGTTCGTTATTTTGGGGAAACTGCCTTCTTGTGTAGTCCACGTGGCACGTGAACTGTGTGATTTATGCATGACGTGGCATGGGATATAAAGGTTTTATATATTTATTTTTTTATTTTATATACAAGAAAACTCACAATTGTGGATGGCATTAATTAATCATAATCGGGATTAGCTGGTCGATGAGAAAAATGGAGTTGGTGTGTACGCAAAAATCTCGACACTCTAATTAAAGAATCGGTTTAAGTAACACCACTTGCATGAATTTCAGTCATATACTAACAGATATGCAACTTCCGGTATAGTCACCTACTCGTTGGTGCGCACTTGTAGTGGGATTTCGTATTGTACGATGGTTTTAACAGCTCCTCGTGTGATTATACTCACTATATGGTTGATGAATTCTTCGTTCGTTTTGTTAATTTTGTGTGAATTCGCTTCATTGTTTTTGTCTTCCAGTGAGTCTTCGTTTCACGACTTTCGTTCTTTGATGGTGGAAATAAGGTATGATGTCGAGAATGTATGATGTATCAGAGTCAGAGAGCTGCCCATTTGGCGATTCCGGGCTGTTCTTAAGGTTTTAATTACCAAATAGTTAAACGAACTCATATCAATAAATGCATTAGGTACCAAAATTTGGTATGGTAAAAACTAAGGCACCAATCTAATCTAACAAATTCCCCAATCCTGATTTGAACAAAAGATATGACTAATTTGTGATATAGTGGAGATCTACTTCCACAAATGTCCAGTTACTAGTGTGTACATATAGAAAAACAAACATGTTGGCATCACGCTAGTATGTTGAATGAAGAGAGTAAGTGTAGACTCGACATTGTTGGACCGCCGCGAGTAAAATCTGAACCTTATCTGTTGAATGTTCTACGGCAACTCGTATTCTGCCTGCAACTTGGAGGTCCAAACCACAACCGGGAAGGTTAGTTCATAGATGAAGCTGCAAGGCAGCCCTTATTTGAACTGCTACTTCCCTATACTGAAGCCAATGACACTTGAAAAACATTGCTGTCGAGGTGGTACTACGAGCCAGAATGATTCGAAATGGCATGTATTTCAACACTCCAATGAAAAGTCCAGCAGTTTCTCAAAGGCGTGGGATTTGAATTCAGTTCGTGTGCAATCATGGAAATCTGAAAGTGTGATTGAAGTACCAGTCTATGGCTTCTTTAGCTTGGATCGGTTTGCTTTGGGAGGCTGATCAGATGTTCTGATAATGAAAAGAAGCGTTTCCACTAGCATTGCGCCCACCAATCCCAGAATTCCACCAGCAGCACTCTGCAATTAAGAATTCAGTTGAGAAGCAGACGGACAAATAAACAAGAGTAACGTTTTTTCTTTCTTTCTTTATTTTACTACGAAATGAACAACAACGAATGATATTTACCATGGCAGGACTGTGGCCGAACAATGCTCTGAATGCTGCAAACCCAACTAAATATCCAGTGAACATGGTGAGGCCAACATGCAGACCTGTAAATGGTTGGTTCATGAGTGATGATAAATACTTCAGTAGTCGCACAAATTCTCGGGAGAGAGTTTTCCCACTTTCACACATGAACTCATAATTTGTGCAGTAAATAGGAATGGGCATGAATCAATTATGCACTCAGATAATATGTCAAGGGAACAGACTAAGATCAAGTTCATACATTACTTTACATAAGCATCCTATTTTGCACCAATCAAATTCGGTTGCAGCGATAAACCACATAGATAAACTATCTTTCGAAAACAGGTGAGACTTTAACATAAGCATCAACACATCAATAACTAAAGAACAAAAAGAGGGCTTTTTTAAGTTCACTATACCAAAGCCGAGCTGATCCTTGTAAGAAGAGAAGGGTTCAGTAGTCTCCTTGCTTGGTGTGATATCTTTCACTAGCTCCTGGTAGGCCTTTCTCTCAGCCAGTTCCTCAAGTTTTCTCAACCTTGCCTTTAGTTCTTCACCCTACATGAAAAATAATGAATTGAAAAGTTAAAACATTTTCTTATGCATCCGAGACAGATGATATTAACTTTGAAAACTTCTTCTCTCTGGACTTCCACATCTAATCATGTTCTTGTCTAATAACACTTCTTGAATAAACCCATAGAAAAACCTTGATGGAGGCAACCTCTAACATTCAAGATTTTACCTTTTCTCTAGGTTTAGGGCTGGGGAAGACGAATTCAGATCCTGATAAGAGAACCATTAACTCTGGACGGCTAGAAGGCTGAAATCCGGTCCATATACTTCGGAGAGACACATAGAGCAAATTGTCTTGAGACAACAACCTGGATGCAACATCTTTTAGCTCCTGAGGAAGCTGTGCATCATTGGACGCAGAACGGAGAAACGATCTAATGGAATCGTTGTTCTTGATACACAATCCTGGAGAATTTGATATTGCAACTTCTGTAGAAGAGCCCATCTGCATCAAACGATTGCTACCCTACAATTCCACAAGGCTACCATTAAGTTTTTGGTTTTGGCGGGTAACATGCAAAGTTCCATTGATATCAGATCACATCATTCAAATACCCCATTTGGGATTTTACTCAGCTTTGAGGATTGAACATGAATCGATATGAAGCTGACCAAACAACAGAACCCTGAACCCTAAACCCTAATCAGCTAAATTCACTTCATTCCCATACAGAGATACAGCATAAGCATCAAAACAGGGATAACTTGACTGCCAAAGTACCTGAGATTAGAGTGATGATGAAAGCCGGCGAGGGGAACGAGCGACAGAGAAATGTATCGAGCCCCAGCAAGGAATTAACCGGCGACCTTGACGAAAGGCAACGAACAGAGTAAACTGAAACAACGACACGGCAGCAACAACGAGCGGAAGCGAGCGATCGTCGCCGGGGCAAAGGTAGCAGCAAAATCGATGATGGGTAGAAGTGAGAACCCCGAGTTGGATCTAGCGATCCTCTGTTCTCCGCTTCTCCTCTTGAGTCCTGATAACGGCTGCTGGGCGACTCATGGTGAGTAAGGAGTGGCAATGGTTACGGTCTAAACCGAATGAACCGAGTCGAACAATAAAAGGCTAGACTATGATCTAAATAACATACTTCAATTTGGTCAGATTCAATCTAACATGGTTGTAATTGGTGTCCACCCTTCGAATTCAAGAACAAAACTTAATCAAACAATATTTCGATTTAGTTTGATTTGATCCAAATTTCAATTCAACCTGATTCGATTCGACCATTTTCAAATGGTGTAATGCGACAAAATGATATCTTTACTTAGAAGTCAGATAACTAGCTCAACCCTGATGATCCTATCATATTTCAGAAGTTCAGAGCACAGTTAATACCATTTCTTTACACCAAAATATACAATTCCACCAAAAGAAGAAAAGGTTTCAAAAGTTCATCTCTATGTTGCTTCACTAGGCACCCTCCATCAAACTTGCTTGATTGATAAGTTGGGGTGTTCCATCGCCACAAAAATTGAGTGAACTCTTTCCACTGGGCTAATGATTTGTTCTACATTGCAGCCTCAAGATTAATCAGAAAGTTAAAAGAGTAATGATCTCCTCCCATCATAGTTTTTTCACTCCAAGTTCGGCAAACGCTTTCTCGAGCGTGTCCACATGTGCAGGTAAGGAGTTCTTAAACGTCTGCGAACAGCTCTTGTCTCCTTCTTCGAGATCCTGGATTCCACCCTTCACCAGACAACCGACTTGAGCACCAGACATGTATGCTTTGCATGCCACCATGATGTCCTTGGCCCGGCTGTGGAAATGGCCCTTCACTAAATCCTCGAAATGCTGCAAAAGAATCGATCAACTATCTCAATGGGACAGGGAAAACTGCAGAAAGTTGTACAATGAACAATAAAGGAACCCTTTTTCCAAATCGATGTCTGAATTTTCAACTCGCTCTAGAGTTTCCATACGTAAAATCAAAAGACATGGGTTCTTGCCAGCTTTAGACATGGATAAACTATCTGAAAACTGGAAAACTGGAAAACAATCAAGCGATATCATCTTTCAAGAACAGTTAAGAGCCTTGTCCAAAAGACACTTACTTTGGGCGGCTTCCTCATTGAATAAACCATTGTCTTGAGTGACAAAAGCAACGTATTCTCATTGTACAGTAGGGACTGGATTTCACCTTGAGCGCTGCCCTTTGACATTTCATAACCAGGTTCATTAAAGTAGGGGTTTTGATTCAATATTAATGCTTGTATAGAAAGCAGAACCTGCATCACATTTGAAAGCCTAGGCTGCCAGTTCTCTTTCTTGCTACCAGTCCATGTTCCAAGAAGGCTGAGGCAAACCTTTCCACAGGCATACAAGTTTGGGTTTAATCGAAGACCACCGGAATGGTAGTGGACTTTCTGATATGGGGAAAAACAAAATAGTAAGAAAAAGGGCAATGGCATAACAAATCACCCACTGTATGAAAGAACACTACATACCGGCGGAACACTTGGATAGCCATTAGGGAAGAAGATATCAAAGAAAAACAGACCATCATGGTAAGGAGTTCCGTCTGCACCAATAATTACAGCCCTCAATAGGTCCATCCTTGACTCGTAGGCCCTCACATATATGGTATCTGTTTACATGAACAAAATTTTCCACAAAACAATAGTTCAGGAATGATGTAATAGAAGGAAATAAACATCAATAGCAATATAAAGTTTCCTTTCGAATTATAAAGAGAGAAACGTACGCAGGTGCATATATCACTGCTAATTTTCTTTTCACAATATTTTTTCACTCTCAGAAGAAAGGTAAGCTAACCCATTGCCCTGCTAATTTCTCATCCTCGAAACTAGATCAAGGTTTTAGTATGAGCACTCATGTTTCTAGTCTAATGAGGTCAGGACTATATACAGACAGCACCGGCAAACCAACATTAGGTAATATATGAGCAACATTCTTAGATCTTAATGTCTAAGTTCACAACAAAAATGGAGTAAAGCATTTCATAGAGAACACTTAATAGAGTTAGTAGTCCATTCACCATTAATGTTACTGAGGATCTAGAAGAGGCCTTCATTCTGTTTTAAATACTAACCAAGTAACCGTCCATCAATTACGATCCTCGGCAATTGCTATTGGGAACCACAATTCAAAAGATCAAGGAAAAATAGCAAAGGTGCAATCCCTAGAAAAATTTCTTTGACAATAACCAACAGGTGAGAGGAACAGTTCTTAAACCAATTGGCTATTAAAAGAAACAGAAACTCAATAGTCAGTTCTTGGATTCTCAAAGAATAGCATGGGTACATATCCTACCTGGCAAATCTTTCTCCAGAATTTTCCATTCGTCTTGAATTCGTTTGACCCGCTTCTTCTCCGTCTGGCAGAAAAGAGATGAATTGGTCATACAAACTTCAAAAAGTTATTATGTAGCAAGTCATAGAATTGAATGATTTTAGGTCCCTCCCCTTTTTGGCAGATCAGACTTGTGCTGGATCCCGGTTCTCACACTTAAGCCAGATAACAATCTCTTTGAATTGCTCTTAGAGAACGAAATAAGTAAAAATTCACATACAGTCACCTGTTTCGATGAAGAAGACTTGTAGTGATGGTCTGAATAGTCTTCAACGATATCAAAATGTTTGAAGAGCTTCAATTTGCTTAAAATTTCATCAATCATAGCATTTGGAGCTCCAGGTTGCTCTTCTGCAGAGGTATACATAGACGGTGAAAAATAGATAATCCAGATATAGTTCACTTGCACCCTTACCAAACAAATTCAGAGATGAAAATAGGGATGGTTGAACATAACAAAGACATATGTTTAGATGTACCCATACGTGCAGAACTTGGAATCACGGATCCCTTACTACCAGCTGTTTTGCTTGCAGTTGAAGTATGGCTCCAAGACAATGGATCTTGTCTTATCGGAGGAATGTGTCCATGCCATATACCATCAGGAACTTGAAAATATGAATCGTTTAGGGTGATCCCTCCATGCTGAGGAGTCCATGTCTTCTTATTAGGGGTAGTTAGTGCAGACTTCCACAAATGAGGAGGTACATACATCATAGAAGAAACATTTTCAGAGACGACCTGCTTCTCAAGGCCTGCACTACTCATTGGAAAAGTCTGTTTGTTGACCTGGCTAGGTTGGAGGAATTTATTGCCAACTTGGCTAAAATTTGACCACTGAGAATTCATGGTATTCAGTTGACTTTCATATGATGTGGAAAAAACACCACCTCCATTAGGTAGTGTTCCCGTATTGGAGACATGACCCATTAGTGATGAAACAGGCACCTCAACTCCAGTGTCGAGACTTGCATTGTAGTTATGTGATTGTGGAGTTACAAGATCATCGAACAACGTGACATCGTTGGGATTAAAAAATGTGTCTTCCTTTCCATGACTATTCCACAGGCTTGTATCTAGGGTGATTACATCCTGAGAATCAATTCAAAGGACATTTAGAGGTGAGTTAGAGATGATGATTACTATGATGACGTGTTGACAACCAAACGTGTCTAGTCAATGATATATCTATACCTCGCATTTCATAAGATTGACAGCCTTCTGATCCTTGATAGCTTTGCCTTTGTCCTTTCTGCGAACATTCTCATTCAGGATCACCACATCACTGAGAAAATCGTGCTCGTCTACATCAATGATTTCAGGGAGTACAGCCTATAAAAACATCCCAATAACAATGTGTTACTACTTACTAGAGAGAATATATCTCTCCAATGGTTGCCAAATAACATCCACCAGAAGTCACAATGAAGATGTATCCAAGTAATACATCTGCATAAGCATCTGCAACCGACTGTAGGCAATAAGGGGCTAGGGCCACAACATGCATAAAAGTACCTAAGAACGCCTTTCGATGTACCAGTTCGTTTTCAAATTAACAGCACAGCTACGACCTGTGAAATGTCAAGGCCCAAACAAGCACTCGCAGCTAAGTAAGAGTGTAAGACTAAGTTCCCCCAAAGCTAAAGGAGGTTACTTTACAGCACTAGAGACGTGAGAACTTCAAAATGCTAATACAAATTGAAGATATAATACTAAAGAAACCATCTGCTGGAGAATGAATTCGACTAACCAAACAAGCGGCATGTATGTTCTACATTCTTGCTCGGAACTTAGCTGCTCTAAGAGTTAAAGGGTCGCAAGTAATCCCACTACCTATTTCGCTACCAGCAGATAACCACATCACAGTTATGTACTCTACAAACCAAGGGGGCTCAAATATTTCAGAAAGAAGTAAAGAACCCAGACACAGTAGCACCTCCAAGAACGCAATAACTCATGCAGCACCTCAAAAGCACCCAGAAAAGCACGCAAATGGGGAAGGGGCAAAAACCCTGATCATCAATGGAGGGGGAAAAGAGAAGTCCCGGCAAGAAGAGAAACGAAATGAAACGAAACGCATCTAAAAGAAAAACCCACGATCAGAAAACAAAGGGGGGCAAGGCCAATCATCAATCGTCATCTGGAATTCCGGAAAAGATAAAGCACTGAAAACCAACCTGTTTCTGTTTTCTCTTCCTGGTGAAGTGGGAAGGCGGGAGGGAGAGCGGGGAAATCTCGACGACGTCGGCGTCCTCCATTGGAATAGCCGTCCGGTTCGGTGGTTCCCCCTGTTTTCTGAAAGTTCGCGATGACGGTAGATGAAAACAAAGACCCAATAGAGATACCCACAAGCGGAGTTATAAAGGGGCAGTGAAACTTAAAATCAAGAACACGACACCGAACCTTTTTGGGTGGGAATTCTGTGGAGGCCGCTATAGAACAAGGAGAAAACGGCGGCGGCGGCGGCGGCGCGGCGATCGGCTCACAGTATCAAGAATTCCAGAGGTGTAGAGTGAATGAGTGATTACTACGGGGAATTGATTGGAGAAGTGAAGAAGAAGAAGAAGAGAAGATGAATCACGCCACGGAGTCGCAAAGATCGGCTTCAAAGAAACAAAAAGGAAATGCCGACTGGCGCGGATAGAGTGGGTTGCTTTGTATAATTCATAATTGAATTGGACGGGGTTTAAAAGAAGCGGGTTGGGCTTTTTAAGTTTTTTAATTCGATTGGGCCACGAGAACGGACTTTAGTGTTGGTGGGCCAAACTTTAGCCTATGGGCCTTAAGGGAATTAATGTAGCATGGTTTTTTTTCCCGGATTATTATCCTTGCCAAATAAGTTATAACAACTCAAAGACTAATTAGGTACGCGAAGTTGTAAAAATCATTAGAAAGTTCAAGATAACGAAGGACATTGCGAGCCACAGTATGGACAGCTCGATTCGCTTCTTTATGAGTGAAACAAAAGTGAAAACAAAGTGAACCAAAGGTAATTGTAATGAGAGATACTGAGATAGTGAACTTCCCACATAATTGCACCACCCCTAGCATCGTTATCCGCACGTGTTACCAACTGCTGTTAAGACATGTTGCGCATCCCCTAGTGATTCTGAATTGATCAGTCATTCCACCTCCATTGTCGAAGAAGATATAGCACTTCCCGGATCGCTAGTACCTCAACCAAGTAGGAATCAGAAACGAAATCAAATTATCAAACCCACAATGCCGACATCCCAATGAGCATTTCTTCGTCATATTGTGCATTCAACGATCTCAACCACTACATGTATTTGGTAATTTGAGTGATCAACACTGCAATTTTAGCCGGTATTTTTATATGTCTTGATACGAGCAATCGGGCTATGGTGCTCATACTTGCTCTGTGTGTGTGAGAATCGTTTTACACTTATTAGAAGTTGTTGATCGGCTAATGGAGTTGGTGCTTCATAGTCGTTGTCATCACATCTGGTCAAAGATCGTTAATTGTCGGTCAATCTCTATCCAATGGCGGTTCCAACACTTGTAAGATGATTCTCACATATGGATAGTGAGCACTATAGTAAAATTCTCATACGGGCGACGTACACAAAGAGGTGTTAAAGGATTTATAACGTGGGTTTTAGACGAATCTAGAAGAAAAAAGAAACAATGAATTTGATGATAAGTATTTCCCCACGCAAACCGTGGATTTTCAGTAACGACACCGAGAATTAAAACCCGGAGACATGTTTGTTGGTCCCAACATGATTAATCAAAGTGAAAGCAACGTATTCTTCAAAATCACGGGATTTCCATGACCAAACACTGAAGAATGATATCTCCATATTTTGTCTACAATCAGTTTCGACAAAGGAACATATTGAATAGACTTACCTGCCATCCCTCATTCATTCTCTCCTGCTGATCATACGTGCTTGGCAGTCTCTATCAAGCAAGACAGCCATGCAATTGCAAACAAAACCAAACACCCAATAAAACGAGAATGGGCGGTGTGGAAGAAGAAGAAGGAGGATATAATTTTTTTGGTCAATTGTGTAAATGGTCATCCAATTATGGACATCGGGTGCAAAACTTTGTTTCGTGACGAATTCGCGTCATTCAAGTTTCGGGAGAACTAATATGAAAGTCGATGGATTTCGTTCCAATCAGAGTTTTCATTTGACTGGGCTTAAAGATTAAAGTGTCAGCTCGTCTTAGGGCGACAATCAAATGCTGAGTACGACATGTGGAGGCAGCATGGGGATGTATTTTAGCGAGTAATTGTTATGCACTGAACTCATGGGTTTCACCTTGATCGCCACCCGCATCGTATGCAAAACCACCTTAGCTCTCTCGTGGGCTTGCGTGATGACTACTTACAAACAAGGACTGTGTTACCAATTTGGATGTGGTTGGCACGCTGCTTTTCGGGCTCATTTAGCGGCAAAAAATATTTTCCTCGATGATAGTAAGAATGAGTAGTTGTTTCTTTATTTATTGAAAGAGGGCTAAGCCAAGAAAAGAAGTTCATGAGGCGAGGGATTATATAAAGTGATTTTAGGAATGCCTTGTTTGTGACAATTCGTAGGTCTCTTCTAGATTTAATTTGATACGGAAGACAATTGCATTTAAGTTTTCGTATAGTCTTTGAATGTTCCAGCAATGCGATCCAATTTTATGGTGGGTGCCACTATTAAAATCCCTATTTTGACATTCTCACAATCTCATCTACAAACCTTATTTATCATCCATTTTTACTTTAATAATACAATTCAAGATAACTTGACGAACCACAAATATGCAATAACAAACGGTTGTGTTAAGTTATTCTAAACTTCAGTGACAAAATAGTAAAACATCAAAGTTTAAGTAACCAATTTGTTAGTAACCTTAAAATTTGGGGCTATTTCTGTAATTGACCCCAAAAATAACGGGGCCCTTTAGAGCCCCGTCTTTTCTTCTGGCCGGAAATTAGTTCAAAAATTTCCCTCCAAACTCCTCCATTATAGTCTCTCCGGTCCCCCGAAACTCTCACATCTCTGCAATCAATTCCTTCGCCAAACCAAATTCTTCAATTTAAATTCTCCCGTCTTGGAAATTCAATCATCATTCATGACCACAAAGAATCCAGGCTCTTCAGTTTCTCCTCCCAGTAGTTCCTCCTTCCCGGCCGCCGCCACAACCTCCGGCAAGGTTCCGCTGCGCATTTCTGATGTCCTGGCCCTTCCTCAGGACGACGAACCCGAGGAAGATTCTTTCGAAACCCACCATCAGCGTCGCGATTTGAGGAGTTTACTGATGGGTGAAGAGGGTTTTTGCCAACAAGATCGTCGCCGGATTTCTTACTGTTCGCCGCCGCCGTGCCGTCTCGTCGCCCGGTGGATGTCCTGGATGAAGCGGGTGAAGATCAAGGGAATTTCGAGGAAGTGTTGCAAGAGAGAAAGTGGGGATAGAGTGGAAGCGGATGTGCAGCATAGGTGTTTGACGAATGGTCTCAACGACGGTAAGTAGTTTGGTAGATCAGAATTCAAAATCGGGGTTTTAGAAAGAAAAAAAAGGAGTTAGCTTTTTCTTTTTGTGAAAGAAAGAGTCTTGCTTTTGCAAATGCCCTGAATTTGAAACCCTTGGGGATTTGAATTTTTTGTGGTTTTCTGTTCAGTGGGTTGCAGGAACGAGGCCTGTTTCAATGCAGGGATTGGAGCTTATCTTCTGTACTTAGTTGCATCGACGAGAAGCGAGCTGGATAGGTTCAACGCGGCGCGGGTGGAAATGGAGACGATTCTACGAAATAACAAACAACCACAGCGGCGGCGGAGCTTGGAGGGAGATCGTAAAGATGGTGATGTTCTACTTGAGTTCTCAATCAGAAAGTCTGTAGTATTAGAAGAAGAAGATCATGATGATGAGTGCGAGCCCGAATTCCCCACAAATTCGTACGCCTTGCCAGCAGCTGCTGCTGTTGCTTCTTCTTCTTCTTCCTCCTCCTCCTCAACTGTGGTTTCAGGTAGCGAAACCCCGAAAAGGGAGGAGTTTCTGGAAGGCATGGAACAGCTAGAGGCGGAACTCGAAGCTGAACTTGAACTCTTGCAGCTCCAATTGGATGGAGATAAGTTGATGGAACATTCCCAGCTCCTAAGGGTAAGAGTAATTCACTAGTTGAAATACTTCTAGGCCCTAAAGTTAAGCTCTTTAATTGTGGCATTGATCCCGGGCTGAACCCTATTCACATCAGATATGTGTTCAGTTGCAAGTTGTTTGTCCTGAATAAGGGCAATTCTGATTTCTGAATGACACAGGTCAGGAATGGGGAGGAAACTGAATCTTCAAAAACCTACAGCATGACCTCATCAGAAGAAGAAGTGGAGGAAGTGATCGATCCAGAGCATAGGGAACCGGATGCCGAGTGGCCTAGTGGCGTCCACCCTTATGAACTGGCAAGTAGACTGCACGAAGTTCTGGAAGCAAGACAGCAAGAAGAGATCAGAGAGCTGGAAGCCGCTCTGGAACTGGTGAAGCGCAAGCTTGTGGAGAAAGAGTTGCAGGTTGCTTGGTGGAAAGCCGTGGCCAGAGGACGAAAACTCAGCATCAGTAGTTCACAGGAAGTACCGAGCTAGCTCCCAAAGTGGAAATGATTTGTTATGAAGTGAGCTCCAGTTTCATGAGTAAAAAAAGACTGAATCCCTGGTCAACATTTCTGTCCGGCGAGCTCTGGTCTCATGAGCCTTAAAGGATCGAATCCATGGAGGATCAGTTGAATTGCAGACAATTCTTTCTTATTGTAGTCATGTATACAGATTGCAGAGTTGATTGGATAAGTTTAGGGCGAGTTTCGTTGAGAGATTCTGCTTATTGTCGGCAGTTTTGACGTGTTCTTGGTTCGGCTAATAATCTCTAATTAGGGGAGCGTAGGCCTTTTGTCTTTATGAAGGTAAGCATACAATCGGCCCCAATTAAATATGTTGAAAGATGTTCTATTTAAACTGCAACAAGTTGGCGGCACGTCCAAACCTCTGTCGTGTCACTCTTGTCTAGTTTATGCTTCTAATCAATCATATGATATGTGACTTAACTACATAGATAATTAAATATCAATATTAACCAAATTCTTAGAAGATAATGAGATTTGAATGTATGTCTTGATTTGTAAAATACAAAGATTAGTACGATATATTTTAATACGTCGAATAAATACAGTTTATTGCTCTTGAAACAATTTTATGAAGGCAAGACAATAAACTCAGACTGCCCAACTCGCATAAAATTTTCGGATTGGGATAACGTTAGACACATTCACCAAAATCGTCCATCATAAAAGGATGGGAATTCGATTCCATTCCTTTAACCCTTCGAGGTACATACGATGACATTAAGCACGTTCGTAACTTCCTGAGGCAAGACATTCAAAACTTCATGTACAGTCGAAAATATAGTAGGTTGCTTCGATGCGAAGCCATTGATTGTCAGGTCTTTGGATGGAGTAAGCACGTTGTTGACAACTAAGAGAACATCCGAGGAAGGCTATGAACTACATATGTCTACACCATTAGCTCGACAAAACACCAATGATTTACACCGTGCTGCGTTTGCCTAAAGAGGTTTAGTGGATGAACTTCTCTCACGTCAGTTGCCGCTAGAGGTGCGAACATTTCAGTCTGCTTCCAGCTCGGCGCCAAACTGCTCCAACCGTTGGGCATCAGCATCGTAATCGCGTACCGTAGTATGATTAACCACTCCGTCATCCTCACTTGCATGTACCTGTCGACCGCCAAACCTGCAAAAGTGTTTATACCGTCAACTTACAGCAAATCGCAACCAACTGAAATATAAAGCAAAGGGAAGAAAAAAAACACGATTTCAACAACAGATATTGGCAATTCTCGGGGTTCGTTGTAATGTAACATGTTATTCAGGAACTTAAGCATCTAGCAGTAGCAGATGACAAACTTACCATCGACCGTTCATTGTTTCTATGCACTTTTGAGCATCCTTCCTATCCTTAAATCTGACCAATACAACCCCCTGAGGGTGATTTACACAGACCTGAAGAGAAGGGGGAAAACAATCGTCACGACAAGGTGAAGCGTGAGCTTTGTCGGTGGGAGTATAGAGATGATTTAATGTAAGAAGAACAGGAACTGACAGTTTAAAGATTTGGTCAAATTGCAAATGTGAAGAAGTAAGAAGAACACGAACTGATCAAAATGAGAGGGGAAAAAAGCACTCCAAGAAAATGGCTCATGATGAATACAGGAACATACACCAGTGAGAAAATTTGACAAAATGGACAAGCACCACAAGGACAACTAGAATTTTTAAACATTTCCATTACCTTGACAAAATCAATCGGACCTAGTTTTAGGCATTCCTCTTTAACATCCTCTTCTAGCTCAGAACACAGATTTTCATCAGCCTACAAAAAAAAAAGTTATATATTGTTCTGTTTATGTCAGAAAATGGCCATGATATATCTTCATGAGCATGTCATCTATTGAACCTCAGAACCACAACAACAACAACAACAACAACAAGAAAAGGGAGAAGGCTAATCAATAGTTCAAGGTTCTAAACCTACCCTCATCTCAGCAGGAGAAAACATGTAGCGCAGAACAACTGTAGACGGGATGCAGATCTTGGCATCATCACGTCCTCCTTTAACGAAAAAGAAACTTATATCAGCTACTGAAAATCACATCATAATCCTCCATCAAATAACATAGTGTATTCAGTAGCGGTTAGCAGAACTGGCAACAATTTAACAGCGATCGTGTGATAATAGAAAATATAATTCAAGTGATGTAATTAGTTTCCTATCACCAGAGTTCTAATTGGCAATAATGTCACTAATGAGTGATCAAATCATTACAATGAAACACTTCAGGATAAAGTATACAACATGAACACAAAACCGAGGAGCATAGCTGAGCAACTGAAAACAGCAGAGACAAGGAGAAAGTAGCACCCACCCCATCCAAGCATCTTGTCCTCTACCTTCTTTGATTTCTTCTTCTTGTTTCCATCCGTTTTTTTGGATATAAATTTATCCCCTGAATTTGATGGGAATACGGGACAATCATTCAGAATGCATACAATAAATGCGTCCCAAAACAGCTACATCTCAATCATATGGAAATGAACAACAGAGACATTACTATCTTAGCTTAACCAAGGTTTATGATCGAGTATAAATAGGCATTTATTTTTTACCCTTCTGCTGAAACTTTGCTTTGCTGACAGACATAGGGGTCGTGCCAGTGGGACGTAATGGTGTCCCATCTAATATTTGAATAGCAAGGTCAACCGAGGGTTCCTAAAACAAAACACAGGGAAATATGATTAGCCAAGAGAACAAAATAAAGTGAAGCAAATACTGCCAACTCCCAAATATAGAAACCAAGCTGAACAGCAATGAGATTGCCTTTAAGTATGTCACTAATGCATCTCCTTTTACTCTTCCTGTCTCTTTATCGAAGTATATTTTTATACGAGGCTTCTTTGTCTCCGGATCCTGCAGAAGTCATATATCCTATCTGTTAATGCCAATGAATTTCCAATAGTAAGAAAGATCTACACTCAATGTTTCTTAGCTAGTAACACAAATAATTGACAGATAGAGGCTAAACTCCTGACTACAGAAATAGAGGATACAGTAGCAATAAAACAAGAGAATCTAAGCCTAGCCTTCTTTTCATTCATCTAGTGTCTACTTAACTCACCCCCTTCGTTCAACTATCCAGTGTTAACATGCTAAACAAAATACAGTATAAAAGACGACTAAATCTATTATCGGGCACCCATTTATAATCAAATTTTTTTTCTTTAGGAACAAAAAATACCAAGAATAATCAGGAGAGGATATGATTTTACCTCCTTGATTATCCCACACTTGGTAAATACCTCAGCCACCTAATAGAACATTACCAAATTAGTTTCCTTCAGCATAAATAAAAAAAGATCACCAAAATAGTAACTATTACTTCTTCAGCAGTGACATCATCAGGCAACCCAGTGATGTAAACATGAGTATTGACTTTCAATTCAAACCAACTATCAGGTGGTTGATTGGGTTCCTGCATAAGCAAGAAAAAGAAAAAAAATCAGCAGAAGTGCGGAAGCAGCAAATCAGATACAGCAGGGAAAAGATGAAGTTCAACTGAACCAAGTAAAACCTGGGTGTCACAATTCACTACAAACAATGCGAGAAAGAGCCAGTGTTACACCTGCCCCTGTTATTGATAATAAATAAACAAGAGAGGTGATCAAAGGAGCACACACCTTCTTGTCAGAGAGCTTATCTTTCGCATCTGCTTGTTTTTCTGGCAGTTTCCTTTTTCCATTATGGTTTGATTCCAATGTCTCATCAACATCCCTGGCCTTTCCTCCTAGCAATGCATCACCAACATTCAGAATTGGAAAGACTTCCTCTTCCTTTGCGAAAGTCATGTCTTCCGGCTTGTATGGCTCAATTGTGCCCGTTATATTCTCCTAGAGACCATCCAGAAGTGAATATTATATCAAACTTCACATCATATAAGGCATTAAAAATCAGCATGGGGTAACACAAATATATCATATGAACTGAAAAAAGTTCATCAACTAGGCTGGTTATGAAATGAAGCATGAGCTAAACAATCAAGCAAGAGACACAATTCATAATTTTCAAGCAAGTAATCTGAAACCATACAACCAACCTGAGGAACCCACACTCTGAGACTTCTATCCCACTTGTATGTTGTCCCATCATCATCTGTGAACTCTTCTTCACCCTCTGGAGGTGATGATGCAACTGCATCATGATCAGTCCCAACAGTACTTGGTTCAGATCCGTTTATCAACTGTTCTGCCACTACCTCAGCCTCAGTGACCTCTCTTTTCCATTTCTCGAATTCATCCTCATCAACATTGGAGAGGACTGCAACACAGATTCCAATATAAATATCATAGGAAACAGAAACGCTAAGTATAACTTCGCAGTTATAGTGATATCATGCATAGAAATAGAGTATTTTTTATGCATAAGAATTCATCATCCTGTTTGAAATGCATTCATTCGGCATAAGCTTTGTCTCTAAAATAACAATTGTCTAAAATACGTGCATTCTCAACATACATTATATGAAATCATAGGTTTCAAACTAGTTCCTCAAACTTCCAGCAGCCCGGTTTCTTCTATGAAAAAGTTTAGAGCAACCCTTGGTCCATTACCCCTAGTAGTCAAGCAGCTACTTTTATCGTTTCAAGGACTGTTTGATGTATACCGATTGCCTTTTGTTGGGTTTTTTTTCCTGGATTTCTTTCCACTTGATTATGAGTCATATATAAAAGCAAAGACACACCCAAACTACACACCAGTAGAACGGGGGCCTTGCTGTTCTGTGTTGCCATGATTTACATCTTTAAAACCAAGAGGCTCTGATACTGATTGTACCACTGGGACATCATCTTGTGTCTCCACTATACTGGCACTATTGGCGGATGCTGCATTTTAAAGAAAGAGTCAAGATCTTTCAAGAGAATCAATAAGCCAAATAATGGCATTCATCTGAATGAGAAAAACCTGTACCTTGCTGAGAAATTGATGACATCAACTCAGGGACTGAGGATAAGGACTGCCATTCACTTCTTCCTTCAGACCATACAAGTGTACTTTCTAGGAGGTAGCCACTTAAGAAATGCTCTGCGAAGTAACAAAGGAAAGTAGATGGTTCATCATTTTAGACCAATTGAACGGGTAACAGATATGAAAGCCTTTCCATAACCCTTGCTATTGATTCCTGGTAGAACTAAAATTGCAGGAGATAAATTTGGAGGTAATTTAGTGGTCTCAGAAGGGAAAACCAAGCAATTTTTGGTCCTCCCTAAGCATCCAAGAAAAATAATAACAACAATCACAGCAGAATACATCCGAGGGAAATTTAGTATCCAGAAACTTTGAAGATTTCAAATGCTTATTACTTCGAAGTAAGGACAAGGCTTTCACATGAAGAGTAATCCAAAGCTGTGAAACTTCTAGCAATCTGAGAAACAAATAAGGAAGAAAGAGAAGAAGGAAACTCACGTTGCAGTTCAGACGACGTATAAGGTCCGAGTTGCTGTTGATCAGCACCAAGGACATACCAATACCCAGCTTCAGCCATGACACAGTCAATGGACCTGGTTGGAAACAAAAGAACCCAAGCTTCAGCCATGACACTAGCTTTGATTCACTGATCCTAATTGGTTCCAAGAGTCCGACAAACAAGCAAACAAAAAGAAGAAAACAGGATAACCCAATTCATGGTTCCCAGTAAACGCCCATCACCCCCCTTGCAACTCCATCCCATGGGGTCAACACGTCTCAGTAGAAACTCCTCATACTATTACAATGCCATTACCAATTCTCTAGACTATTGGCCTTAGCTTTAAGGTTAATCAAATACTTAACCTCTCTACTCATAAGCCCAACATAGGCAAGCTACAGTAACACGTGATGCAAGTGCCATTCATTCTACCTTATGCCCAAAACTCTATCACAAAGCCCCGTAAAACCCTTGCCGTAATGAGAAGCTTTTCAAAAGAGAAGTTCACCGTACCGGAGAACAAATGGATGTCCAATGAACCTTCCGAGAGAGGAAACAATGGCTGAGAAGCTACGGTGACTAAGAGAAACAAAAATTACGGAAGAAAATGGCTCAAAATGGAGGTCGCGGACGTCGTTAGCCTGAGAAGGGACGAATAGATTCTCCACCGTCGTCCTCTGACGACAAAATCTCGTCGCGAGAGGAAACCAAAGCTACCGCTGTTCACTGTCTCCGTCGCCGTCACAGCTGGTGGAGGGGAGAGGATGGAAGGTAAACGAAAAAAAGGGAGGCCGTCATATCACTGGCTGGAGCGCAAGAGAAGAAGAAGAAGAAGGAAGAAACTTCCGGACGCCAAAGCGAAAGGTATGGAGAATGTAATGACTGGGAGGTTGGGTGACTAAACTGTAAATTCTGTTAGTCTAGTGATTGATTCTATTTCTATAGTTTGACTGTCCGAGATAATGGGCTTTATCTATGGGCGTCGGCCCAATCCACACGCGAGCCCAACAAAAAGGCAGAGTTTCATTCTCATGGGCCTCAGAGCTGAATTTTAAATTTTCATTCATTCTCGACCCTCCACCTTCGTTGCTCTCTGGAAGAAAGAACTGCTCGGCTCTCTTTCCCTCTACACGTCGGAGCAGCTCCTAGACCGCCGTCGACGCCGACGTCCTTCTCTCTCACTCTCTCCCTTCTTTCTTGCTCAGACGCCATTCCAACACTTATTTTGATAAGGTACCGTTTCTACGCTACTGATTCCTTACTTCGTTCCGGCATTTACTTAGAACGGTTTCTGAAAATCTTAGGGTTCTAGCTGCGATTCCGTCTTTCTTCTTCGACACTTTCCCTAAAGAAGCACGGACTGTGGTTCTTGCGATTCCCTGTTGCTCGAATTTGTTTTTGTTTTTCTTCTGCTACTTCGTTTTACGGAGCAAAACTGCATGCTGGACGTTTTTCTCTTGGTTCACTGTTTTGGATTCTGTTGGACTCGGCTGAAGTTGACATTGTTGGTGTAGGGAAAGGAATAGTGTGTGAGAAGAGAGACAATTGGACACTGTAGAGGCGTTCTTATATGAGCTAAAAGTGAACCTTTCGCGAAGAATAAGGAGCAGCAGCAGCAGAAGAAGAAGAACAACAGAAGCAAGTGAGTCAAAATGGACGAGGAGCAGGTAGTGAAATTTGTGGAAACATACCTAAAGAAGAAAGGGTTCAAACAAGCAGAGCTTGCTTTCCACGAGGAAGTTCAGAAGAACTCAAATGCCAACTCAATCAAGATCCACTCAGATCCTGATCTCTCAAATCTGATCCTCTCACTTTCAAAGTAATGTTTCATTGTTACCTGGGTCGCTTGCCCATTGTTATGCATTGGTCCCCTGCTCTTTGTTATGTGGTAGCAATGGTGGGAGGAAGAAGGGCTTGAGGCTACTCTTCTATATAATCCATCAACTGCCCAGTTAGTGACAAATTACTAAATAGGAGAATTTGGAATTTTCAGTGAGGATCTTTTAGTCTTCTTGTGAACTTTAGTGGATTAGACTTGATACGTGTGTAAACAAGTACTTTGCCTGCAAGATCGTGCTAAGTTGTGTCTTTTCGTAACTCTTCACTCTTTCAGGTTTTTTTTTTCTTAAAGACAATAGTACCATCCTTTTCCAGGTCAGGGGATGATCCAGGACAGTACCATGAGGAGTATGGCAAACTAAGAACATGGACCTTCAATTCGCTTGATTTATACAAGGTAACCATTTTAATTGGCGTTTAATTTGTGTTATTTTAAATGGATACACAACTTGAGGAAGAAAGTGATGCACGAAGTGTGCATCCATTCCGAAAGAGTAGTAATTTATTCTCCTTGATTGTGCATTTGCTTTATGTTGTCATGGTTTCTAAATATTCGTTTGTTTTGCTGGATTGTGCAGCATGAATTGCTTCGGGTGCTTTATCCAGTGTTTATTCATTGTTATATGGATCTGGTGGCAAAAGGTCATATTCAAGATGGTATGAGGCGAACTTCATGATAGTTTTCGGTCTGATTTATGTAGCTTCTTGAGACTAGTCCCATCACAACAAGATTTTTTACATAGCTTCTGTTTTCTTCTGTAGCGAGAGCCTTCTTCAACACCTTTCGTGAAGACCATGAAATGCTTCATGCCAGGGACCTTCAGAAGTTGGAAGGAGTTCTTTCACCCTCTCATATACAGGTTCGTACATGCGAGGAACTATTTTTAATTGTAAATCAGTGGAAAACCTCATATCTGATTTAGTGATTACTGTTATTGTGTAACTTGTAAGATAGGCTGGAAAGAGAGAACCAGTATTATAAACAAGTCTCTGGGATTTCATCCTAAGCCCTTAAATGGAATCTTCGTAGTTCTGTGACCTTGTTTGCCTATTTTTTGAGAACCGCCATTGAGGAATCTGTTGCACGGCTACACATCTTACGGTCTAGCTCTTTTTCAGGAGATGGAATTTGCTCATACTCTTAGGCAGAGCAAAGTCAACATCAAGATGTGTGAGGTACTATGTGTCTCTTGTCTTGTGTTGCAGCTCTCCATTAATGTCAGCTATGTATCCATGAGACCATGACTGTGGACTCTCTCCTAATTTCTAGTTTAGCTGAGAGGGGTTATTATTATCTATCCAGCATAATCAAATTGGATGTTTAACGTCTTTTCATTTCGGTTGATCATAATGAAGCACTTGAAATGTAGTCAGAAAAATTCGGTATTCTGCAGTTAGTTCAGAAAGTGCTAGAAAAAAAGCTTAATGTACAATATTTCCAAACACTGTTGTGGTGAATTGTTGAACTTGATGCAAGCAGTATAATCTATTGATGTAGATCGCTAATAAGTAACTTCCTGTCAAATTACCAGTATTCCCATGAGCTCCTGATGCAGCATCTCCGAAAGACAAAATCCACCACAGTCCTTGGGATTGTCAATGAGCGAATTAACTTCCAAGGTACCTTTCGAAGTCGATTTTCTTTCTATTAGCATGCATTATGGAGGATTCAACACACTCTTTGTGCTTAATCCACACTACGTTTTCAGTTTCTCCTGGACAACCAGGTTCAATATCTGATGATGCCGAGGTTGTGACGCTAATTGGAACCAGTCAGGATGCAGCTAATAAAATTAACAAGAAAGAAGTACATTGGGGGGTGAGTAGGTGAAGCCTTTCATATGGTTCTAGTTGTTTCCTCTGCATCGAGAGCTCATCTTTTATTTATTGTCCGAGATACTGGGGAAACCATTGTTCCTTTGGGTATCTTTTTTTTTCCCTTTCTGGCCTTTTCGAAGGAGGATAGATTGGTTTCTATTTGCCAGGTCTCGAATATACTCGGAAAATTATCGTTTAGCCTTTTCGAGGATCGTATCTTTTTGTTCTGAATTTATGTCAAAGACTAGTCTCCCAACAGATAATATGATCTTTTGCACTGTAGTTACTGGAAGATACACTGGAAGATCGTCTAGAAAAGGCAGGGGGTTTGCAATCTGATACAGAGAAGCCAGAAGGAGAAACCAAAGATGGTGAGATTGATGACAATAAGGTAACTAGTCTCATCTGACAATTTGTTTGCATAAGCTGACTGCAAGGCTACTATTCCTATTAGGGTTTATTGAGCTCTATTTTAGATGGCATTATGGCTGTAATCCTCCATTTTGGTAATATCCTGGTTGTTACTCCATTTTCCTTACCAGAAACGGTTGGCAGAGGGCGGAAAACAAGGTACTTCAGTAAAAAAGTCAAAAAAGGACAAGCCAACTGGCGGTTCAGCGAAAGCTCGAGCTGAAACTATTGTCGTACCTGCAGCCCCACGTGTCAAACCGGAGCTTCCTTTACCAGTAATGTACTTTTCAACGATCCTTCGCTTCTTTTAAGCAATTCACTAGTAATGGTTTGGTGTAAAATGCTCGCTAAATGTTGATAGATTTCTCGTTCAGTCTAGGTCCTGAACACACTAAATGTTGAGAAATGGGAAAACACACTACTAGCCTATCAGAACTTGTCAACAGTTTCCTTCTATTGATTATTTATTCAAAATTGCTGCAGGCCAGCAGAAGTCGAACAGTCCATCCTTGAGGACTTGAGAAACCGCGTTCAGTTGAGCAGCACATCATTGCCTTCTGTTAGCATGTATACATTTATCAACACACATAACAGGTAATTCATGTAATCTTTTATCAGTTTCTGTGCCTAGGCCCACTCAAAACTGAACTACAATCCCTTTAATAAATGAGACAAGAGCAAGTTGTCTGAGCCCAGTCATTTTGAGTGTGCCCTCAATTACATCACTAGGATCAATGTTGCCGTAGGTTTATCTAGATCCTCATTGGAATTTCTTTGTTTCTTTTGGATACTTTTCTCATTATTATTGGATTTGTGACAGTTTGAACTGCTCCTCAATCTCAAATGATGGATCATTAGTTGCTGGTGGATTTTCAGACTCCTCCCTAAAGGTGTGGGATATGGCAAAACTTGGGCAGCAAGCTAGCAGTTGTAAGTCTATTGTGACTTTCTGCATGTTCCTTTTTCATTTGCTCCTGCTGTATGGTCATTGGAGCGCCATGCTCCCTATTTGATGAATGGCTCTAAAACTGATACAATTTTCTCCAGTCTTTCTGGTCACAAAATAATGAAAATATCTAAATTGGAGATAATAAGGGGAACCAAATATGTATTAATTATGTACATTAAAATTCGTCGTAATAGTTAATATGATGCTTGAATCTACTGATTAGACCGTGTGACTATGTGAGACAACTGCAATTGTACCCTGTCAGTCGATTGATTGCTCAGCTGTAGATATCCAACCCAGTATTTTTTTGGCATAGCCAACTTCAGATGTTAACCGATTTGCCATGGCCAGCTACTCCGCAGGCTGAAATTGATGCTTCTGTTGAGCACATACAAGGGCCAAATGGTAGCAAGAGATCTTACACATTGTTACAGGGCCACTCTGGTCCTGTTTATTCAGCCACCTTCAGTCCACTTAGTGATTTTATTCTTTCATCTTCTGCAGACACCACCGGTATGTTCTGTCGTCAATCCTAACAATTACTTATCCATGCACACCAAATTGAGTTTTGCTGGTTTGTTTGGTGAAATTTTTTGTTCATATTAAACTACTTGTTCTGAAATTTGTATTGATTGTGGAATGTCTCCTTTTCTAATGCAGTTAGGCTGTGGAGCACCAAGTTGAATGCCAATCTTGTTTGTTACAAAGGTCATAATTACCCTGTCTGGGATGTACAGGTACAGTTTCAATCGACCTCTTCAATGTTGTCTTTCCTTGCAACTTCCATCATCATGGAGAACCTTTTTGAGTTATTTGCGTGCCACTTCTTACAAAGTATCATGATGTCAACCTATTGTTTGCAGTTTAGTCCTTTTGGACATTATTTTGCAAGTGCTTCCCATGATAGAACAGCAAGAATTTGGTCTATGGACAGAATTCAGCCATTACGAATAATGGCAGGTCACTTGTCTGATGTTGATGTAAGTAGCTTAACTCTCTTATTCTTTTACTCTGTCATGCTGCAACGCCATTGATATTGGATTTCTACTTTTAGTGTGTGCAATGGCATGCCAACTGCAACTACATTGCTACGGGCTCCAGCGACAAGACGGTTCGGCTATGGGACGTACAGAGTGGGGAATGCGTCCGGATTTTCATCGGGCACCGGAGCATGATCTTGTCACTGGCAATGTCACCTGACGGGCGATATATGGCATCTGGTGATGAAGATGGTACCATCATGATGTGGGACCTCTCAAGTGGCCGCTGTGTTTCACCTCTAATGGGCCATAACTCATGCGTCTGGACACTTGCTTTCAGGTGAGGAAAAGTCTTTCTACTTAAAGAATTAAACTTAAACCGCAGTAGACACTTAATTGATTTCCCTTCTTTTTATGCTACTTTCTAAAACCAGTTGTGAAGGTTCTCTTATGGCTTCTGGTTCTGCCGATTCCACTGTGAAATTGTGGGATGTAACTTCGAGCACCAAGGGCACTACTAAAACCGACGAAGGGTAAGCTTTCACATATTGTTCTCTTCTCATGCTTGACCAGCTTGTACGAGATTTGACAGGCGTTTCTGGTATTACTGTTATTTTCCAAATCAGCAAAACTGGAAACACCACCGGCAAATTGAGATCTCTGAAGACCCTGCCAACAAAGTCGACCCCGGTTTACTCTTTGAAGGTAACTTTGCCAAAGAACTTTGGAATTGTCACTTCTGTAACCTCCATTATCATTTTACTGCTGAACAATAGCGGAGCCACATGGGAACGCCTTCGGGTACCCAGGCTATGTCTATTGCTTCTAAATCAAATGATTTGACCAAAGTCGGGTGTTATTGTTTGCTTTTCATTTGCTGAAAGCAGTTTTCCAGAAGGAATCTCCTCTTTGCAGCCGGCGTCCTCTCCAAGAATGTCTGACAAGAGATGATTGGTTAGCAATCAGCGACATGGTTGAAACTGAAGAGGAAGGGTTAGCTAAGAAACCGTAAGCGCTGGCCTGCAAACAGACTGCGCGAGAGTGGAACAGTTCGTGTTCTTTCTGAATGATCTGTTGGGGATCCTTAAATTTTAGAGGGAAGTAGAAAGCAGCCATATGTGCATATCTGCAATTATATATACAATGGTTCGTCTTCTCGATGTAAACGATATTATACTTCTGTATCAGGGTCGATTCCTTGCACTATTTCCTTATCATACGACTTGAGACTAGTTTAAATGCCGAAGGGGAAAGGAAGTGTACCTTGCCCGTGCTCATAATCGTACCCATATGGTAAAAAAAACATTATGACTCACGTGGGTCGTGACCATTTGTATATTGCGTCGTGTCATGTCCGCGCCAAACCCATAAGGTCTAGGCAAAGCGAGCCCTTAGTACTTGCGCTCGTGCTGGGTCGACCCATAAATATTGTCTTTGTGCCTGTATTGTGACGGCTCGTGGGATACCCAGGTAGGTAAAGTTACCATACTATTTTTAGTTCTAATTATGAGGCCAACAAAGTTGAGAGATCCATTGGATTGTGTTGGAGTACTATAACTGGTGGTGTTGTCCCTTGTCTTGTCGCCACCAAAATACAACGTATGGTGTTAGCTTGCTCATTTTGCAATTCTATGGTGGTACCAGAATTGATTAATAATGCATGGCCCTAAACCTACCCCAAAAAAAAAAAAAAAAATCAACTTGCCAAACCTGTCTCTCTCCACTCAGGACATGATAAATACCCAACCAAAGCCCTGAGCTGCCTGTTCCAAATCATAACTAACCTATACCACTCTGTATTTGTATGTGGTGAGTGTGTGACTATATATTAAGCTGATAAGAATGATGCATGCCATCTTTCATCACCACCACTACTACTCATCTTCCTTGGATGAAAGGGATCAGGGCATACGTCGTGCAATCGCCACTTTCTGTGATGAAGGTTAGAGTACTCAACGCTGACGGTGTCGGAGGCAGGAGGCGATGGAGGATGATTGCGAAGGAGAAGAGAACGAAGCTGTACATTATCCGGAGGTGTGTGGTGTTGCTGCTGTGCTGGAAACCAGATGATGATTGATCTGAGTTCTTATCAGCGGATGGTCGACCATGGAAGTTGCTACTTGGCTAACTAGTAGATGACATTGACATGATGCAATCATAATTTGGCTCAAGAAAGCCAGTTTTGAGCATACCTTCGGAAGCTTCTGTTTCAACTTCTTGGACTTGAATAATGTTTCAGGTTTTCATGTTTATCATCAACTTCTGCAGTAGCAGCAGCAACAGCAACTCTAATGGCAGTTTCGTCCTTCTGCAAGAACAGCAACTACCTAGATAGCTTCCCACAAGAGAGTGATGCGAAGAAATATCTCTGTCTCGATTGATTAACAGTAGCAATCATCAAGACATCATTATTTTTCCGAACTTTGTTTCTCTGTCATTCACTCCACTAAATCATAATTGTTAAGCACACTGAACGGCAAAATCTACAGTTAGTAATAGCTCCATCACTTACGACGAAGTTAAGTGTATCGTCATCAAGCACGTTGTAACCTCATTTGGTACACAAATGAAAGTAACCATTCGTTTTCAAAAACAAATTTGAAGTGGAATACCGGTTTACCATGAAGATAGATAGCAGAGTGCAGTTTTAATTACAATGCAATTGTACATCTTTAAGATGCTTTCATTACACGGAGCAACAGATCCGTAAGAGTATTACTGGATACAAAGGAGGTCTCTTCTTTCTTATTTACAGGAGAGAGCAAAGCACACAAGCAAACCCATTCCGACAAACCGACTTCTTTCTAGCTGGCCACAAGTAGCTGTTTATGCCCAAGAGTCGACCAAATCATCACATTCAAATCCCCTGGTTACTTATGCACTGAACCCCTTCTGAAGGGAGCTCCAGGGGCTAGTAGGAAAGGTTACACAGGCCTGGCTCGCAGCCTCGTTCATCTGATCTTTCCCAATTCCAGCATTGCACATATTTGCTACAGACCTCATGTGTTTCATTCCATACTGGGAAAGCGAGCCACAATACGTCTCAAAGGTCCGTACCTTGAAATCAGAAACCATGTCAAAGATATGTCAAATATCTATGCACGAGGAATGAAGATTCCAGCAATGGGGCAATGGAGCAGTTGGAATTAGTTACCAGTGTTTTAAGGCAGTTCCAGTCATCTACAAGGGGCTGGCCAGCAGGGCGAACAGCGGTGAGCACCTCTGTTCCCTTGTTGATTCCAAATAGGAGTTTTGCAATGAGTTTCATGCTGTTGTCTACATGCATTCTGTGTGACATGGCCTCCATAACCTGCTTCTCGGCTTCAATCTTCCTCATTGATCCTTCGGGGGCCTTCCGGTACTGTAGAAAATTGGATAGCAGAACACTTCAGATGAGGACAGAGTAACTGTTATGGTAGTTATTCCAGATTTCAGTGACAAGTCTTTGATACACATATACATCCATATCTACACATCGTCTTGAATTCCCATACCACCAACCACCACTTAGTCAGTTTAGGTACTACACATTTATAATAGAGTTCCATTTCATCATGATTGCCATTATTTATATTATATGATAGCAAACATGAGGGTAAAGCGGCAAGAAAGTGGATGAATGTACTCAAGGGGAGGAAGAAAAGAGTTAGGACACAAACCTTATCCCAAAAATGGACAAGATCAGCATCTCGCTGGTTAACAGCTTTAACAGGTGGTATTATGGCATTCCGGTCCACAAAACTGAAGTTATCATTCGCTGGATTCGTACCCATATACATGAAAAGCATGTCCTTGCTGAGTGGCACATCACCATATTGCATGACATGCGAACCATAAGGAGAATTGCCATTTGAAGTCCTCGACTTAACCTGAAAATGGAGCAACATGATATCTATCGGTCTACAAAAAAAAGTTCTATTTAATAGCATACTCCATCTGCTAGAGGTATAGCCACATGGATTCAGCCTCTTACCAGCTCGTATTGCTGGTGCAGGCTTTCCCTCCGGAGATTGTGTACATCACTGTTCATAAGGTAGTTGAGATTTCCAGTTAAAATTTAAAATTTACTATTCTGGATTAGGAAAGACAATAAAGCAATTCAGTAAGCAAGTTGAATATAAGTGTACCTGTCCTCCATCCAAGCAACACTGTACAAGTCGCCTAAACAGGTTTCATATTCCGGAGGTGGACTAGGATAATCTCCAGGGCAGTAAGTTCCCCAACTGCTCTCTTCAGCATTTGAAGCAGTGGTTGCATAAATATTTAAGCCCTCTGGAAGAAGGCCTTCAAATATACTTCCAGATTCACATGCTTCCAGATAGAAGACCTGCAGTTTTCACCAATGAGATGCATCAAGCAATTTGATTATATAAGAATGTGTTTAAGCTGAAAAAACGAAACTCCCAACTTACCAAGCTTTTATAGGTTCCAGAAGCATGCTTCTTTTTCAAAACATCTATCAGATCATCGGCATACAGATAAGGACTGGTAGGCATTCCTGAGAAGAAGATGAAATAAAAGTAAATTGACTACTTCTCAAAGAAGCAGCAGACACCTTCAGAGACATACCATTAACCAAGAGACAGATGGCAAAAGAAACAAGTCAACAACCCCCTGTAAATTTCAAGGTGGCCGAAATTGAAGAAACCAAACCAGCTTAAAAGAATAAAAGCTTCTTTGACTATGACCAAATGAGACAGAGAACCCTCATAACTATTCAAGATAAATCACCGGGATAAAATTAAATCCTTGTCCTTGCGTGTGTAGTGCTTTCGTTTTCAATAAAGTTTCGTCGCACTTAGATAAAAAATTGAAATTGAAGCTATCATATTGAATTCAAAACTTTTGCTATGACCCTAATGCAAGTGCTGATAAGCTAACAAGAGACATTTATACTTGATCCTTGAGGTTGACTATTCAATTTACAGTGGGAATGCCAAATCTCAAGGCTTCAAAACGATTGCAGCAATTCATAAAAATAAAAAGATAACAGCAAAAGAGGGAGAGAGAGAACAAGAGATCATTCATCCAATTTCAAGGCTTCAAAAGTAGAGATCTACAGACCTAGCACTCCAGGACCTCCATGATCCGCGTAGTAGATAAAAATGTGGTCATTTGGACCACTGTCCAAAACTTTACCACTGCCCCCAGTCAGAGCAGACTTGTTGCCAAGGATAGCAGCAAAGAAGTTGCCCACGGTCACATCTTCCCCGGTATAATCCTGCCAAACAAGCGTAAACACACTACGTATCAGGCAAGCACTTATACACGTGCTATCATGATGATGTTACGGATCGAAGACAGAAAAGCAGACCTTTGGAACGCCTTTGTAAACATCGCCACCGTGTGGACTGTTGATTATGACTCCAGGCCTCGGGTTCTCTTCATTATTGGCAATATCATCATACATGAAAACAATGATGTTTTCATCTTTCAGACCACCCTTTTTCAGAAGCTGGTAGGCGTGACAGACATCAGCCTACGTACCAAGACAAGGGTAAGATTACAAAAAAGTAAATCACAAGCAACAGACACACTAGAAATCCATTTCAAATCAAAATGAGGGAGAGAGAGAGAGAACAGTACAAGTACTAAATACACTACTGTAATCATCATTGACGAAAATGGGATCCCCCTATTATATTACTTCTCCTCATCTTAGTTAAGCATACAGGAATTAAGACACAAACACACTCCAACAACCAAAAGCTCCCAACTTCGACACTGTAATCGATCATTGACGAAATGGAAACCCGCCAAATAGCTAACTCCCCCTTTCCTTCCTCAATGTTTTCTCTCCAAACAATACCGAGTCGGGAAAGTTGAAATTGACTAGGTCATCGAACACCCTAAAAACTTTCAAGCTAAGACAAGCAAGCGATTGATTGAGATCATGAAATGATAGCGGGGAAGTGAGAATTTGGATAGAACCTGATGTCTGTAATTCCAGTATCCATTGGATCCGGCGATCAACACCGCCCATCTTGTCCCCGTCGACCCGACCTCGGCATCATCGTCAACGCCACCGGAGCGGAAAAACCTGGAAGCGGATGAAGGCAGCTGGATGACATTGTCGGCTATATCTGGCCTGCCGGAGCTCACTGTGTTGGCAGTGGAGAGAGCTACGATGAGGAGTGGAACTAAAAGGGAGATGCCGGCGGCGGCTGAAATCGTCATTTTCCCGGCGACTCCCTATGCTCTCTTCCGATGAGGTAGGAAGGTGGTGGTTGCTTGGAAATTGGAATGGGAATGATTGGCGATTCGGATAAAAAAAATGGACCTAATATATTTGTTTATCAGAATTTGTTTTGGGCTGGATTTTTAATTAATGGACCTGAAACAAGGCCCATAGGCCGGCCCAACCGATTCCAGTATTGCTGGCAGTGGTAGCTAACTAGCTATGCTGCTACTTCCATGGTGGTGGAATCCGTTCTTCAGAGACTTTTTGAAAGGAAAGCATTTTCTTGGATTGTCAAATCAAGAGATTTAAGAATCCGTTGATTAGAAAGGAAATAAATTGCATTTCTGTGTATTATTATACATGTCTATGTACACTTTTGTTAGAACAATAAACAGGCAGCGGTTTTTTTTACAACTTGAATGATGCTGCTGATGTACAGTGGTTTCAAGTGTACAGTCATTTTAGTTGTTGGCTTTGCCAAAGGTTCTGGGGAAAGGGATTGCATCTCTGACGTCGGGGAGGCCGGTAACGAAGAGAACCATAAGGTCGAAAGCAAGAGCGAATCCAGAATGCTTCACTGTTCCGTGCCTTCGAAGATCCAAGTACCATTCGTACTGTGCAATCGGTAGTCCCAGCTCCTTAATCCTGCGAAAAAACAAGACCATTCCATTGAAGATATAAACGTCATGGTGAATCGATTTACGCTGTCGAATTAACTGATCATGGTGAGCAAGTAAACACTGCACCTTGTCTCGACCATGTGAATCCTCTCTTCGTTCTGGCTACCGGAGATCAGTTTCCCAACCTTGGGAACGACCATGTCGAAGGTGGCCACTGTTTTCAAGTCGTCATTCAAGCGTGCGTAGAACGGTCTAATGTCCCTTGGGTGATTGTAGATAATAACTGGCTTCTTAAACATTTCATCAGCCAGATAACTGCCAGTTTTCCAATTCATGAAGAACAATTCAGTGAAGTCCATTTGGGAGTTTAAAAATTGAAAAGATCAGAACTTACCTTAAATGTTCTGCTGTGAGATCAATACCCCATACGAGGCTCGTCTCGAATCGCTTGTCAGTCACCTAATCCAAAGAAATGAAGTTAAGGATGTGGTCTCAGGTTCGTCAATTCATAGCAGGCTCAACCAAATTGGGAAAGCAGCAGCAGCTTACCTTTTTAAGAATCTCTACAGCATCCATGTATGCGATCCTTTCGTATGAGCAAGCAATCGTCGCCTGGAGGCGATCGATGCAAGTTTTATCAATTCGATTCGATATAAATCCCATATCTCCAGTGCATTTCTCCAGTACCCATTTGCAGATGAACTTCAAATGTTCCTCTGCACAGTTCATTGCATCCTGAAACATAGAATCAAACCCCTTTTAGCAGCACTAACACAGTCGCCAAAAAATGTTTCATTTTTCTGTATGTATACCTCTAGCTGTGAAAAGGCGATTTCAGCTTCAAGCATCCACATCTCCGCCGCCTGGTACCTGGGATTGGCATATCGATCCGCCCGGAATCTCGGCCCGAACGCATAGACGTTTCCCAGAGCACAAGCGTAGCTCTCGAGATGAAGCCGGCCTGAGACGGTTAGATGAACCTGCCTGGAGAAGAAATCTTCCGCCACGTTAAGCTTGCTCGATTTCGTCGTTAAGAAGCCCGGTTTCGGGGTTTTCTGCTGCTTGGCTTCCAACTGCGCCGCCAATTGATCCGTCTTCCGCAAATCCTGAACCGCCGCCGCCAATGCCTCCCTGTTACTCTCGCTTCTCTTCAGCTCCTCCACCAAACTGCTCTTCTCTCGAATCGCCGCCTTCACAGCTTCCATGCTGAGCTCGTCGCCTCCTTTCGCCGGAGCGTCTTCTTTCCCGGACAGCAGCGTCGTCGCTTGGAACTTGCTGCTGAATCCTTCGGCGTCGGTGTTCGTGATTATGGGGACCTGTACGTAGAAAAATCCTCCATTGTTGAAGAACGTGTGGCTTCCGAATGTCAGGGCGCTACGTACCCGCATAACCGACGCCACCTGCCAAAAATTTATTCAAAGAAGAATGTTGTTATGTTATGAACTTGGCAGCAGTCACCACCGGAGATATTCATCGGCGAGGCTGGATTGACAATTACGGTGGTTGAGCGGTGGCGGAAATGCGAAGCTTCTCTGAGATTCTCAAGCGGGACTCGCTTGGCAGCCAACGGGTACTTGTCCTTCTCCACGGTCCCAATGTGAAGGATTTTCTCCACGGAGAGCTCGACGCGGTGCTTTCCAGGCGACTGCGGCAGCCGGAGTATGCCTTCCACGAGTAAACAGGTTCCGATGGGAAGGAACAGGGCAGGGGAGGCTACAGAGGAATCCACCACAACCTTTTGGAGGAAAAATTTATTAATCAGGTTGGTTAAGAAACTAATGCATAAATTGAAAGAGGCTGGGACTTGATTTTTCCTGCTTACCTGAAGACTAGCAGCGCAGGAGCCATCGCTGACAAGCAAGTAAGCGGTGGAAGGCGGGGGAGGCCTCTGAATCCTCGATTCAGGGGACGCCGGCGGCAGCTTCTCGCGTACAGGGGAGGTACCGGAGCTGCCACCAAAAGCGCCATGGCTTCCGCCGGCGAGAATCTTGATTATCGACCTGAAAAGCGGAATTCGGGCTTGCAGCATCTCCACGCAGCTGACGTCCTTGTGACCGGGAGATGTCCTGGACACCATACCGCCACCGGCCGGTAATTGCTGCTCCGGAGCCGCCGCAGACTCTTTCCTGATTTCCTTGGAAGTTCGCACCCACCCGCCGACTACGATTCTCCGTCCTACGAATCCCACACCCCCATCTTCCCCTTCGAGTATGTTTTTCAGAATAACCCGGTTGGAAAACCTGAACGGCGGCGGAGCCGGTTGGGTCCTAGACTGATTTTCAGCGATGGCGGCTGATTCCGACTGCTGCTGATGATGATTATTGGTTTTGGAATCTTGGGTCGCCGGAAGGTTTTCTCTGCGCTCCATTTCTTTTCTGTGTGGGGAAAGAAGGGATGACTAGGGGGGAAAAACAGAGCAGGAGGAATTGTAATGGTGGAAAGAAGATGATGAGGAAGGTGGGAAGATGGAGAGGGAAGATATAAAGGAAGAATGGAGGGTGTGAAAGCTTCAATGGGGAGGAATTCGTCGCAGGGATGGGAGAAGAGAGAAGGAAAGGGATTGATTGTGTTACAGAGCTCTGTTTGAGAAGAGAAGGGGAAGGAAGACTTCGGCGGCAAGGTTTTGGTATCCTTGCAAGTTGGGGCTTCCGCTTGGCGCGAATTCTAACTGAACAAGAAATGGGCTTGGGCTAAAAGTACAGGCGATAAATGGACTCATACTTTGTGCTGCTAACAAATCGTCGGATAGGCTTTAGTTTGGGTTTAGTCTAAAGAGCCCAAAGGACGAACGAGCCTTGTCTCCACCTTTCTAGGAAGAAGGAAGCATGATATGGGCAGTAAAAAGTTAGATTGCAATACCTGTTGTTATTTACCAGAAATCCCCACAGTTGCAGCTTCCATCCTTGAAATGATGGAATCGACTAGCATCCCTGACAGTGATCTCTCTCTTTGTAATGAGGGAGATCAATTTGATAGCATTGTGACAGTCACCACAGACTCTCAAATTCTTGGTCACCAAAATGGGCTTCGATGGGCTCAAGCTGAGAATTCCAAATGCAATGGCTAGTTTCTCACTGTGGTAGAGAAGGATCTCATCCTTTTCTTCCTCTTCAACGTCATGGAAAACATAGCTTGATTCCGCGCGGTATCCCAGTCTCTTCATGTCCACTTCCAGTTCATCCAATTTCTGGTTTATCTCTTCTGACTGTGGATGAGACCTATCCCCACCACCAACAAATGCGTGCACAATCCCAGCGACCTCAATCCAGCTGCAACCAGGACTTTTGGCGAATCCCAGTTCCTTCTGCGCGAGCCTCACTTGCGCTGCATCGTCCCATCTGCCAATGTTGCTGTACATATTGGAAAGGAGAACAAAGTTCCCTGTAGATTCTGGTCCTAGCCTCTCTATTTCCTTTGACACGGTTTCTCCGAGTTCGATGTTCTTATGTATCCTGCAGGCAGCCAGTACTGCCCCCCACACACGAACATCGGGTTTGAATGGCATATCTTGAATGAACTTGTAAACCTCTTCAAAGTGCCCTGCTCGACTTAGCAAATCGGTCATGCATATGTAGTGATCCATCCTTGGGGAAATCCCAAAATCTTGGGTCATGGAACCAAACAATTGTTTCCCCTCTGCAACAAGTCCTGAATGGCTGCAAGCAGATAATAGACAAATGAATGTCACATCATCTGGTTCGATCTCTTCTCCAACCTGCTGCATTTTTTGGAACAGGGAAACTGCGTCCTTTCCTAGCCCGTGAATCCCATAAGCATCTATCATCGCATTCCAAGAGATTACATCCTTCTTATGCATGGTATCGAACACTTTCCGTGCGGTATGGATCTTCCCACACTTAGCATACATGTCAATGAGGGCATTGCAGACTATGGTATGACATGTAAAGCCATGAACTATAGCGTAAGCATGGCTGCAATAACCATGTTGAAGAGCTGCCAAATGAGAACAAGCTGGGAGAATTCCTGTCATTGTCGACACATCTGGAACTAAACCAGACAACTTCAACTTGTGGAACATCCACAATGCCTCCTCTGCATAACCATTCTGCACATACCCTGAAATGATAGCGGCATATGTCACTGCATCTTTCAAGGCCATCTCGTTAAAGAACCTACTAGCATCATGATCGATAGTCCCACATTTTGCATACATTGACAGTATAGTGTTGCTCACCATCAAATCAGAGACAGAGCCCGTCTTCATGGTATAACAGTGCAAGCATCTGCCACTGACCAAATCAGTCAACTTTGCACAAGCTCGAACCACCGTAACAATAGTAGCTTCTGTAAGAGATGTTCCTGATTCATCGTCCTTAACTGACAATAATCTGCGGAATAGTTCCAAACCTTCCTCCATGAGGTCACAAGCAACACAACCTCCAATCATAGCAGACCAAGTCACTTCATTTTTGGCGACACCCATCATGTTAAATATCCTTCTAGCATAATTGATACATTGACACTTGGCATACATATCCAGGAATCCAGTTCCTATCAGCACGCCATTATGGTAACCCTTCCTGATGCTGATAGCGTGCATAGCTTTCCCATGGGTCAAAGCCCTAGCTTGAGCAACCGCCGGAAGGATCCCGACAATCGTAGAAGAATTAGGAGCCACCTCATCCCTCTGCATTTCCATGAACAAGTTAATCACCTCATTATATGAACTCTGCCCACCACCACGTAAAGAAAACCCAGCAATCATTGAATTCCAAGCAACAACATCCTTGTGAGGCATTCCATCAAACACCTCCGTAGCTTCCCCCAAGCATCCGCATTTCGCATACATGTCCACCAAACCCGTGCAAATATAGATATCAGAGTCAAGTTGAAGCCTTTTCGCGTGGAGGTGTATCTCTCTGCCTTCCCCAACGGCCTGAAGAGCCGAGCACGCTTTCAGGACAGCAGGGAAAGTGAATTTATTTGGTTTGATCCCATTGTCCATCATTTCGTAGTACAATTCCACGGCTTTCTCGAATGGCCCATTCCACGCGTACGATCTGATCATGTTATTCCATTGGATAACCCCTCTCGGTCTCTGGGGAATTTCATCGAACGACTTGCGAGCATGCTCGGCCTTGTCACAAACGCCATATGAGCGGGAAAGTTTTCCCACCAGCAGGTCGGTGACATCTGAATTCTGGATGTTGGTCAAAGGGAAGGCATTGCGGAGACTTTGATAGACTAGCTTGGCTTTGGAGAGGGATTTTGGATTCAGTACAAACATCTAAGGAGGACGATAGCGGCCACCGGTAAGAGTAGTTGCAGACGACGATAGCGGCGCGGGATTTCCCCGTTGGGAACCGGCACAAGGATGCGCTAATGGAGGGAACTCTCGGCCTGATCCATGACAGTTGAATTTTGGGCCTCAATGCTTTGCTTCTAAGGCCCCATTCCTAAATGAAAGCCCAGTAAGAAGCCCATTAGAAACGTGGATCATCTCGCGTCGCAAGTCGGCACAGGCTTCCTTCTAGTTCTTTCAAATTGGAGGCCGTTTTTTTGGTTGCCCAAGTTGATCCGCTTTGTGGGATTCTGTGAATGAGGTACGATACGAATGGCAATGGGGAAGGTCCGGGGCGGGTTTTTTGGTACCCAGACTCGTTCGTGGCAGGGCGGGTTCAGGTCGGGTAATTGATCACGGGTCGCGAGTCGGGGCAGGTCGACCCAATGGGTATGTAATTTATATGATAAACATTAGAAATATTCGTTATTTTTATTATAAAACTAAGAAAACAAACAATATTATGACAATTGTAGTTAAATTATTGGAGAAATTGAGGTTTTCACTAATTTACAACTTTATTATTGCTAAAATATGATGCAATAAAAGAAAAATTCAAAGTAATTTGACTAAAATTTCATGTAATTTAGACAAGAACGGGTCGAGAATGGGATGAGTTAGGACAGGTCGGGTCGATGAGACTACCCATGCCCGCCCCACCTACGGGACGGGTCAGCCCACCCCAAAACAGGTCGGGTAAAACGGGTCAGGTCGAAATTGCCATCCTAGAATGGGGATGAACTCATGAACACAAATACCATAATGCTTGATAAACCTAATGAGGTTTGCTCTCTGTGGTCCTTATCTGTTATTGTAAACATCTCACTCAACTAGACATAGTTTCCAGTAAGTACAACTACGAGTCGACGATAACAAGAGCAAAGACGCCACGGGACCAAACAAGGACGATCCCGGGCACATACGAACAAGTTCTGATCGTCGGCTTAAGAAGGTTGATAGCAATTACTCGTCGGCTATTAGTAAAAGCATGTTCACAATTACTTCATCCCACGTGAGAAAGACCAGCACCAGTTTCAGCCTTGGTCCTGAGGCAAACAGAAGGAGAGACAAAAAAAAAACGAAAAATGGTGACTCCACGTTCCCGAGGTTAGTCGAGAAATACAAAGCAGCGAGTGGAGTTACCACCAAGGGAGATCACTTACTTATGGTCGGCTGGATTTGGCCTGAGTTCATATACGATTGTTCCAACAGTATCCCTCTTCAACTGTTCATTATCGTGGACAAAGAAGATTCGGTTTTGAGTTGAGGTGGAGGACATTCAAGATTCCGGCAGAAGCAAGAGCAAGAGATCACACGCCAATGCAATTTAGTTACCTTAGTGGCTTCGCCTTTGAACCCGATGTAGTGTATCTGAGTAGTGGTTCCACCAAGATTACCCGGGAAGTGTAATGTGATACTTGATACTCCCTGGAATTTGGCATACCTGGTGTAGCAAAAAATTTATTTGATGCTAGGCAAAACCAAGACTAAAAGTAAAAGCTAATCTCCACTTCAGCAACAACAAATTTGACACCTAAAAGATAGTTTGTAAGAGCTACCTCGTTTGGAACTCTAGTACGCCTTGCAAATTTTCAACCAACTCCCACTCCTTGTAGAGAAAAGAAAATAGGATAATGTAAATCAAAGTACTAGAGTTGATCAAGCACACATGAGTAGCAGGTAGAGAGACTTAAATACCTGCACAGCTTGCATGTCCTGAGCATCAGAGAAGTCCATTCCTTCTCGGTTGATAAACCTACACATAGAGTTCACAACAGCAGTGAAAGTTCAGATATACAAACACGTTGGATATTTTGTTAAAAAAGCAGGTGAGCTTGTTCTGAAACTAGTTCTATCTCTTCTTAAACGTGAGATCCAAGTAACATTGTATAATGATATTTGGACGGTACGAGGTGTTTCTTCCATTAAAGCAAGCCAACTAACATATGCAGTTATGCACGAATGCCATGCAATAGTTCTGTATGTTCGATAAGTTTGACTAACATTATGCATGCATTTAACATCTACTGTCTGTGATTATGAGTTAAAAGAGGAAAACACTTCTTCAATAATCCCAACTTGAAACAATATTGATGAAAGCAGCTAGGAATACAAATACCAAAAGAACCATGCAAATGAAACTTACGCTCTCATCCTGGCAGGACTTGTTCTCTCTGGTCCACCAACAATTGAGATGCTCTTGATCTTAACATCCGATGTGAACCTGGCAATTAGTTAAGAGTAGAAATAAGGCATGTCGAAAAAGAAATATGGGCGCGAACTAATCACGAAACTGTAAAAGAGGCAATTAGAACGGCCGGAAAAGTATCACAAAGCAAGACTTGCAGATAATCAGGGGGGCATTTCAACAACATAGAAGTGCAGTAAGACACAGACCATTGCTTTGCATGGTGGAATACTGTTTCTACTGAAAACCCATTCAGCGACTAATAACAACAACAACTGGTTGATCTGACGCTCAACGCCTAATTAATACGAAGCTAACATACTGCAATTGAATAGGAAGTACCATACCAAGCACAAGCCTGATACATAACAAAGGATGAAAGAGAGCTGAGGCAAAGTACATACGGGACAAAGACAAGTAGTTCAGTATCACCATCGTTGCTTCGCAAGAGTTCCTGGCATGGGGGAAAAGGATCAAGCACGAGATAAGAAACGGTTCAGTTCTCATCCTCTTCAGACTAGGAGTCTCGACGACAAGGTTTTGGCAGTTCAATCGAACCAAAACAGAACAAAAACGTAAGAGCTCATTTTCCATTAGTAAGGTGGAGTTGAGCTTACCCCAGAGAAGTCTAGACGGTGCTCCCAAGCTTTGAAAACGGACTTGACACTTCCTGGAACTGCTTCATTCAGAGCCGAAACCTAGAATTTTTGCACGAATGAGAAATGCCAAGCCACATAGTAAGTTCAAAAGCCGCGGGAAATCGAACTCAAAGAAAACTGGAGACACGGCTCGTGTTCCCATCGGCAAATCGGAAAGCCTCCTCGCAGAATCATCGCATTCGCAACTGAGCTATAGCCAGCTGAACATAGGGAAAGCCATTGGAGAGGGCAGATTCTCACCTTGGGTAGGTCGATGTGTTTGTAGAGAGACCATTCAGAAGAGCAATCGTGTTCTTCGCAGCTGTGATCGTGTGTACAAGCCATTCTTCTTCTTCCTCCTCCGATTCAGTAGTTCTCTGCTGCTACGCGGCGACGAAGGAGAAGAAATTTCCGGAAACACAGCGTCTGTCGCACGCAAGCGAATCTCTGGCTTCTGCGGAAGAAAAACTTAGACCATCTCCATCCCTGCAATAGGTTAGCCATTTCATAAATGGACCCCACATCCACATCACCAACTTTAGCAACTATTCAATTCAACCATTTCAAACCATCTATATCCCTGCAATAGGTTAGCAATTGCAATTGATGGGACCTACTACATATTTTTTTCCTTAACAATACATTTTATGTGTACAAAGTGGATAGAAAAGAAAGAAAGAAAAAAGAAAGAATTTGAGTGCATGAATGTGTGGGTCCCAATTGCTTATGTGGCATTGCAAAGGGGATTGCTTATTTAGCAATCTTGCTAAATAAGAAAGAAGTGATGCATCCTTGCAATTGCTTAAAGCTATTGCCACATAGGATTCCACCCAATAAGCAATAGCAATAAGCAATTGGATGGAGATGGTCTTAGGCCCTGTTCACTTTCATTTTCGTTTCCAGTTTTCTGTTTTCATGTGATAAATTTGGCAACCGAAATGAGAAAACTTGTTTACTTTTCATTCTGATTTCTATTCGTTTCCAACTATGAAAACAGAAAGTGGCAACTTCCTGATGTTTTCGGAAATGACAAAATGTTGTTTTCACCTGTTTTCAACATCTGTTTTCTAAAAAACAGGAAACATAAATGAAAGTAAATAGGCCCTTATAAGTTCGATAAAGTAACCATTTTGTACAAAGTAAAAGTTTTATGAATCATTTTGTACAAGCGACATAACTAAGTGCTCATTTTGGATATTTATCCTTTTCTGTGTGATGCATCTTCCGGGAAAGTACTAACGGAGGCGCCACTGTTCTTTTAAACATTTTCCATTTTCAGTTTCCGTCTGTTCATCGAAGAAGATGGAGAGGGACGCCGGAGGCGGCGGCAGAGGCGGAAGCCGATACACCCTCAAACCCAGCCGCTTCAGCAGCGAGGACATCATATTCTGTGTAGACGTCGACTCCGAATCGAAGGTGGAGATGAAGGGCCCCAACGGCCGGCCTCTGGCCCGATTGGAGGCTGTCAAGCAGGCCATCCTCGTCTTCGTCAACTCCAAGCTCACCATTAACCCCGATCACCGCTTCGCTTTCGCCATGCTTTCCAACTCCGCTACATGGGTAATTCCCCAATTTCTCGTAATTTCTTCAGTTCGCCTTTTGATTTCTCGCTCGAGGGATTCCTTGCATGTTCTCAAGATCGAAACTTTATTGCTACACTGCGGTCTGGTGAAAGATGAATTGAAGTTTGTTGGTTGCATTTGATTTGATGGCATCTGTAAAACAGTTTAGTTTTAGAATTCGAATTGGGATCAGAGCATTGAGAATGGAGGAATGTGTATCTGAGAGAGAAGATGGTTTGGCTGAATCTCTTCATGTTACCTTAGGACTGTAGATAAAAGATCCCCCTTTTATGTGTCCCGAATAGCTGACATTGTGAAGGTATCATCCGCAAACCAGGTAGAATACTGCTTCTGCCATTCTTTTCTGAAATTTTGGGCTATCACTTAGGAACAGTGATGACAAAGAATACATTTTGGAGCTGAGAAATTATTAGCTATGTTGTGAAACAGTTATATTGGAGAGACAAAGCTTGATGCTTAGGATTGATTGCCAGGGAAATTGCATTTGTTGTTGTCATGATTCTTAATCAGTAATTGCTTCTCATTTCCGCGATTTTGTACTAAACCATTTATGCCTAGGATTGCTACTTTGCTAGCACTAGTAGTTAGATGATTACAGGATAATACGGTGTGTGATGAGATCTCTGGAACTTAGAATCTAGAATCCGAAATAAGTGGTTCTAGGGGTTGGAGGTTGCCTCATGAAAGAAGTGGAAGAAATAAGTTAGAAGGCTCATCCTAGGGTCTCTCTTTGTTCTCAGCTGCTATTGAATAATAGTAACCTTGTAGATGTTAATGCCAAATGCGCATCATTTGTAATAATCCTATTTTGATTTAGTTTTCCAAATACCACTGAAGTTTCATCCACATATATGCATTTCTTTATAATGACTATGCTTTCAGTTATAGCAAACTCTGTCAGTATCCTTGCCGCAGTTCACGGTCATCCAAGATTAACTTCTCATAGATTTCACTCAAAAAATAGGTTTTATATCCAAAGTTTCATACCATTTTTGGTGTCCTCTTGTGTAAACAACTTGTTTTCACCAGCTTCGAATGTGAGGATAAGGCATGGATCAAAGTACTATTTTGTAACTGTCTCCTCCATAGTTCATCCTTCTCTTTGCTTCTGATGTAGAAAGGAGCTAATTTCCTCATAGTCCTGTTGATGGTGTAAAAAGCATGCCAATTTTTGTTGGAAGTTTTGCTTCTTCCTTAGTCCTCCTGTTTGGATGGCTTACCTCTAGGCTTCAATCAACTTTTTTCCGTCACTTGTAAACTAACTTATCTTGTGGACCTTGGCATGCTCTATCTTTGTTTCTGTTAATGATTAGCTACAAACCCACTTCTTCTTGATACTGACTCTTTGGCAATAGCTTCGGAAAGAGTTCAGCAGTGAAGTGGAGGCCTCTGCTGCTGCACTAAGGGGACTTTCACCATCTTCCTCCAGTGGTCAGGCGGATCTCACTAATCTATTCCGCTTAGCAGCTCATGAGGCGAAGAAATCCAGAGCACAAAACCGGTTGTTGAGGGTGGTATGTTCTTAATGCCAGCTCTGTGGGTAACTGAACTAAAGATAAACTAGAAAGTGATTATCACTTGCTCGACAAGCAATCAATGGCTAATTCAAATTCCAGTCATCGTTCAGGTTTTCATTTTTTTTCTTCTTCCAGGTTTTGATCTACTGCAGATCATCTGTTCGGCCGCAACACCAGTGGCCGATAAACCAGAAATCGTTTACACTCGACGTGATGTACCTGCACGACAAGCCAGGGCCTGATAACTGCCCGCAGGAGGTGTACGATACACTGGTCGAGGCTCTGGAACACGTGAGCGAGTACGAGGGATACATCTGCGAGACGAGTCAAGGGTTGAGGTTTCTGCTTCGGCACATGTCCCAGCTGTTGATGCATCCCCAGCAACGGTGCCCTCAGGAGGACCTCGACATCCCCAAGTCGCTAGTTAAGAAGTCGAATGATCCGACGCCTGGGGAGGAAAATGTGCTCCCTGTGTCTAGCCAATGAGACCGAACTTTGAGGGAAGGAAGCTCGGGCAGTGGTTACTGTCATGTTAGGTTAGTGCTGTTGCGTGTGTGTAAAGGAATTGGTGGTAATGGTTATATTATGTGCTATGTATTATGCCGAGACCTGAATGAAGGATGAAGTTGGTATTTGGTAACAAGCAGTAGTGTTGTAGCCTTGTCTTCAACTCATATATGACTTGTTTGATGGATTTGTAGATTAGACATTAAATGGATTTGTGAATTTAGGTGGTATCTAATGCCACTAACTATAGGATCATTCTGACAATTTTGAAAAGGTTAAATACCTAAATGACCTTCTAAAAATTTTAGGATTGTCATAGTAGCTTTTAGTTCAATAACAATATTTTACCATAGTTCTAAAAAAACATAGAAATACCTAAATGAAGGATTGTCAATTTGTCATAGTAGCTTATAGTTCAATACCTAAATGACCTAGAAAAACATAGAGATACAAATAACAATATTTTACCATAGTTCGTGATGTTGTTGTCATTTCCAATATCCCGTGCTGAAAATGAATCATTTTGCAAAATTCAGGTGTTTTAGTGACTTAAAACAATGGGGGAAAATCCTAATGTATAAGAAACTAATAATCTTATTATCACAAAATCGAAACAACAGAGCTAAAATAAAACTAATTAACAAGTGATTCTAGTTCTAATTGAGAGAGAATCACCTCAACTCATCAACCATAAAATGATAAAGAAATCTCCTCAACTCTTTGAAATAAAAAGTTGAACAATCTCTCTTCTTGTGAAGGAAAAAGAAACTACTACACAAAGAAAATATAGAACTTTCTTAAGGACACAACTACGAAACGAAACTCAAAGTCATCTACTAGTTAAATCGCCATGCCTATCGGAATGTTGTCACATACGACCAACTCCTCCGGCAACTAATATGACAGTCGAGGCTCCACCGATCCAAGCAGCAACCCACCAGCCAACGAGGACAGCTGCCGCCGACGAGGCTGGAGTAGGACTGGGACCATCATGCGGCGACGGAGTAGTCGCCGGCGGCACCAAGTGGTGGGTCGAGTTGCCCTTCCCTCCACCAGCCGATGGTGGGAGAGAGTTAGGAGCCGGCGCTGGAGCTGGAGCATGGTGGTGATGGTGGTGGTGATGATGATGGTGGCTGTGGTTGTGGGCCGTAGCAGCAACCGCTAAAGCTGCTGCCACGGCAAAGATCAGTAGTAGCATCGCCGGCGCCTTCATCTTTGCCGCACTCGGAAAGAATAGCTTTCTGGGTTTTTGCTCATTTGAGCATTGTAGAAACACTTACTTATACTAATGGTGATCAGTAGACTGTAGAATGTAACATATACTGCTAGATAATTAAGGATCATAAACGGAAGTTACTACTACAAAGCTAGTAAATTTCTCAATAAATCCAATTTAAGTTTGCATTCAAGGCAGCATTTCGAAACATTCATCGTTGAATGCAATCAATTATGATGGGATTCATTTCACCATTCACGACATGTTCTTAGCCTTCTAGCAGTATCTTAAGTAGCATCCTTATTGCTTCACAATTCAGATATGATCTTAGCCTTCTTAAGTAGAATCGTAAGTGCACACTAATTCCGACATATGGATCGAATCGAACGTGAGACAGGTCTGAGAGATACCCATCTCATTCCGACTTGTGTCTAAAGTTCGAATCGACATTGTAACAACTACTAGATGAAAAGGAACCCAAAACTGAAAAAGGAATCAATCCATTTCACTAGGCAAACTGTCAACTAACCAGCTGTGGATCATTGAAGTTCGGTTTAGTAAGTTAAACACTCCCAGTAAGTTAATGTTCCTATCTTCTACAATCTACTCAACCCTAAACTAGCCATATGTTGAGGTCTTCTGTACATTGACACATAAAAAAGCTATCAAAACAAGCTTAGCCACAGCACCATTACATGCATATGCTTTTCACATCAAAGCAAAGTGGTAAAAGCAACTACTACGAAACACACGGTAGCAAACCCAGAAGAAGAAGAATGATGAGAAGACCAGTGTCAAATGCCACTCACCACCACACTTTCAAAATCCCAGCACCTGCTGAGAAATGTTCAGCAGCGGCTCGAGAGCACTCGGGGAGAACTTCCTCGCAAAGAGATGACAGATCCGGAACTCCTCCCGGTCGTTGTACTTGCATTTCTGCGAGTCGTATAACCTCTTGAAGAACTCCACCGTGATATCAGCCCTTCCGAAGGTGGCGGGGTGGGCTCCCCCTCGTGACCAGTCGACCCACGTGATGCTACGATTCGCCAGATCGTTCGGTGCTTCGATTGTCAGCATCGTGGGGAAGTAATGCTCGTCGACGTAACAGTGTGGCCTGCAGAACTCCTTGAATTTAGGGTAGTACTTTGTGTCTTCTACTATGCTGACAGCGAGGTGTCGTCTTAACTCGAACCACTGAGACCCTTTCCGCCACTGCGTGATGTTCACCTCGGGGGCCATGTTCTCGTTGTAGCGGCCTCTGCCGTAGGGCCCCTCGTCGTCGAACGCACCCATGAAGCTGTGGTTTGACCTCCTTATGTAGCTGTATATGATGCTGAAGTTGTAGAGGGGGATGCATGATTCCGAGAGGAGAATGAACCACTCGTTTGAGATGTCGAGCAGTGCATTGGCGAGGAGTCGTCTCTCGGCGTCACACATGCTCATCTTGCCCCATTCAGAAACCTGCACAATCGCAGTAGACACTGTAAAGGTCTTTCGCGTAGAGAAGGAAACCATAACAGCAGATATCTTGTGACCAATGTCCATATGAATTTGGTTTCTGCATGAATGAGCCCTATACTTGGACCTTAATAAATAGACTAAGCAAAAGTTCCTAATATATCTTAATATAAGGGGACAGCATAGAATTTAACGTCATCATGGTATCCAGTATCTTCACCACACAACAACCCAAATTTGCAGCTGAACAAGGAATATATGCCTTCTACCAGCTCGGATTTGGTAACTTCAAAATGAGGTCAAAACAGCTTCCTTGTTATATGGGATATAGATTACATCTAGCAAAGGGTATGTATAGTTATACTTTTAACAGAATTACAGAGACACATTTTTCCGTGGTAATCAGGTTGTCAAGTGACCAACGTATAATACAAGTTGCAAGATGTCCCTTTACCAAAGCTCCTAATTGCTATACCCAGCACTACTGTATCATTAAGTGCTGCTTTCCTTACAATGGATTCTCTGCTGTTGTTAAGGTACAGTTACATCTAAAGTTCCATCCAGGATAGTGAACAGATGAAGGTATGAAATGGGTGCAAAGGACCTAATAATTGCTAGGTTTCTCAGGTATAATATATGACATCCATAAACAAGGAGAGAATAGAAGTATGTAACATACTGGCTAATATGCACCCAGTTTTCCCTTCTGATACGGATTTCAAGAGCATAAACAAAGGAAGTCCTTATTCAACATTAATAGCACAGGACCTCTACATGCTGCACCCTCTTAAATTCAATATGGTGATGCATAACTATGGACTATGGAGATATTCTAAATGAAAAGTTAATGCCTTTATGGTAATCTTCCGTACTGATGTCTGATTTCATTACAAAGATCTACTGATGTCTGATTTCATTTTACCACTTGTATTATTTCTCATCTTTACTCATTGCTCCCCCAAATTCAATCATCAAGCAAAAGAAAGGGTGAAAGAAACCATGCCATGGCTTCTCCTTCTCTATCTATGTACATACCCTAAGTACCACTCTTGTCCCTAATCCTATCACTAGCCAAAATCAGCAGATCCAAATGCGGGGGAACAAAAGGAATGAAGCAAAAACACAAGAGGTTCACGGTCAGACACACACCTTACTAGGGACCTGCCTCCGGTAGAAGACAGAGGAAGGCGGGAACTTGGCTTCGAACGTAGGAAGGGAGTGCAGGTAAATGGAGTAAAGCCCCTGATGACCACTGAAGAACCTCTCCCAAAGAGGTGCAAGGGGCAAAGGACCCTTGGAGAGGAACATGAAGGCCACCTTTGGAACCCTCCTGAAAGGGTATTTCTTTATCCGAGGGACGAGTGTAGCCCTCCATAACAGCTCCTCGTCGCTCATCCTGTGGAGCAAGTTCGACGGCGGGGCGACAAACCGCTCGAGCGTGGCAAACGAATCAGCACCACCACCAATGCAGCTGGGGATGAAGCCGGACTTCACGGTGGTGACAACATTCTGCACTCCGAACCGCCTGATTGCGTAGATGCTGATGAAGGAGAACGCGAGGCAGAGGGATAGGAAGAGCACGAACAATCGGAGCAACCGCAAGGGCAATCCCCTGGATTGAGAAGGGATCGTCGTCTTGATTGAAGGAATCGGAGGAGGATTTGTGTCTTGGTTGCTTTCCTCGAGTGATACCGCCACTCGGGATTGCATAGCTGCCGACGGCGGTGATCGGAGGAAATTCCACCTGTTTGTCGTTTCAATTCCGATCAAATTAGCGGCGCAAAGGAACGAAATTTGAAATGAGGAATGAGGGAAAGGGCTGGGGGATGCTAACTGTGCGCATACAGATCTAAGGTAGAGCAACGAAAAAGGAATCAAATGTGATCAGGGAAACGAGCCGTCGTCATCGTTTTCCCCCCTTCAATTGAACTACGGCGGCGGAGGTGGTGGTTGTTGAGTCGAAGCAGGTTATCCGGCCGGAAGCGCGGCGGTAGGAGAGGGGAAAAGGGGAAAGGTGGCCTTGTTGGTGGTTGCGGCCACCGGGGTCCGGAAATCGTTGAGGGAATGTTTCCCCGCACGCCGATTTTCTTTTATAAAATTGACGACTGTTCTGTTCTTTGCTTTCTAATTTTTCCCGTTTTCTTCTTTAACTTATTATTTTTTAATCATTATCTCCGCGAATTTGGTGAGCTGGCAGGACCTTTGACCCTTTTCTCGTCCAAATTGGTACCAGTTGACTAGCATCAACAAAAGCTGACTGCTGACACCATATATATGATACTCGATATGATAGGCGTATTGCATACAAAATTGTCACCTCGTTGATATGACCAACACATCTCAATCCAAGATCGCGAAATCGTGTAATTCGACAACATTACGCAAACTGATTTTTCGTAAACTGGATTCGGGTTCATATCCTAGAGGAACCACCACAATTGGCCAAGAGAATCACATGAACATCTGCTTACACGCCCACTGACGAATGTAAACAGTAATTCCCCACCCCTTCACATGAGTTAGTTTTTATGTACCCCCAAAGACAGTAGTAGTAGTAGCAGTAGTATGCAATTAGCAGATAGATGCATCCAGAAAAGTCGGAGACCAATCATTTCCACTTCGCAACCACAAATCGGGATTTGAGGTTCGAGATCATGACCGAGCACTTCCCCTTGTCGTCGTACTCCATGAATTCCCCGTCAGACAAGTCAACGTCCTCGAATGTGGTGCCTGCAACCTGCAAAACCCCCCGACAACTCCTTACATCAGTGACACCTAAATCTCAAAGAGCACACATAAGATTTGAGTCCTGCACTCCCTGATTCTAACCTCATTAAGCAATAGGTTGTCCAATAAAAATCTAGTATTGCTCATGCTGGAAATCCATGCAGGATACTAGGACTTAATTCCATGAAAATGATAAATTTGCTGTTTGTTAAACGTCTTGTTTTGTTAGAGCCTCTTCATTGTCTCTCCAAACAAGGATACCTGATAGCATCTATAAGCAATCATGAAGGTCCTTCTAATGACACAGAATCCAGTATTGGTATTCAAGAAAAATATTCAAGAAAATCTGTGTGTACGTTTAAGTTGAAACTCCTCTACACCATACAGATCAGATACAGTGATACAGCAGCCAGACAGTGTCACACAGATCATTTACAAATACAGAGTTATGCCAACTATCAATCACGTTGTGCAAAAAACAAATACAGAGTGAACCGATATTCGATTCACAACTCAAAAGCATAGCCAATCTACTACCAATCACAAGTCCACATTTCCTAGAAAAGTAGGTCGAGCGAATCGAACTTCGATTTGCCACAAGCATACAGAACAAACTGAAAACAGTTTGAAACTATGCTTCACACATACAATAATTACAGTACTCACTGATCCACTTACAATAAACAGACCACACTCCCACAGCAATATACCACAAACCAAGAAATGCTGTTTAGGAGCAGAAACAGTAGAAGAGATTGCACAGTAAGTCGAAAGAATGGAAACTTACTGTTTCAACCGTCCATCCACCCTGAAATAGAAATCCCACAGGCTCGTAACCTCGGCAATCGAACATCATCAGTCCCGTATACTTCCTAGCTTCACTGAGTCCCTGAGTGAGTGGTTTGCCTTTCCCAGTGACCAAGGACACGGTTCCTTCCCTCTCACAAAACTTGCACTGTGGAGAGTGAAATGCAGGAGGACAAAAGTAACACATCCATCCATTATAATGAAAAACCAGCAATATATTCAGCGATTCGAGTCTTCAAAACAACTTAGCCAAGAATCTAGATAACCATACCAAACACGAAAAGTCTGTTCATCACACAAGAAAGCATCCCGTATAGACTTGTACAAGAGCACAAGTGATACTAAATTGCAGTCTGAACTACTCTATGCTTACTGTTAATCACATCCATCCTCCAAACCAATACTCAGGCTTATGAATGCTCACACAAAATGTTAGGCTTCAACAGATAGTGCATATCGGATATCAAACACGGTAGAAAATCTCATAACCACACAATGAAGACGAGACGGGACGAATTGATAGAAATTTACAATCGGCAGCGGTTACCTTCTGAACAAGATTAGCAGTCCGCTTGCTCCCAGGAATCTGAGCCGATCTCTCCAAAGCAACACAAGTTTCCTTCTCGGTGAGCTCACCGCAGCTTCCGCATTTCAACTACAACATTACCCGGATCCTCGCGTCAGAACAGATACACTAACAGGCCTAATCGTCGTTCACAGACTAATCCGCACAAACAGACGCTCGACAAAAAAAAAATTCAGACGAAGACGACATAGAAGCGTCTCAAGCGAGGAACCAAAAGCGAAAATCGATTCAGTTACGTAGAAAACCCTAGGACTTGATGAGCAGACGTTTACAGAGCTTATCCGCCGACGGAATCGCGGAAGAGAATGCAGATAAAAGAAGAAAGAGATGTAGGTTTGAAAGGAAACCTTGAAGAGATAGTAGAAAGAAGGATCGTCGCAGCCGCCCTGAGGCTGGAGTTCGGCGACGTTCTCAAAATCGGCGGTGATCATCAGCCAATAGTTCACCATTTTCTTCCCACGCCAGTAGTCGAGCTCGAGCACTACTAGCAAATGAAATGATCAGCCTGCTATTTATAAGAAGAATGCACAGTCCACAGTAACAACAGAACGTCCACCGCTATAATATTCGTTAGCGAGTCAAGACTCAAGACTCAAGAGTCAGAGACCGCAGACGACTAAACTAGAGTAATGGGCCGTATATCTGTGGGCCGAGTGGCTACACGCCGGCCTGGGCTTGGACAAAAAAGTTAACGGGCTTACATGCATTTCATGCGTTGATTCAAGCACAATCTTTGTGTTTTGGGTTTGTCTTGATGGGTGATGGACTTTCAATCATGTTCGTCAGAGAATAGAGTTCACTTCTTGATCAGCCAAGTTCAATCATCATTTTGTAAAAAATAATGAACGACTGATCATCATTATCGTTATGAATATTATGACAATACACCAAAAAGTAACATCATTTCAAATTTGTCACGACTCACAACTGTGCCTTAACCCTCTACGTTAATTACTACATATTTCGCATCGTACCGCCGTTTTCATTAATCATTATGTCACGCTTCGATTCTTGTCCGTGAAAAATAAAACTGATCCAAAGGTTGATTGTCACTTTATCAGTTTGTGCAACCATTAATCGTGGCACACGAGAAAGTAATCACTTTTCCAACCTGATTAAAACAAAAACAACATAATATTCGGCTAAACAAATCAACCTACACAAAATAAATCCACGCCATTGCCGCGTGAATAACATATTGGGGAGACAAAAACCAAAATTGAGAATCATCATCTCCATGTTTAGGTGGAAGGTGAGTCATGCAATATCTCTCATGTCTACGTAAAATTTGAATCATATCTTCTTACAAAAAATGATTAAATAGGAAAATTCTCCATACAAAATGCAATGCATGTGAACTTTGGAGCGAATATATATACGTAAACTTCGTATATCGTGAACATCGGAAGAAAGAAAAAAAACACAATGGGATTTGTACAGATCTTAGTGATCGTTTTGGGAGGAGTACTACTACTGGGAAATACTGTCGCAAGAGCAAGAGAAGCTGTGACGACCATTCAGGTAATTAAATTTTAAATTACACGCAATTAGCTGATTTGATTGATTAATTGATAAAAGGATTAATTAATGTTCTTAAACAGAGCGAGGATGGAGACGTGATCGAGTGCATCGCGGTACAGAAGCAGCCGGCATTCGACCACCCTGCCCTCAGAAATCACACCATCCAGCTGGCACCGACTCACGATTATCATCAGTCGGGAAAGCGTCGGCCGCTGGCGCCGCCGCAACCGTGGAGGAAAAGCGGAAGCTGCCCTCACGGCACCATCCCGCTCCGCCGCCGCCGTCCACCAAAGATGTCAACGGAGAGCACATCAGCCGGCCAATTACTACTAGAGGAATCGCCGAACTACATGAGGAAAAACCGCTCGGTACGTACCGCATTACATTGTATGAACATTGCAGCCTTCATGTGTTTTTTTTTTTTCTTCTTTCAAAGTGGACCCACTTTATACGAAATCGACTAAACTAAAACGAAACACGCGCAGAGGGCGGTGTTGATGGCGGCAGGGTACATCTACTCAGGGGTGAAAGGTGACATCAAGGTGTGGAACCCTAACGTGGAGGACGACGACTACTCCGTTTCCCACGTCGGTCTGACCAGCGGCGGCCGCCACGACTTTGAGAACATCCGCTCCGGCTGGATGGTAATCATTAATCAATTACTTTATTAATCACTATTATTATTTGCTTAACAATTGTTTTTAATTTCGTTGATTAATTTTCCTGCAGGTGAATCCGAAATTCTACGGGGATAGGGTAACTCGGCTCTTTGTGTATTGGACGGTAAGGTTAAGAGATTGAATTCTGTTTTCACTTTTCAGTTTGCGTTTCACTCAAATTGATACAGTTAAAGTGTAATTTAATTGTGGGTTGGTTAGGTGGATGGGTCGAACCAAACCGGTTGCTTCGATTTGAGCTGCCCGGGATTTGTGCAGACGAGTAAAGAGATAGCGTTGGGGGCAGCCATTAATCCCATCACTCTGCCAGGTGATCTTACGTCTGAGATCACCATTTACATCTCCAGGGTCAGTAAAAAGTTAAAAAAAAAAACTCCCACTTTTGATTTATAATTTGCATGGAATAATTTTGGTTTTGCTATTAATGTGATTGAATTGAATTATTATTTGTTCGCAAATTGACCAACCCTAATTTCTTTACGCAGGATGCAGTGACGGGGAACTGGTGGGTGGAGTACGGACAGGGCGCCTACCTGGGTTACTGGCCGCGAGAGCTGTTCGGCTTGCTCGCCGCCGGCGGTGCAGAGACGGCGGAGTGGGGAGGCGAAGTTTACAGCCCGAAATTGGGGCAGCGCCCTCACACCACCACGGCGATGGGCAGCGGCCGACCACCGGACCCGGTTTGGGGCAGCTCGGGCTCCGTCAAGAGGATCCGAGTTCTGGAAAACTCCGCGGAGCTGAGGTTCCCCGAGTACGTTTCCACCTACACCGACGAGTTCAACTGCTACGACGTCGAGTACTGGTCTGACTACATGCCTGACCCTGAGTTCTACTATGGCGGTCCCGGCAGAAGCTACAAGTGCCCTTGATCGTTGTTCTAGGTTAGCGAATTGCCTCGGTTTTCGTAGTAATCACAAACACATTTATCAGTACTGAAAACCAGCAAAGATTGGAATTTGGAAGTACATTTTTACTCTAGGGGACACAGTTTTTCATGTCGATCGATGAGTAGTCGACAGACACGCACGGCGTATCTGCATTCCAGAATAGCTTCTACTAAAGGCAATGGGGTAAAAAAAAAACCACAACAACAACAACAATAATCAAAGAACAGCAAAGATTACATACCGTTACCTGAAAGATCACTCTAGACAGGTTCATTTTGCTTCCTCTCTTCTTGTATGGACTGAAAGATCCGAGCTGCTGATTCAGTTGCGGACCTGGAGTTATGAGGCACGACCCTGATCACTCTAGACGCGTGCGCTGCTCGTTGAGGAGGAGCGCCAAATGCAGAAGGAGCTCTTGGGAAGAGATGGAGAGGTGCATCGTCGCTTCTGTCACCTTGGTGGTGAACGGTCCCGGCTACTTCCACTCGCTCGCTAATGCTACTCGCGGTGCTTCTTTGCAGCTCGGATTCTTTAGTGGATACACGAATCTCCGCCACCGAAACAGCACCACTCTTTTGGGTGGCTAGTTCGACGTTATGTTGCGCGTTAAAATTCGCGCCACTTCCAGACAACTGACTGATTTGACCATGAGAGCCTGATCCCAGGAAGCGGTTTGGCTGGTCAACTGCTGACCCCGAGAGAGCAGAGTTCATCATCGAACCATATGGAGGGAAGCAACCCATTCCTTGTTGGAAATAAGTTGGGACGCCGTAACCTGGGTTCATGAAGTTGCCCATTACAGGAGGAGGGCCGTATGGTCCATATCCTCCACCACCAGGTCCCATCGGTCCAGGGGGTGCATAAGGTTTGTACACGAGTCCTTCGGTAGGTGACATGACGGGGACCAACCAGTGCTGGCCAGTGGCTTGGTGGAAACTCCATGAGCTTGTCGTGTTGTTGCTGTCGGTGATTGCTGGAACTGGAACTTGGTTTGCTGCATGAGGCAGCCTGTGGGTTGATGATGGCTGACTGTGGTTTCCTAGAGACTTCCCAACTACTGCATTCTCTGCAGAACCTTCCATCTTATTATTGGTAGGTTCTTGTGAATCGTCTTTTCGTTTGGTACCACGTGCTGGCTGCACCAGGAGATACTCGGTCTGAAGCTTCTTCATTGGGGAGCCTGGAATGGAGGATTTTGTGAGGTAGTTGCTCTCATCCACCAAGAGATGTGGAGAACCAGCAATGTGTTGTTGAACCTACATAAAAATGTGAAAAAGAGTTTTTCCATTATTACTGTGCACAATGATGCTTTACGGGATGAAGAGTAGCTTCTGTGCTGACAGGAAGCTAGTTAAACTCATAATGTTAGAGCGAGTTACCTTGATGAGTCTATGCAACTCAAACACTTGAACCGCAAAAACTCTTTGTTGACTGTAGAGAGAGTAACAGGGTTTGGATCATGAACAGAAAATTCGCAAAAAGGTTCATAAAGAGAACTCAGGTACGAACAGGAAAATGATGAAAATCGTTTAAATGTCAACTGCCAATCAGGTTGAATACAGCATTGTTACCAATTGATCTGAACAGACATTCAATAAGACCAGAAAGACTGCTCGTTTAGTCTATCAGACTTCACAAAATCCTTAAATGATTGACACCAGAGGCTGGGTTTCTCACGTAACACAAATGTGCTAGGCCTCCAGCCTTGGGCAACCCCTTTTCTATATTCACATACCAACACACTTTCACACACTTTGTGAAAAGGACTCATGGCCAACTAGATAACAAGAATAAACTGTTCATAATTCTTATACCCTGGAAGAGAGAACTTGACATATAGTGTTAGTGGCTGCGAAAATTCGGATATAAACAGAGGCCATAACAGTACATCCAACACAAGAAGATCAGCCAGGAACTTAATTTTTAAATTAAGACTATGATGACACAACGTTTCCATGTCTTCTACTTGCAGAAATTTTCTGGGAAGGATAAAAGTAGCTCAAGCACAAGCAGCACTCTGAGCGTGAAATTTAAATAATTGACGATGTCTCAACTTAAAACGAAACAACTTTCTGCCAAGCCTGGCATTTCTATCATAGAATTCTCCATTTCCTCCCATGTACAACTCACCTAGTGAAAGCTCCAGGGACCATCTCACCAGAAGTTGGTTCTTGCTAAAGGCCCCCGAGGTTAAGAAATTTCCTCGATGGTCAAAGGGAACATATGCAAAACCTATTGAAGATAGGAGTATAACCAAAAAAGAAGAAAGTGCTAAATAACTAGAATAATAAGACAATCTACTATCCGGGGGCACCTGAACAAAGTACCTCGATCACCATTATCAGTACCCCCTGCCGCAAGAACTTCCACATTGAAATGATATCAAGGGCCATGAGTACCAAAAACACGCCAGATTGGATGGAGACTCCCCACTATCTAGTTCTCCCTTGCCAATGACCATGTAATTGCTAAACAGACAATCATTTCATTTCTACAGTTAGCATTCTGCCTGGCATTTAAACAATCTAACAAAGTCAGATTGTGTAAATATGAAGAGAAGTACGTTTGGAGCAGCCAAATATTCCTCTATACAAAACTGAATAACATATTTGAACTAGTATTTGCCTAGACAACCTCATTTTCTATTAGAAGCAACTTTGACAAAGGGAAGACGAGACCTAACACTAGTTCAATCACCCCCATGGAAGATAAAATTCCCCAGTTTCAATACTTCAGATGTCCGACAAATTGTAGCAAGAATTTGTTCCCGGATAACTAAATGCCTTCAACATGACAACAAACATGACATTCTAGAAATATTAAAATCCCATGACAAACTTGCATAATTTGAAACTATAAAAGTCAGGTCTCAATTGTACATGCTGTGTTATAATACTTACTTGACAATTGCTCTTCTAGCTTTCCAGAAATGTTTCTGACCAATCATATCCACAACATCATCAGGAGAAACATCCAAGGGTTCGGCAGAGTCCACAATGGATGTCTCGGATGCATCATCACTTTTATCAGTATTTCTCACTCGTATTGACACGTCCACCGTGGTAACACAAGTGCCACTGCGCTCGTTGAGGGTACAGGGCTCTTCACTGGAACCCAAGCTGCCCTTCCGCACAAGAACATCAATTTTCTCTGTCTCCTTCGGCGGCAGCTCAGGAACAGCTCCACCAGGTGCAGAGTCATTTGACTGCAACCATGCAGGCTGTTGTTGACTACCTTGAGAACGTTTTTTCGGCTGTGCATTCGCTTCCTCCCCAGACTCGGTAAAGTTTTCTCTACTCTGCAAATTATCACTTGGAATGCATGGGTTTCCTCCATGTCCCGAATGGGGGTCAATAGATGATGCACATGCACCATTATCACCCGCATTCCGAGCTTTATTGCGATGACCTGAAAGCATCGAGCTAAATGGAGCTAGCTCTTCCACATTAGAATGTTTTCTCTGCAACTTGGACAGACCTGTATGAACAAATACTGGAACAGTGAAATCATCTTCATCTCCAGCCTTCTTCTTCTGCTCACGTGGCGGTAAAGAACCGTTCGAGTTCCCGGCACTGGGCTGGAAAGAATGCAGTTGATGAGCTAGGGTAGGTGGCGATGATAAAGTCCTTTCAAGCCCACCCGCCTGCACATACATGATTCAATCAGTCTGATGAAACTTCTACAATCTAATCTACCCAGAATCTACCTGTATTCGATCAAAATTCAAAATCCCTTAACAAAACAGTGGGAAAACAGTACCTGGCTGGAAGACCCGGGAGGAGCCAGGTTACTTGGAGTACGAGGCAAAACCCCAGAATTGAACCTTTGAGAAGGAATGCTTAGCTGCTCATAAAGGGCCATCTTGTTCCTTGGAGGCGCTCTCGGCCCCCCTTTCTCTGTATCATTCACATGTAGCCTCGGGAACAATGGCCCCATCATCTTCTCATCGTCTCTCCCTCTCTTCATCCCAACTCTCTCTTTCTCTCAATTCTCTATCTCTCTATCTCTCTCTGTCCCCAGCTATTCCAGCTCAGCCTTTGAATCAACCACCGGAAGAGCTAATTCACCGAACTAACTAAGAATCACAGAATCTGAAGCAGCAACAAACCTCGAGTAATCCAGAACGAACCGAATCTCAACTGGGTAGTGATCAGGATTCCAGAAGGGACGACGACGACGAAAAAGGAGAATCGGATGCTTGAAACAGCGACGGCGGCGAGAGACCCCAGCTGCCCGCGAAGGGGTTGGTCGAGGAAATGAAAGAGTGGGAAGAAGAAGAAGCTGAAATTAGGAGGGAAGAAATCGAAATCGGGAGAGAGAAGTGGGATTCTGGGAACGTGGGTTGGGAAATCAGTTAGGGAGAGATTTTCGGCTTGAGGAATTGGTAAATAGAAGAGGGCGACCGACGGAAACGGGTCGGTGAGGAAGAGACGAGGGATTTCAGGGAGGAAATGGAGAAGAAAGACAGATGAAATGAAAGAAAAAGGAAAACAAGTGGTGAAGTGAATGGAGGAGAAGGCGAAAAGGAAAGAGAAAGAGAGCAGAAAAGCGGGACCCATTTGGGTATGGATAGACCTGGAAGAAACAAGTTGATTGGCCCAAATTTAACTCACATCGTACAATGCGGATGGGCCCATATGGAAAATGAAGGGAGCCCAGCAAGGCCCAACAGAAATAGCCATTTCTACTGATGTTATATAGAAAAAGTCAATCATGGTATCATACCAAGATAATTATGAGATTAAGGGTGAAAATTGTAATTACTTAAATAAATTTTAGATTTTCAGATAGAAATTAGTTAAATTTGATTTTCCATTGATGGAAAGTAATTGAATTAATTTTCTCATTTTCCATTTTATTTCCATTTGGACAAATGAATGACAACAGCCGATTTCCGATTCACCTCATTTTCTCAGCTGTATATATACGGGTAACGGCCGGTGTGATTTCCCTCGCCTTCTGTTTGTTTGTTAGTGAGAGTCCGCAGCCGGGGAGAAAACCCAAATGGAGACGACTTAGCAAAATCCACCGGCGAGGGCGAAATTCAGCAGTGGGAAAGTAGCAAAGAAACACTCTGCACTGCAATCTTGACGGTTACTTGGATGAAATGGCATCGTCGTCTTCTTCTCACCCGCCGCCCATTCCTCCGGTTCCGGACGCCGGTAATCCAATTCCTCCATCGCTTTCGCTCTGCCTGCGCTTTCTTTCTGTTAGCTCGCCGAGCAAAGAAACGGGAAATGGAGTTCAATTGGAAACCAAATCCCTTGATTTCCTTATCGCGTTTCGCTTCGCTGTTTGCCTGAACTGTGTGGAATGATCGTTGTTTCGTGTAGCGAAACCGATTAGAGATTTTCTTGGTGCTTGACTTGATGACTATCTTGCGTCGCAGGCGGTGAAAACCTAGATCACGATGCTCAGTTCCCGCCGCTTCCGGTTCTTGTCGTCACCGAGCCTTCTCAACTTCCAGTTGAGTTCCTTAACCCGTCGCCGGACCATGAACTCGTCGTCGGCTTGGATTGTGAAGGCGTTGATCTCTGTCGCACTGGAAAACTATGTATTGTGCAGGTAAACGAATTGTAAAGCTGGAAAACTGCTTCCGACGTCACTCTGCCTTCCTGCGTCTTCGTTTCTGTTAGCGTGCGTATAGATTCGGTAGAATCTTCGAGCTTCTCTGGTTTGTTAAGTGTGGAATCCCTTTCTTGCGTATCTTTCCCTACGAACACTGCAGTCCAATGACGAACTATATTCTCTGTTTCTTATCCTTTATGCGTCCTTGATTCTGGTAGAGTGTGTATAAATTCTGTTGAATCTACGAGCTTCAGTGGTTTGTCAAGTATGGAGTCCGTTTCTTGTTTATCTTTCCGTGTGATCCATGCAAACCCATAATGGACTCTAATTCCTTGTTTTTGCCTTTCCACTGGTTTTATTTCCTACTGGCAGCTTGCGTTTCCAGATATTGTCTACATTGTTGATGCTATTGACGGAGGGAAGGCAGTTATGGAAGCTTGTAAGCCTGCACTGGAGTCGAGTCACGTCACGAAAGTGATTCATGATTGTAAAAGAGACAGTGAGGTCTGTATTCAGTGATCTTATTATGTTTCTTGCAGCTCCTTTAGATTGACTGCTCGCTAATATTCGTGTTTTGTTCTGCTGATCTTTTGCTGTAGGCATTGTACTTTCAATTTGGCATTAAGCTGCATAATGTCATTGACACTCAGGTAATGCGATTCTCAACTTGCTGTAGGCCTGTATCTAGTAGATGGAATGGAACTCCATATCTGAATTATGCTGCCTTAAGAGCTGTTAGATTCTTGAGTCCAGTCTACTATCAGTTATAGCAGTTCAGTAAATGATACTAGATTCTTCAATTGTTCATCACAAATTTTCTGTATCCACTATTCTTTTGTCAGATGGTCATACATTTTTATTCTTGCTTTTGTAGATTGCTTTTTCACTGATAGAGGAGCAAGAAGGGCGGTACAGAGCGCCAGATGACTACATATCTCTTGTTAGCCTAATTGCTGATCCAGACTATTGTGGTACTTAATGTGTTAGAATTTATCATATGCATTCGTTATGGTGTTGAACTCGAGTCACAGCTAGAATCATGTTACAATGCTTGCCAAAGTCCTTACTGGGTGATGTAGAATGTGGTTCCGCAGTGTCATGCCATTGCATTCTGACCTTATTTGCTCTTAGTGCTTTATGAATGGTTGTAATCACGAGCAACGTTTTCACATTCCATGCCCCTTTAATGGAGGAAATAGCTTGAAAATGCACGCTTGCACTGAAATTGTTTAAAAATTTCTGATGTCTACTTCTTGCTGTAAAATTGTGTTCATGGGTCATGAGTGTTTATTAACCTAGCAGGTACCTGAATATAATATAGTTCCATGATTGTACTAATGTTATCTTTCAATTGATAGTAGTTGTTTACTTTTCACTGAATGGCATGGATCATCTGATGTGGACTAGATACATAGGCTGAATGTGTTAGTTTGTACAAATGATAGTGAGCGACACTGTTTTAAGTTCCTCTGTAGTCTGTACTAAAGGACCTAGTTGTCAGCTGTTAACCATTAATCAATTTATAAACCAACACAGCTAGTTTTGCGTGTTCATGTAAAACTCTATCTTCAATCTCTTTGCTTCTTCTGTCATATCACTCTTCATGTGCTTCTAAATTGTTCTGAAGTGAATGTATGGATATTTGCATCATTCTCCTGCTCCAAATGAATGATAATGGCTTACATTACAGGAGTGGAATATGCGAAGGAAGAGGTTCGTCTTCTTCTTCGGCAGGTCAGTTAAAACATATCTATTCTTCGAATAGTTACTAATGGGTGAATCTCTTTGTGAAACTGTAGTTGACTTTCAGTAAACAATGTGTTAGATTAGGTTGTCATCTTTCATATTTGGCGTCATGTACTGTTAGATAATATTTTCTTGCCATTGGGATAGATTCTGAATGGCTTATGTGCATAAGGGTTGAACTCTAGTCACTAGCTAAAAGCATGTTACAAAATGCTTGCCAAAGTCCTTATTGAGTGATCTAGAATGTGGTTCCACTGTGTCAGGCCATTGCATTCTGCACTTATTTGCATCATTCACCTGTTTCCAATTGAATCACTGTATGAAGTTTATCTGACTTTTCCATTGTGCTCACTGTTTATCTTCAGGACCCTAAGTTCTGGGAGTACAGACCACTTTCTGAGATGATGATACGTGCAGCTTCCGATGATGTCCGCTTCCTCCTCCACATCTATCAGAAGATGAAGGAGAGACTGAATGAAAGATCGCTATGGTGCCTCTCTGTTCGTGGTCAACTTTACTGCCGGTGTTTCTGCATCAATGACAATGACTATGCTGATTGGCCACCACTCCCTGTACTTCCAGGTCAGTAGAGTGTACTTTCAGCTTTGTGTTCTGTATACTACATCGATAACCATGCGTCCATACATAGTTAATTAACAGATATTGATCTATTTTTATCCTTTAGTCCTTGGTTGGCACTTTGTGGTTACCAATTTTGATACTTGCATTCACAGTGAACTTCATATTTAATTTATCCACTACTGTCTGCTTGAGCTGTATAGAGAGCGATGAAGGAAATGATGATGGCCCTGAGGAACAAATCCTCACTGTTGTCAACGTTCCACCTGGGCAAATGGGACTTGTAATTGGAAAAGGTGGATCTACAATTCGGTTCATAAAGGAATCCTGCAAGTAGGCTCTCTCTTTCTCTCTCTCTCTCTCTCTCTCTCTCTCTCTCTCTCTCTCTCTCTCTCTCTCTCTCTCTCTCTCTCACAGCTTGATCTTTTTACCAATTCTTGCCAACCAGACACTTATGTTTCTTGAAATGGATAATTCGCAGTGCTGAAATTTTCATAGGAGGGTCAAGGGGTCCACCTGATAAGGTGAGATTTTCTAACCACCAATTCAGAGGCATTACGGTCTCACTCTCGATCTAGCGTAAAAAAGAAACTGCAGCTAAACATTATATGTTAGCAAAACTTGGTTAGATTTTACTCCAAGAACAAGTAAGACTGACAGAAAGTATACAAACTGAAAACAGGAGAGAACATAGAGTGGCCAGAAAATCTATGCGATTCACGAAATCGGAGATCATTTCTATTCCATCCGTTACCTTTTGATGGACATCATTGCGTGATGCATTATTTCTTGGTTGCAGGTTTTTGTAATTGGATCCGTGAAAGAAGTGAGGAAAGGAGCAGCAATTGTGAGGGGAAGGCTGATCTCCTTCTACTGATTCGTGAAACTGACATGCTTCCTACATCTTTGTTATAACCTCATCGTGAGTTCTCCCGGCTATTGCTACTACTTTCCCTTTGCTTGCTTTAACCTGTGTCATCATTTTTGTAACCGAGTGCTCACTTTAGCAAACATCGTCTGCTGATTTTCATACAGCTTGCTAACCGATCATACTTTGTCGGCAAACAACAATTTCCAGCACTCAAACTGGCTGGAACATGAAGCCGTGGCTCTGATCTTGGCTTTGAAGGAATAGCTTACTTGCTGTACCATTTCCAGTTCGGACTCAGCATGGCATTGCCAGTTTTTTCTTCTTTTTTTTTTCTTCTTCTTTACTTGCTACTGGAGGAACAAACTGTGGCGAAACGGATTTCTCAGCCTCTAGCTATATGCATTCTGCAGTAGTGTCATTGAAGGCTTGTCTCTGAGAGTTTTGGAATTCAAACTAATATCGTGTGCGAGTTATGATGCTACTTGTACTACAGATCAAGAACCACTAGACAACTGCCTCACAGTTTATTCGAAATCAATTTGATAGTTGGATGCAGAATCCTCACATATTTGAATAAAACTTTACAAATCTCTCTTTCAACAGCAAACCCAAGTAAACTCGAGACAAGCGTGACCTCAAACAACAACAAATCATGAATGCCTTTTCGGATGTAATCGCCAATAAGAACACAGCAAAACCATCCACCCCTAAAATAAAATTAACCTCGTTGCCAAATGGAGAAATGAGCGTAGGAGTTAAACCGCGCAGCAGCAACGAAATCCATTTGCCATTACTTGAAAGCGCCAAACTGGTATTGTTGACTGCTGCCAAGGCTCGAGAAGAATTGGTCTGCTCCAGTTCCAGCATCAGGGGTTGACTGTGGCTGTGAAGATGCAAACCCAGACGAAGGTCCAGTCGTGAAACCTGACATGCCGAGACCAGATCCTGATCCCATTGCTCTCCCCATGTAAAATGCTGGGGGAGCTGCTGCCGACTTCTCCTTTTCTTCTTGTCCTCCACCGAGATCGCCCATCACTCCAACATCCACCAGGGATACTTTCTTGGCTGCATTAACAACAATGCATTGTTCAAATTGTAAGCGCAAGAAATATCTGAACACCATCATTCCACATTTCTTCTGTTTGATGTCCTCTCTTAGCTCCGTCGTGCAGTCAAAATATGTATAGAGATACATAGAAGACAAATAGACAAAGGAGCTCAAAAGAGATGTTACTTACGAGCAGATATGTTGAGATCGATTATCCCACGGCTTAATGAATCAGCCCAGATCCCAGACTTCACCTGAAAATTCTGCTTTTTCTCTGGAAACTGTGTTGGATTCTCAATTGTGCTAGCATCACTTGTAGGTGGATTCTTAGTAGGTTCTGCAGTACCTGAAGTGGTGCTAGAACTGAAGTCGCCAAAAAGATCAGATCCATCGAAACTGTTTATTGGGAGTGCAGCAAATGGGTCTACAACACTGGTAGTTGCAGAACCGAATTCCACAGGCTTTTTGGACTCCGGCACAGCTGGTGGTTCGCCGGCAGAAAAAAAGTCAATGGTTGATGGAGCAACGGAAGCAGGAGCGGGTATGGTAGGTTGAGAAGCAAACAGATCAACCTGAGTCTCAGCATACACGAAGAAAAAAGCCTACCACTTTAGCCACCTATTTTCTGCAAACTCATTCTACCTATAATTACAAATACGGTACGTAACATGAATTCTAAAGCAAACTCTCTCTTTTTGGCAGGTTTTGATCTCCAGCACCATATACCTTCTGGAGACAGATAAATAATCCAGTAAACGCTCCCCTTACAACTCATTTGTAAATAGCCTCTTTTTCCAAGGAAAAGAAGACACCAATCACAGAGCAATGGTCCATATTTTGCTATTATGTTCAAAGAGCATATTGGATTGTATCTCGAATTTATGCAGGGAATTGAGGTGAGTCAATATCTAACCTGTGCTTGAGAACTTGGTACCTTGTCGACCTGAGGTTCTGCTGATACAAAATCTGCATCAGCAAACAGATCATCTGCAGAACTGCCATTCTTAATAGAGGTTTCTGCAGGAACGGATGTAGGTGCATCCAAGAGATCCCCCACCAAACTCTGTCCAAACAGATCGACCTGGCTAGAGGTTTGGGCGGTCGACTCTGCCAATAATGGAAACAATATTCAAAATAATAAAAAATGTAACGCACCTTTCTAGATGGAAGCTAGGAAATCTAGTTTGTAAGACGGTATCAAGAGAAGTAAATTTTCTAATGGAAAAAAAGCCACTTACTACTTCTCGAATTTCCCCGAGGATCAAAATCATCATCCAAGTCATCATCGATAGCAATTGAATTTGGTTTACTAGTCTCTCTCAAGTTTGCTGAAGTTTTGGATTCATCAGGCGAAAACTTAGGCTGACCCTTGCTGTAGTAAAAGCAAATTAAGCAATTCAAACCGGAAAAATAAATGTCAGACTGAGAGATCAAGATGTATCCATCCATATCAATAGTTATGCAGTTATGACCTGATTTTTGAAGGGATTACATCATAACACACCAGGGTAGAATCTATGATTTTTACAGTATACTACAACCAGAATAACATAACCCTTCAAAATTGTCAATTGCAGTTCAATTCACACCTAAATGGATATGTAAAAATCCTCCAACAGAAAGGAAACTTTGTTTCAAACCTGCGTAAGCCAGCAGAGCCCTTGTTTAAGTTGCTTCCATTATTATCACCAACATCACGTCGTGATTTTACATATGCATCCTTATCGGTCTTCTTGTAGCTATCTTTGAAGCCATCAGTATCTCTTCCACCACTGAAGCCCCCATATCGATCACTACTCCTATAGCTGCTACTACCAAATGAGGCTGAACTTGCCTTGGAGGTGATTCCAGAAGATGAAAGACCAATATACCTAAGGATTGCCAGGGAGAAATATTCAGAAAATAAAAAGCACTTAACAAAGCAAAGCAGATACAAGGTGTAGTTCCCAGTTCGTAAAGCAAAAAACTCACTTGTCACGATTGGCAGCAGCTTTATTCCTTGCTTCCTGTATCTTCTCCTGGTTATTCAGAAGGCCAATGATAGTTTCTGCCTTCTTCCTCACATTGATCCCCGAGTCCTTCCCACTTGGCTCAACATATTCAAAACTTGTAAGCGACTGAGCCCACAAACGAAAATGATTGACAGAAAGTTAAAGAGCAAGTTACAGATCCACGGAAACCGAATGAAAACAAGAGTGTTAGTAGTAGTCCTCACAGAGATCTGAAAAGTGTGCTCTATAATATCATCCACGGCGCGCTCTGAACCATGTGCCACCAAATACTCTATGACAGACAATGCCTGGTGTTGAACCGAGTTAGTTAACACACGCACCGTGGGAAAAAAAAATAGTTAACTGATTCAGCAACTGAGGCAAGAAAGCTTTTCTGTTTCCATTTCAAACCTTGTAGACAAGACGCCAGTCCTTGCCCGTCTCCCCCAATCGTGTCCACAGCACATTCATAATCATCTGGCATTCAGTGCTGAAGTAAAATGATATGACAACACATTAGGCAATCAACCTGGAATGCATGAATCAATATAAAAGGAAGGCCATAACAACATAGGAAGTAGAAAGTAAAAAGTACTGACAATTTCCTGGTAGCCATAGAAATCTCTTGCAACGCAGTGCCATGAGGACCCCATGGTTCATCGTTCGTGGCATCCAGTACCTTCAAAACAGATAACAGATAATATGGAGCAGGGAAGCAAGATAGAAACATGGGAAGAACCGGAGAGCAAACCAGCTCCCTAATCATTCAATTGAAATCAACCCAGAAGAAAAGCACAAGCATTGAGCTAACTACCTTCTGTTCAATTTCAGGAACCTTCAAAACCTTGAGATTCACTTCTCGCTTTCTGAAAGACAAGCCAAAGAGTTAACGAAGGCGTCGAGAAAAGAAAAAGGGTGGCGGAAAAAAAATGGCGGGTGGGACGGGAAGCTCACATTTCGCGGACAGTCTGATCGATTACTTTCATGAAATCCATGGCCGGCGGATCTGTGAAATCGAAGAATAAAAACCCATAAATGCAATGATCAGATATAAAACCCAGAAGGAGGAGGCATTAGATCTGCAGAGAAGGGAGCGATGAGGCACCTTAAAGTTCAGATCTTGCGAAGCAACTGAGAGGATGATGACGATGTTTAATATTTGAAATCTTTTCAAATGATTTTGTTAATTGTCTTAATCATAATAAAATGAAGGGGGGAAAACTAGTTTTCCGGTTAATCGAGAAGGAACGGAGCCGGCAAGGGCTCCTCCGTTCCCCGTCGGTTCCTCCGATTGGGTTTGTTTCTTTTCTCCGTTCGTTTGGTTTTCGGTTTTGGAGGTTTTCCTTTTCTTTGCCCTTCACCGCTCACTTTTTCGTTTGATTGAATCATCTCTCTTTCCCGTAAGCTTAAGGGGGTGTTTGGTAAAACAACAAAACAAGTTGGCCGTGCGATAAGAAGGGTAAATTACAAGTTTGGTCACTGGAATTATTAAAAAATTTCACACTTGTGATTAAAGTTAGTTAAGTATTTTAGATTTGGTTATTCTTCGTTACATTTCACTAATCTTTGTTAACAACGTCAGTTTTTTGCTGGCGTTGCTAACAGAATTATCCAATTACCTAATTTTTAACCCAGAAAACTTTAAATTCCAACCACCATGTCATGAACCCAACCAACATTTGACTCGACCCCTCCCTCTTCTCCCTCTATTTCATTTGTGGCTTAGCGGCGACGCGAGATTTGGTGACAGAGGAGCTCAAAACACCTTTTTCTGCTAAGGAGAAGTTGATTTGTCACTCGACGACGGGTAATGTTTTTCCAGTTGGATCAAATAGAGGGAAAATAGGAAGGGTCGGGTCACATGTTGGGTTTTATGACGGATTCCGAACCAAAAACCGAAATAAGCTCCCAACAGCCAGACCATAAGCCACTCTCTTAACTACAACCCACTGAAACCCTAGTCTAGCCTAAACGAACCCTAGGCTCACAACCCAAACCCCCTATTTTGTCCCAACTCACACAACGGTTGCCACTATCGCGTGGTCCTCCATCAAATCGACCATTGCTCCACCATCTTCTCCTTCATGTTGACACCACGACAAAAAAGGAGAGGAGCGCGCTGACATGCAAAGTCCGGATACCAGATTTTTAGATTTGATGCTCGAAACCTGATCCATTCCACACTTGATTCTAGAGTTGGAAATTGGGGCAGGTGTGGTTACCCGCCCAACATTTTGCGTGTACCCACACCCACAAATTTACAATTATGATATCCGTACCCTGCACTGCAGTGGTTAGTGGGTAACCTCTATTCACTACGGGTTGGGTGTGGTTACCCACAAAGACCCATTTTAGACATAGAGTTAAGACCGCCACTAATGTATTTGTTGTTCGTGACTAGACTATAGTGATATACAATTGTGTTGTTCGTGGAAATATAATTTTGTATATCGATCTTACTCAACGTGTAGATTTTTTCTTTTCGAGTTTGGTGGTCAACTTTTGTGTCATGGGAGTTGTGATTTCATATTTCACCGACTAGGGGTTGAATATGATAATTAAATATGATCTTGTATTTTATTTCACACAAAAGCAAAACACATACAAATAAAAGTTACTAAAGGTGTCCACTTTTAACAAATCAATTATTTTCCTCTCTCTCAATTTTAATGTTTTATAAACGAAATAATTCTCACATAAAATTGCTTAGGTGCATACTTGATTTTGGTGACTACTTTAATTTTTAGCATCCCACTTTTCACATACTATTATATTAGAAAACATTAATAGTAAATAAATATAATTAGTATGATTATTATGAATTATGTGGGTTAAGTGCGGTGGGTAGGAGGAAGAGAGTACCAACAGAGGAGGGAGATAGTGCCTAGTGGGAGCGGCAGGATAGGCCAGAGGCGGAGAGAGGGATTTGTAGCGGCCATGACCCTAACCCAGAAACACCAATGACAACGAGAATAAGAAGAAGACAAAGAGGAGGCGGGGTTGGTGATAATATTTCGGGTTAGGTTCTTGAAACTGGACCAAACCGAATTAATTTTGGTTCGAATTCCCTTTGAACTATGGTATAAGTCGAGAACTTGGTATGCTAAATTGATTAATTTCGAAGAGTGTCTACCCTTATTTGTGACGAGAGAATGAATTAGTGATGATTGATGATAAAAAGGTAAAATACGTTTTGATTAAAAATATTTTTGGGAGTCTCAGCTTCCTATTAGCGAAGTTGGAGTTGGGTCACACGAGTAGGGCTGCAAATGAGTGGAGCTGCTTGCGAGAAGCTCGACTTTCGACTCGAAAAAACTCGTTCAAAACTTGACTCGTTTACTAACGAGCCGAGCTGGAGCTAAGCTTTTTGCAGCTCGCGGAGCTCGCGAGCTAGCTTGACTCGGTGAGATCAACTCGTGAGGTGGTTCATTCAGAGCTCATGAGATGTCTCGACTCGCAACATTGTGGCTAGAGAGCCAACTCGATTACCGACTTATTAACGAATCGATCTATATGAGTTTGATCTTGATAATTCATAGGATTGTTAAATTATATGTCTCGCCCTATATGAAGTTTAACATGTAGATCATGTGAGCAAATATGTCTTAATTAATTTTAGAAAGAAATTATGTATCATAGATTGCTTTGATACTATAAGATAACTTAATTTTGAGTATTTAAATTTTATTAACTAAATTATATGATACCACAAAGTATAACATTATATTAGTTCATATTGAACTTATATATTTTTTTCTTTCCATTTTGACTTTAATCACATGTATCATACATGACATACAAAATGAATATAACAAATACGAGTCAAAATTTTAGTAAACAAGATAGCTCGAAATCGACTCGGTTCGTCTCGCTAATAAACGAGCCGAGCTCGAGCACAACTCAATTATTAACAAGCGGAGCACAAGTTTGGCTAAAACTCGGCTCATTTGCAGCCCTACACACAAGACCTGTACATGCAGTTTTTAGGCCCACGGGCCCATAACCCCGTCTGCCCAAACCACTACCCCGTGCTCAGCCCAAGCCCATCGTTGTTGTTGTTCTGTAAAACAAATAACTGTGGAGGAAGGAGGAAAAGGAACCTGGAGGGAAGCACGAACAAGCATGTCGGAAAAGCAACGGCGACCCTCACGGCGGTAGAAAACGAAGCCAGCCAGCCAGCAGCACGACAGCGAGCTGAAGAAGAAGAAGAAGAAGGGAGCGACGAAAGCAGAAACCATAATAGTTCTCTCTTGCCTATTCACCTCTCATCATTGCAATTCATAAACAACGATGGTAACAATTCCGACAATCACAGACGAGTGCAAACAGTGAATGGCTAGGGTTTAGACTTTAGGGTTGCTTTTTCGCTTGTGACAGTTGATTTCTGAAAATATTTTGGGCGTTTGGTTCTAGTCTTCAATTCTCTTTCTCTTACACTTTTCTCTGTTCATGGCGGCCTCAGTTCTCCATCGCAGCAATTAACGACACCGACTCCACGCAACAATGGGAACCCTTAGCTCCGACGAAAGAAGCTCAGGCACTTGTTCTCACCTCCATCCTCGCTTCCTTTTTGGTTTTAAGTTCACAATGAGCTCACATTCTTTAAGTTCACAATGAGCTCACATTCTTACCATTTGTTCGCCTGCAGGAATCTCATCTTACCCAGACTTACCATGATGGTCTCCTCGAATTGCAAGCGAAGCAATATGACAAGGCCCGCCATTTGCTGGAATCTGTGTTGAGAGACCCTCTAATCTCAAATGCCCAAGAGGTAGCACCGCCATTCTTATCTTCTCCTCTGCTCGAATTATGGTTTATTTGCTGCTCTCATTTCATCCTTTCCCTTCAGGTGGATGGTAATGCAAGCGATAGTCATCTTCAGCAGCTCAGGTTTCTTCTCCTTCACTCCACACCCCCCTGTTTCTGCCTTTTATCCCTTTTTCTTCCTGTTGACCCTGACACAAGTTAGTTAGCTTGCGGTTCTAGTATTACGGGCTGGGGTTTCTTGTGCAGGCGTATCCTGCTGTTTGTGATTGTTAACTAGGTTATTTATTCCCCACCTGCTAATTGGCAGATATTTGGCGCTAAAGAATCTCGCCACTGTTTTCCTTCAGCAAGGATCAGCACATTATGAGAATGCTCTTCAGTGTTACCTTCAAGCTGTTGAGATTGACACCAAAGATTCTGTTGTTTGGAATCAGTTGGGAACTTTGTCGTGTTCGATGGGTTTGCTCAGTATTTCGCGATGGGCTTTTGAGCAGGGCCTTCTATGCAGCCCTAATAACTGTAAGCATTTTCTCTTGTTTGTTTCACATACTCAAAGTGTGAGATCTTGTAGTTCAACTTCAAACCCATGAATGATGCCTTGTATACCTCCTGTTTTCTTTGTGGACTCACATTTCTTGTAAGGATAAACCGAAATTTGTTCTCTCTTGAATTTTTTAACGCAGGGAATTGCATGGAGAAGTTATTAGAAGTTCTTATAGCAATTGGTGATGAGGTCGCTTGCCTTGCTGTAGCAGAGTTGATTTTGAGGCACTGGCCTTCTCATTCTCGTGCTTTGCATGTGAAATGCACTATTGAAGAGTCAGAGCTAGTTCCATTTGCACCTAGAGGTATTGATAAACTGGAACCAAAGCATGTCCGCCTTAAGTTCCTGGACAAGAGGAAAAGATCCGAGGAGAATTTTGACGAAGTTGTAGCTAATAAACGGCTGAACCAGACCATTGAGTTGAAGCTGCATGGAGTTTCGTGGTGTGCTGTTGTTGATGCTCTGCTGGAAATCCTACATCCACTCAGTGGGCATGACACTGAGTTCAAACCTGACGAACCCCGCAAATCTGGGGATATCAGGTTAAGTATACAACTACCATCCAATTTAGATATCGATATGAGCTCTCAGAAAAAAAAAAGGCCGGTTGACTGCCCCTCTAGTCAATGCAAGCCTCTCAGCAATAGCAATTCCGAAAGAGTTGGTGCTGTCAAGGAAAGAGAAACAAATAGTTTTTATGAACAGCCTCATGAGAGGCGAAGTACTCGCCTTGAAAGACTTAGAAGTCGTAAACCTGGGAAAGAAGAAATGGATTTTGGTGACAGGAAGGATTTAGTCAGTGTTGTACTCCAGTATCTGGAGCCTTTTATTGTTGGCGCACTGTCCGGTGACAATTCTGAGCATGCGGTTACGTGTTCTGTTCCACGCACTGACGAGGTTAGTTCACCTGATAGGGAACTGAATGATGTTTCAGCCTTTGTCAAAGAAACATCAAAAAATTATGGTGCTTATGATATGGCCCACTTGCTTCTCGAACATGTTACAACTAAAGGTATTATGTGTCAGGATGCATTGCCCAAACTCCTTGAATTGGAAGGGTTAACAAGAAATTGGGGGAAAGATAGAACTCCTGAGTGTAGTCTTTTTCTTGCTGAGGTGTATTATGACCTTGCATTTTTGCCTTCCAATGCTTCAAAGCTCTCGGAATTCATATCAGAAGCATTGTATCATCTATGCAAAATTGTGGAATCAGTAGCCCTAGACTATCATTCACCCCTAACCCTTGAAAATCAGGGTGGAAGTTGGTCTGATCGCTCTTGTTGCTCGGATCTCATTTCTATTGATTCTTTGTCAAGTGAAAAATGCAACTTCTGGATCAGGTACTTCTGGTTGAGTGGGAAATTGTCCATCTTCGATGGCAAAAAGGCAAAAGCTTATGAAGAACTATCTGTGTCCTTGTCACTGGTCTTGAAGAGGGATAAAATGGGTGATTCTTCTGGGAGTCTTAAACTATCTTACCTCAAGGTCAATAAAGAGTTAACCCCAGAGAAGATTCTTCATGAAATAAATTTGCTGAAAGTTGATTCCCTGCTCGAGGAGACTGTAGGCGAGTTAATGGAGAAAGAGAATTACGTGGAATGCATAAATTTACTTGCCCCACTTCTATTCTCTGTGGATCATGTTTACCTTGATGTTTTGTCATCACCTGGAATAGATGATAAAAATGAGGGATTAACATGCATTGAGCTTAAAGCGCTGGATATATTAATTGAAGCTTCTGAGAAGGAAATCCCTATGGATAAAGAGGTACACTTAATGTGTCACCAAAGAAAGCTGCTAATACTCATGCTACTAGCTGGGATGGTCCAATTTAAATGCTCACAGCAGAAATATGGGTTTAATGCACTCTCCGCTTATGATGTAGTTCCTAAAGAAACTCCAGAGAAGTGGAATAATCTAGTGGTGCAAGAAATAAAGGCAATCTCAAATTCTGCAGCGAAGATAAAGAGCTTGGATCCATCTGTTGACACAGTGAGTAGTTGGTTAAAGTTCAAGGAGTGGATCTCTTTGTGTTCCGGTTTAATTTGGAAGGATGGTTTACTCTCGCACTAAATTGTTCAGGAACTAAAACTTTTCTTGATAACCATACTGATGAGCTTTTCTTAGTTTTAACTTGATATATCTCATTTAATACTAGCTTTGTTGCGGTTTGTGTGTAACCCCTGGGCAAACAAATGAATTCTGCTTGCAGAGTGGCTCAAGCTGTCCCCTCAGTTGCATCAGTGCTTTGCAATCAGTGCTAGTAGCGGTCATGTGCCATGTCGTCATCAATTACCTCTGCAAGAAGTCCTGTGTCCCTGTTAATGCTGATGAGACTGAACAAAAACATGGATGCTATCTAGTTGATACATGTGTTGCATTCTGCAGACTTCAACACCTTGTCTCCTCCATTGCAGTCGAGACACAAGTGAGCCACATGTTTTTTATCAGATAACTAACTTTGAATGCGTTTAAATTTCTGTCGTTATCAAATGTACTTAAAAGTTTAGGACCTAAATTCCAGGTTGAATTAATTGTCGCAATCCATGACTTGCTCGCTGAGTATGGCCTCTGCTGTGCGGGTGAGGGTGGTGAAGGCGGGGAAGGAACGTTTCTTAAATTCGCTATAAAGCATCTCTTAGCATTGGACATGAAGCTTAAATCCAACTTAAACTCTTCCTGCACGGAAAAAGATCACCTTGATAAGCAGCATTCCCCAGGTGGACTCGGCAAATCAGCTGACAGAGAAATAAATATGGAACTGGATATTGATGAGTTGGAAAATCCCAAAATTAATGTTGCTGGGAATGGTGTTTCTGAAGTCGTTCATTCACAAGAAAGCAAGAGAGACAGAGTAGGAGACCGCGAAGACCGACAGGGAGATGAAGGGGATAAAAATGGTGAACAAATCATCAAACACAGAAGTAAAATGTCTGAAGAGGAGATGGAAGAGCTTGAGTTAATGATAGATAATGCGCTAGATCAGTGTTTTTTTTGCCTATATGGACTGAATCTTAGATCAGATTCATCCTATGATGATGATCTGGCCACACACAAGAATACTAGTCGTGGAGATTACCAGACCAAGGAACAATGTCTGGATGTTTTTCAGTACATACTACCTTGTGCAAAGGCTTCTTCTGTAAGTCATCTCTCACTCGTTGTGCTGTGTGTGCTTATGTGTGGCATTTACCAGTTTCTTTGGACTCTTTGTTTCCCATTACCAACATTTATTCAGAAGATGATCTTCTTGACTGACTGGATTTCCTGTCTCTGTGTCTCAGAAAACTGGACTCGTCAAACTTCGGAGAGTGTTGAGAGCTATACGCAAACAGTTCCCACAACCACCTCAAGATCTTTTAGATGGCAATGCGATAGATAAGTTCTTAGACGATCCAGAATTGTGTGAAGACAGGCTGTCCGATGAGGCTGGATCTGAAGGTTATCTGGAGACTGTTATTAAGATTCTATTTCCTGATGCAGGAAATGTTAAGCAGCACAGATCATCAATGGTTAAGCGGTACTTTCATAACTTGTTCCATCATTCTGTTTCCTCCAATCATTAAGTCGGTTTTCTTAGTTGTGACATGCTAACTGCTCGGTCATGCTTATTTCAGCTCTGATCCATATTCTGAGGTGTATTGTAACTTGTACTATTTCCTCGCTCTGTCTGAGGAAATGAATGCAACTGATAAGTGGCCGGGCTTTGTACTTACGAAGGAAGGTGAAGAATTTGTACAGCAAAATGCTAGTCTCTTTAAATATGATCTCCTTTACAATCCTCTGCGCTTTGAAAGTTGGCAACGACTTGCAAAAATTTATGATGAGGTTGGGTTTCTTAACTTTATTTCTGTCACTTGCCAATTTTCACAAGCATCTCCTTTTTTTAACGTGATCTACAATTTCTTACATGCTTAGTTACTCAAGCAAATTGTTGCTTTTGATAACAGGAGGTGGACTTGTTGCTAAATGACGGCAGTAAGCATATAAATGTAGTGGGATGGAGAAAGAATGCAACTCTTCCACAGAGGGTTGACAGAAGTCGAAGGAGGAGCAGACGTTGTCTGCTAATGAGTTTAGCTTTGGCAAATACGCCATCTCAGCAGGTTTACCCTATTGCCTTGTATGCTGGCCATCTGCTCTTTTTCCTGTTTTCGTGCCAAAATAGAAGTTTCTAGTTATTCTTCCAACAATTATGGGATCTCCTCCTTCGCACTTTAGAGCAGCTTGAGTGCTTGACTTGTTATGGTCCATTAGTAGATTCAGTTGAGCTATTTACTTCTGCGATTTTTTTTTTGTTTTGTTTATTTAGTTATCGTGGGTGTATTGATCAGCTGATTTGTGCTTTACTAGTTTATTTTCTATCATCTTTGTTAACCCTGATGTTCATCTTTTTTGTTCTAGTGTGAGATACATGAGTTACTGGCATTAGTGTACTATGACAGCCTTCAGAATGTGGTGCCCTTCTATGATCAACGGTCTATCATACCTTCCAAAGATGCAGCCTGGATTGTGTTTTGCGAGAACTCCATGAAGCATTTTAAGAAAGCTTTCTCACACAAGTATCTCTACACATCTTACTTGCCTTCTCTTCTCCTTATAACTTCTGACCAGTTACAGTCTACATTGTCTGCTATCTCCTTTGCGCTTATGTATGTGAACAGTACTTCTATGCTTGTCTTGCAGGCAGGATTGGTCACATGCATTTTACATAGGAAAACTCTGTGAAAAGCTCGGATACCCATATGAAAGATCACTATCATATTATGACAAGGCTGTAGAACTGAATCCATCTGCTGCAGACCCTGTATATAGGATGCATGCCTCACGCTTGAAGTTGCTTCACAAGTGTGGAAAGCAGGACTTAGAAGCTCTGAAGGTTCAGTTTGTGTATTGTGGAATTCTTTTTTGTTTGGTGACTCAATTCCTATAACAGCTATAGTTCTTCATTTCTGTTTAATCATTTGCTTAATGTGCTTCGTTTGTTATTATTTAGACCCTTTCAGGACACTCTTTCCGTCAATCAACAAAGGATGCCGTCACAAACATTTTTAGTGAAATGGCCTCTGTCATTGATGATACCTTCTCCGAGGACAGTAGCCACAAGTCAAACTACCTAGAAGAAGTGTGGCATATACTATACCATGACTGCCTTTCTGCTTTGGAAAATTGCGTTGAAGGGGATCTGAAACATTTTCACAAGGCCAGATATATGCTTGCTCAAGGGCTGTACAAACGAGGGTTGATTGGCGATCTGGAGAGGGCAAAGGATGAACTTTCATTTTGCTTCAAATCCTCACGCTCGTCTTTCACCATTAATATGTGGGAGATTGAGGGCATGGTCAGAAAAGGAAGGTAGGGCGTTTGATCTATTCCATGTGCTTTTGAACTGTGTTTTCAGCACATTGTTGTTATGGTAATGTTTCTCGTTGGTAACAGTTTGCAACATCACAATAGTCGGTAGTTACAGAAACTTGTTGATATATGATAGTCAGTTTGCAACATACACAATAATCAGTGGGTTCCTTTTGAAGTATTTGATTTCCCTTTCTTCCGCATCTCAGGCGCAGAACACCTGGTGTTGCTGGAAACAAAAAGGTTCTTGACGTGAACCTGGCAGAAAGTTCTCGGAAATTCATTACTTGCATCAGGAAATATCTGTTGTTTTACTTGAGATTGTTGGAGGAGACTGGAGACACTTGCACCCTTGATCGTGCTTTTGCATCTCTTCGTTCAGATAAAAGGGTATAGGAGCTCACCTGAGTACTGGTTATACTAGTCTGATACTTTATAAATCGTGCTGCCAATGACATGTGTATTCTTTTACTTACTTTGCAAGGGGAAACACCATTTTGTTTGAATTGTGTGCTACTTTCCCCTCTAGTTTAGGCTGTTTCTGATTTTGATGGTAGTTACCGGCATTGTTTTGGAGCCATTAAACCAGGCGCTGAATTCAACTTATGTATGCAGTTCTCATTGTGCATTGAAGATCTTGTACCAGTAGGTCTTGGAAGATTGATCAAGGCCCTTGTATCATCCATCCATCAAGCCGAGAGTGCTGAATCTTCTACTCCTGGCACATCAGAGCCGCAACTGGAGAAGTTATTCTCATTGTTCATGGAACAAGGGAACTTATGGCCAGAGATACTTTGCTTGCCTGAGACACAGAGCCCAGAATTTACAGATAGCAGCTTATATGGGTAAAAAGTCATTTCCAGCTTTAGATGCACAATGTTAACTTACTTTGTGGACTAGTTTCTGTGTCTTTGATAGTTTGATGTCTAAATTGTTGATATTTTTGCTAATGTTTGTGCAAGTGTTTTTGATGGCTGGTTGCTATGAATTTTCTCTTTGTTGCTACTCATCTGCAAGTCTAAACTTGGTGCTTTTATTTTCTAGTTATCTCCACAGACACATCGCTTTGTTGGAGAGAAACAGCAAGCTCGAGGCACTTGAAGGGATAAATGAAAGGATTCGTAAGCGCTTCAAGAACCCAAAGTTGTTGAATAGCAATTGTGCTAAAGTCTGCCGGCATGCTTCGGTTGCCTGGTGCCGCAGTCTCATAATTGATTTGGCATTGATCACTCCTATGCCATTTGGTCATGACGATACTTTGGAAAGTGGTCAACTGCTTGTGCTTGATGTACAAGCGGACGAGTTATGGAACACATCATCAGACATCACCACTCCAGAAAATCCTGAAACAAAATGGGGCTCGGTCTTGACTAAAATGAAGAATATAGCAGTTAAGAAAGCTGCAAATGGAGATTTTGAGACTGCTAGCTCTTTAATGAAGAGCTGCTACAATTTCTATCGAGAAAGCTCCTGTGGATTGCTTCCTTCTGGGATCAACCTTTACTTGGTGCCGCCAAAGTTAGCAGTGGATACACGAGGTGTTGAGCCAGGACAGGATGGGGTTGAAGTTCTTGATCTGAGCATTCCTAGGAAGCTTCTTCTGTGGGCTTATGTGCTTCTGCACGGTCGTTATGCCAACATTGCAGCTGTTGTTAAACATTGCGAGGAAAATATCAAGGTATGCGATGGAACAAATTTTGCATTGCAACATTCACTAAACATTAGTATGCTTCATCTTCTCGGTGATGATTTGGGCAATTTCTTTTGCCCCCCTTTGTCTTTTCTTCTCTCTTTCTCTCTGGTGCAGCCAAAAATGAAAAAGGGTGCTGGAACGTCATCAACCCCATCATCCCATTCGGGCCTTTCTCCTGCCAAAAATGTCCATGCAACAGGTAAGAACTTAGCATGAATGCAGGTGTTTATTTTTAGGGTCAAAGGCATTTTTAGTCCCTGTTCTGAAAAAACCATGTACTACAGATTTTGACAAATAAGTCCCTATATGATGTTTTCTATCGGTGTTTTAGTAGTCACTCATTTGAAAGTTTGTCCAAATCCATTACTAATTGCTAGGTCCATGCTATTATAACCACATCTGTGATGATTCTCATACCTTGTATTCTGGAAATCCTCCTTTCACAATTCACCCTCAATGCTACCCTTATTATCTAATGTTGGTTCCTTCAAGTCTCGAATGATGGATGCATCATAAAATGAGAAAAGACACAGGATTCAAAAATCGAATGGAGGGGCATACCATGAATTTATCGACATACATGACGTCTGAGCCATTCAGAATGTACTTACTAAGCATGGATTGATCCTAACTATTTCTACTTTGGTTGCAATTTGTAATCAAGGGACGTGAAATTATGTGATCTAGAAATACTAACCCTACCTGATTCCCAATCATTCCAAACCAAATTGATATGAACGAGTGACCACGGCGGTGTTAATGACTTTGAAAACTGTTGGTGTGCAGGGGGCGTTGTTGCAGGTGTGGAGGGAGTTAATAGCGATGCAGAAGCTGGTCGTGGATTCGGGGGATCTCCTGCAGTTCCAGCCACTGGAAGCGAGAAGAGACTGAATGCCGATTCAATTACACCGGTTTCAAGTTCCCGGCAAAGCCAGTGTTGGAAGAGTTCAACGATGGATGAAGGAGGAGATCCTGAAAAAAAGTAATGTTACGTAGCAACAGCTGAGGCATACGATACGAGGCCGAGTAATGTGTATAGAGAAGGCAGAGTTGAAGAGATTGGACTGTTAAATAGTATACAAAAGTTGCTAAGCTGTAATGTTAAGTGCCTTTGTGAAGGAAAAGTCCAGTAATTTAGAATGATAATGCACAAAACAGAGAAGGTCTAATGTGTATATTGCCTGTTCATGATTCTGCTACTGTTCATTTGTGTACCACAGTGATCCGAGTGGCCGTAGACGATTTTCGCAGTCCGATCGTACGATACAATGGTTGAAAATTGTTCTTGGTACTTCCACGATTTTGTTATCGTATTATACATTGAATCGATAGTCCCACCTGTCTAGGAAGCCTACTACAATATTACAGAATTTTGATATGAGAATTTTGGTAGTTTCATAGTTTATCAGTTCAATAAGCCATATCGGTCGGACCGGTTGAATTGCGGCAACATAAACAAACCAGGAAGAGAGCAAATTCCTGGTCTGGTTTGGTTTGCCTAAAACGGTGCCGTTTGCTCGCTGGGAAGTATTTTTCCGAAAAGGCGGCTTCGACACTTGACTTGATTTCGTCTTCAACCTGGAAAACCGCTTGTTTGGGATTTCATCCTATCCTTTCGTCGGCGACTCAGCCAGAGGCATCGCCGGTCGCCGCCCCGCAGAGATGGGACGAGCAATATTGTCTCCCTTTCTCACCCTTTCCGGCTCTTCTCCCCGCTTAGCTTCTTCCATGTAAGTCTGCCTCCTTCCCCGCAATGCTCATCACATTCTCTTTGGCCACTACTGAAAAACCGCTCTCTCTCTCTTGTCTCTCACTGCAGCCGAGGGTTTCTTTCCAGTTCCAGACGCCTCGCTGGCTCTCGCCGCTGCTGCTGCGCCCTCTCGCTCTCTCAATCTCCTTCTGATTCATCTTCTTCTTCCGCTGCTGTAAGGTAGAACACACTAGAATTTCCTTCTTTTCGTTTACAGAACCTGAACTGTTTAGGGGTTTTTTGGAATTGAGCTGCCGACAATGTCTTCTGGTTTGTAGGAAGAGGGTGGTTTCTGGAGTACAGCCAACGGGGTCTATCCACCTTGGCAATTACTTGGGCGCCATTAAAAATTGGATTGCTCTTCAGGTTTCAATTCCCTCTTCGACGCTGTTGCTGTTTCATAGAATGTTGCATCGTCGTTTTGTTACATTTAGTGCTGCTCACAACCGTTGCTATTAAAATGCAGGAAACATATGAGACTTTGTTCTTCATAGTGGATCTACACGCAGTATGTTCAACACTCTTCACTCCACTTTCAATATTATCAATGCTTGATATGCATTCTTCTGTAAATTATCAATCTTTGGCATGGTTGGTTTCTTTCTGTAAGTTGGCTAGTTATCCAAGGTGGTAGGTGTTTTTAAGTTCATAGACTATTGCCGTGCAGTAGTGGATTCCATGTAGTCTTGCTGTTGTGAGAACTTTGCCTTTAGGAAGCGCTGCTCCATGAAATTTTATGGTTCTCTAGTTTGAACAATAGTTACTCGTTTTCCCAGTGTTTTGCGAACATCTCTCGTACATGTATCATGAATCCATGATAGTCAAGTCACCTAAACTTCTTTACACTTTCTAGAATTAAGGCAATTGTTTTCATTCAATACTTGTCACACATGGCTTATCTCACCAACAACTGCTTTATTCTTAAGCATGAATGGTTTATACTTTTCTGCTCAGATTACGTTGCCATATGAGACCCAGCAGTTATCAAAGGCCACTAGGGATACAGCTGCACTTTATTTGGCATGCGGCATTGACACATCAAAGGTTCTGCAGCTTTCTCATAATGTTGTCTACTAGCATTGATTCACAAGTTAGGCTGGAGGGCATCTAAATACTATTTTGTGCTCTAATATGTGTACGTCCAGGCTTCTGTATTTGTTCAGTCTCATGTACGTGCACATGTAGAATTGATGTGGCTTTTAAGTGCCGCCACACCAATTGGTTGGCTGAACAGGATGATTCAGTTTAAAGAGAAGTCCCGTAAAGCGGTGAGTATACTGCTGTTTAATGTTCATATTCAATTAGCCATTCTGCTTTTCTTTGTCAACGATTAAATAGTTTTGATCGCCTCGTTTCTTTTCGAGTTTGAGGTACCCGAGAATACTTATCAACCGGTGTTTCTTGCTTAATTATGTCTTCTGGATTACCTGCACAATTTTCTTATTTATACATTTGAATTTAAGCCAAGCTTTTGGTTTCATTTATCCAGGGCGATGAAAATGTCGGTGTTGCACTTTTGACTTATCCTGTGCTCATGGCATCCGACATTCTCTTATATCAGGTGGTATCCAGAATTGTTTTTCACTTCTCACAAAAAATATCTTCTGTAATATAAACTGTCTCTTGAAGATTTATGCCTCGAATATAAGGGCATTCAAGAGTCGATTTTTCATATCATATTCTCTAGCTTGCATTTCTGCCCAATTTATATCATTTTGATGGTGTGAATGGTATTAAACCTGAGTATGCACAGTTCTTATAGATTGCAGCGTGCCTCTGTAGTCTGACTTCGTTCCAGTTGGGGAGGACCAAAAGCAACATCTGGAGTTGACTAGAGAGCTGGCAGAGCGTGTGAATCATCTATACGGGGGAAGGAAGTGGAAGAAATTAGGAGGGTAAGCAGCTGTATTAATGGCTTATTTTGCAAGTATTAATTGTCATTATACAGATTCTTTCTATCGTGATACTAAATCATTTATGTTTTAATCTCAGGCGAGGAGGTGCTATCTTTAAGGTTGGTTCTCCTATATTTGGATGATGCTCTTCATATTATGTCATAGTCTATAAGAAGTATCTTCAGTTTACTCTGATGTAATGTAGGTTCCTGAACCGCTTATACCACCAACTGGGGCCCGAGTAATGTCTCTCACTGATGGACTTTCCAAGGTGTGATAAACTTTTGTTTTGGTAGATGTGATTTTATGTTTGCTGAGACTAGCATATAGATATGACAAATGAGGGCAATATGCTTACATGTGACACTTGTCCATCTTAGTAGTATTTTCAGATTTGGCAGGTGATTGGCAGCAAGCTTAGTTTCGAACTGGATATTTAATATATGACTAAAATGAGAGCTTTCCGGTCTACTTGTACCTTTTGGTGAATACCCTGACACTTTACTGTTGTAAAATGTTTAGATGTCCAAGTCTGCTCCTTCGGATCAATCGCGAATTAATCTTCTTGACCCTAAAGATGTGAGTATATATATGTACACATTAAGTGTTCAAATTTGTTTGTGTTGATTTCCATTTTCACCTTTAGGGTAGTCTGAGTTACATTTTGTTTAATAATATTGCATTTTATTTTGTGTAGGTCATAGTCAACAAGATCAAACGTTGTAAAACTGATTCCTTGCCAAGGTTAAAATCTCCAACTCTTCTTCGTTCAATTTTTTTTAACTCTTTCTCCCTTTCAAGTCCTCTCTGAGCAATCTAAATCCTCTGTTACTTTTTGTTCCTTCCGGTAAATTGTCCAGGATCGAATTCGATAACCCTGAAAGACCTGAATGCAATAACCTGCTTTCAGTATATCAGCTAGTTTCAGGCAAAACAAAAGAGGTACTTGAAATCATGTCTCACGGAAGTTTTAAGTGGTTTATCTTGTGTTGACGATGAAGCGTCTATTCCTTTTGGTTTGGTTCTGATACCGTGTGTTTTCCTTGGTTGGCACCTTTCTCTTCACAGGAAGTTTCACAGGAATGTCAAAGCATGAACTGGGGCACTTTCAAGACTGTTCTAGCTGATGCCTTGATCGATCATCTAAGTCCCATTCAGGTCTTTTACTCGGACCCTTTCATGAATCTTTTTAATCTTTGAACCATGAAAGTTAACATGACGGGTTCTTGCCTTTTACCAGGCTCGCTACGAGGAAATAGTTGCAGATCCGAGTTATCTGGATAGAGTATTGGAAGATGGTGCGACGAAGGCTTCAGTTGTAGCAGATGCCACCCTTAACAACGTTTATCAAGCAATGGGATTCTTGAGAAGATGACCACAATTTGACGATTGCTGATCGATTCATCCGCAGAGATCTCGGAGACTCCAAAATTTTCACTCATACAAGAACATTTATCATTCATTTCCCTAACAATCATCGGATCATGACCTTGAACATCACTTGAGCCAAGTGATGTTATGATTGTTCAATGATTTATTTATCATTATCACTACATGCTAGTCAGTAAAATAACTCTGTTTCGGTTTTACCATTTGCTCCAATCCGACGTTAAGCTATTTGTTTTGGTTGTATTACCGCATTATTGTGTTTAGGGTCGGCCCACTTTTAGTTTCTTGGACAGGGCCCAACTTGGGTATACCGGGCCAGGCGTACACCATTAGGCCCAAGTACTGGGGTTTAGTTTGTCGGTCTCAATTGTTTTACTCTTTCAGCTTCGTAGTTTCCCCTTCTGCTTCTTTCTCCCTCTGTATCAACGAACCAAAAGGCAAATAGTCTCCATCGCTGCTAGTTGGAGGAGTCGATCTTCGGCCGGCGGCGACTTCTCGTAATCCTCGACGAATCCCAATGCAGCTCCTCCGGCGGATCGCCTTCTTTCTCCTCTCCTTCGCTTGCCTTCACCTCGCCGACGCAAAGACGCCTGCTGTGGCCTTCATTTCGTACTACTCCAAGTTCTGCCACCAAACCGTCCCGGAGTCTCCGGAAACCTCGAAGCCGGTGAATTCGGCTACCGGCGAGGACAGGACTCTCTACTTCGACATTGCTTACTTCACTGGCGGCAGCCAAATCTTCCCAGGTAAATCCTCGCTAGACTCCGATGGAATCACGCTCTCTTTCCACCCCAAACGCCGCACTATGTTCGTCACTGAGAATCCCGACGTAATCAAGCTCCAAGCGACTCTCAAGTTCCACCTCCCTCCGCGGGGTTACTCGATGTGGCAGGGGAACAGGAATTTGAGAGAGATCCACTTCCGAGGGCCGAGAATTCCTGTGAGGACCAAGTCCGTAGGGTTCGAGTTCTTTGGCTTTTGGTCGAGGAAGAATGGGGAGCTGTGTATGGTGGGATCTGGATCCAGTCTTGGAAGCTCTCACGCTGCTGCCAGTTTTGCTCCTTCTTCGAGTGTTGTTCTGAGGCTCAAGTATCCGGTTAGTGATCCAGGGAACGTTAGTAGTTTGATTCTTGGCTCTTTGGAGAGTGTTAGCCCTGGAGGGAGTTTGGATTACTTCGAACCAGTTTCCATATTGGCTGTTCCTCACTTTAGTGAATATAAGTACTCGTTGATGAGTGGGGGAAAGGGAAATTGTTTGAGGAGAAGTGATGGTGGAATGGAAGCGAATCTTCCTCTTGAGTTGAAGGATCAAAGTGTATGCTTATCTCAGTTGTACCAGCATGCTAGGAGTTTCGAACTGGAGTATGGCAGCGAATGTAGCGATATCTCGAACAGCAGCAAATGCAATCCTCTTACTGCTGATTCTCAGGGTTTGCCTGGTTTCATGACTATTCAAGGTATTAGATGTGAACCCAACCGTGGTATCAGAGTCTTAGTTGGGTTTCATAAATCTATTGAATATTGGTCTCGAGCTTTTGGTTATGGCAGAGTTTTCAACCCGAATAGTATGCTACTCGGTGAGGGAGCGTGGGATGAAAAGGAGAATAAGCTCTGTGTGATAGCATGTCGAGTCTTGGGTTTTAACCGTTCCTTGCATAATGCTTCTGTTGGTGATTGCTCGATTCAACTGAACTTGAGATTTCCCAAGAAGATGACCATTCAACATAGGAGTAATGTAGTTGGTCAAATTTCAAGCAGCAAGAGTGTCAGTGACGCAGGCTACTTTCCCCCGATTGGTTTTCATGGCACTAAGAATAAAGTAAGGGGTCTGCCTGGGCTGAAATATGATTACACTATGCTTGACTTGGTAGGTAAATCTTGTGTTGAAAAGAAAATCAAAAAAGGAAAAGGGACGTACCCAAGTCCTTATTCCTACGACATGAGATTTGATATGTCGGTGACCAACAGCAAGGGACAGAAAGCCGAAGGTGATGCATCACCTTTTTTTGTGGGTGAGCAGTTTTATGAGCCATACCGAATGCACAGTGGAACTAACAGTCGCCTAAATCTCAGCTACAGGATCACTTTTACACCATCTTCTGATTTTGAGCTCGGAGATCAGGTTTTGTCGAATAGGTCTGTTGATTTCTCAGCTGAAGGAACTTATAACAAAGAAAATGGTATGCTGTGCATGATCGGTTGCCGCCATTTGGTATCTCATATTAAACACCCTACTAGAAACGAGACAACTGATTGTAAGATCCTTATAACAATGCAATTCGCTTCTCTGAATTCAAAAGCTAGAGCTGATATTAAGGGAAGCATTGAAAGTACGCGGGGCAAAGAAGATCCTCTTTACTTTGCCAAACTTCAGATATCTTCGCATTCAATCTACATTAAACAAGCTGCAGACTCCATCTGGAGAATGGATATAGAGATTCTGCTGGTCTTAGTTACTAATACTCTTTCTTGTATCTTTGTGGGGCTGCAACTTTATCATGTAAGTAAGCACCCTGACGCCCTGCCCTTCTTATCTTTTGTTATGCTTCTTGTTCTGACATTGGGCCACATGATACCATTGCTGTTAAATTTTGAGGCGATGTTCGGAGCAGCCTCGAGCAGACAGAATGTGTTTCTCGGAAGTGGTGGGTGGCTGGAGGTGAATGAAATAGTTGTCAGGATGGTTACAATGGTAGCATTCCTTCTCCAGTTCCGCCTTCTCCAACTTACTTGGTCTTCTAGGCAGACTGCTGAAAGTCGCAAAAACTTGTGGCTTTGTGAGAGAAGGGTTGTTTATCTGTCTTTACCACTTTACGTAGCGGGTGGGTTGATTGCATGGTATGCACACCATTGGAAGAATTCCTACAACAGGCCATATCTTCAAACCCGCCACAGGTTTTATCAGCCGCAGCATTATCCTTGGGACGATTTCAAGTCTTATGCTGGTCTCATTCTTGATGGATTTTTGCTCCCACAGATAGTATTCAACTTGTTTCTGAACTCGAGCGAACATGCTCTGTCCTTGTCTTTTTACATGGGAACGACTATCGTCCGCTTGTTGCCACATGCATATGACCTATACAGGGCTCATAGTTCCTCCTGGTACCTCGACTTGTCGTACATCTATGCAAACCACAGGCAGGATTTTTACTCCACATCTTGGAACATTATAATCCCCATCGGCGGCTTGCTGTTTGCTGCAATTATTTACTCGCAGCAGAGGTTTGGTGGCCGTTGCATTCTTCCAAAGAGATTTAGGGCAAGTTCTGGATATGAAAAGGTACCTACAATCAACAGTGAGGAAATGACTACATATAGTCAACAATGAATTTTACTCGGAGGATTAGCAAAGATTTTTTTGTAGCTTGTGCACAGACAAAAATTTTGATTCTCAAGGGCACACTTCTCTTGAAAAAGGTACCAAATAAACCCTTTCTCTTAAACATCTTCCCAGGTACTATGTTTTCTATTTTCCATGCTTGCTTTGAGGAAATGATTTCTGATCCAATTTATCTGAACATGGATTACAGCGGGATGAATGCTTCATATACAGCAGGTAACACTCTCAGGTATCAAGGCTATAACGATTCTTTTCCAACAACGAAAACAGAAAGAGTGACAGAATTTGACAACTCCATTCTGGAGATGACTAGCTGAATAGTTCTTGATGATGGATTGTTAGTTAGTAGATACAAGTGTCTTCTTTACCCCTACATTTACAGTATCAATCATATAGACGACTAGCTGGGTTGGTGCTCGATGAATCGATTGTTAGTTCGTAGATACTCGCACGCTCCTTTTTCCTACATTTACAGTATCAATCCTATTTGTAAGTAGATCATCTGTGGCAAAGTGATATTGCTATCATTGCTTATCAATCATCTCATTCTATTCAGCCGTTCACAAGTCTACTCCCACAGCTATTCCATTACTTGCTCTTCTCTTTCCATGAACCATACATGTCGCCGAACTTGTTGCCTGATCGCAGATGTTTACAGCGAAGTGGAAGCGCGGTAACTGTGCCTGTGATAGGAAGTGTACAGTGTGGAAGTTTGAATCTTCGTGATGGGCTTGTATGGCTTTAGCTAGTAGGGAACTGCAATATGATTACTTGTTTAGCAAGATAATGTCAATATATTCAGCAAAGTCCGTGATCATCGGACCACATGTTGAGCACTTTACGATCGTTGAATAGACGAAGTGGCATTTTATTTAGAAAACTATAATCACATTCATCCGATGGCGGTAAAGTTCACGACCCGCAATCCGAAGATCGTGTACTTGTACTGCACTCAACTAAACTACTATGACAAAATAAACAAGGAACCGTAAAAGCGAGAAGAGTTAAACCCTCACACAACAAAAAAGCTTCTTCATCTCCCACTAGTTTGAGACATATTGCACTCAACTTAACTCGCAACTCGATCATGGTTTACGAAACCGTACCGGAGCAGCTGGCTGGATTGAGAAAAATCGAAAAATAGAGCCGGATGCAGAATGGCTTGAAGTTGAACTTTGATCATAGCCTCCAATTTTCCATGTCGGTCGGTATTTGTGGTCGAACCAACGACCCGCCATAACCGACCGATTTTGGTCTGCCCGGATGGTCTGTTATATTAAAAAAAAAAAAAAAAAACTGGTCACCCCTTTCCTCGCTGTAGAGCAGAGCTGCTGCAAATCCAAATTCGTATTCCGCCGCGCTCCCTGCTGCTCGCCACCAGAACTTGGTGATCTTCCAATCCCAATTCAATGTCGCCGAGATGGAAAGGCAAAACCGCGGAGGCCAAAGCTCTGGCAGATCCCATGTCGAAAATTGTCTCCGACCTCCAGTCTTCCCTCCTTCAATCCGACGCTCACGCTTCACTCTCGGGAAGCAGCGTGCTCCTGCCCGTAGAACCACAGCACGGCGAGCTTCTCACCCGCGCCTGCTTCGGTCGGCCCATCATCACCGCCGATAAGGAGAATCAATGGTTTCAGCTGAGTCTCGAGGAAGCATTCTATCTCTCCCACCATCTCCAATGCCTCAAAATCACCCACCACCAAGGTACGAATTTCACCACTGCAGAGCTATGGCGGTACATGAAATCCAAGGTTTCGAATTTCCCACAGTATTACAAAGCTTACTCGCATCTTCGAACTAAGAACTGGGTGGTGAGGCCTGGGTCGCAGTACGGTGTCGATTTCGTGGCTTATCGTCACCACCCGTCTCTAGTGCATTCAGAGTATGCAGTGCTTGTTTTATCAGAAGGGGAAAGTGGTGGTGATGATGGCCTGGAGGGGAGATTGATGGTATGGTCTGATCTCTACTGCACAATTAGACTGTGTGGAAGTGTGGCGAAGACATTGTTGGTACTTACTGTCAACAAAAATGGTCATGGTGTTGTCTCTCCGACGGCTTTAGATGGATACTCTGTCGAAGAACGGTCGATCAGAAGATGGAGTGCTGAACAGAACCGTGAGGATCAAATGGCTGCTGCTGCTGCTGCTGCTGCAAATGGATCCAAATGATAATGTTTAGGTGATCGTTTGGGATCCTTTGTTTCGGTATGATGTGTAGCAGTTTCTTCTCATCGTAGTTTAGGCGCCTTTTTTGTTTTGTGGGTGCAGCAGTTTTCCATTTGTAACAGGAACTCAATGGCCTCCTCAACGGCTTACCCAGTTTCTTATATATTGAATGTTCTCTGTCATTCTGCAAGTGCATTTTGGCAGTATATTGATCTCGTCTCCGTCCTCTTGTCGCAGTTGCATCTGCACTCTGTTTAGCTACTTCGCTCCAGGGAAGCTCGTAGTTGCTGCTAAAAGCTTACACGACGAGATTGAATGAGAAGATCGACGTGTACAGTTTTGGAGTGGTGCTACTGGAACTCGTGACTGTAAAGCAAGCAAACTTGGCAACAAATTGGGGAAGGCAAACCAGTTGGAAGTTTGCCTTGATGGAAGAGAGCAATGTATAGGAAATGATGATAGTGTTCAAGTTGGGGTTGTTATGCACGAGCACAATGCCATCAACAATACCCTCGATGAAGTAAGTCGTGCAGGTTTTGATTAGACTGTCCTATAACAAGCATGGACGCGATTGCGACCTCGCCCCTCTGCTAGGGACTGAGGTTGCTTATCTTGCTACTTACAGAGGCAAAGTGACACCTTAACTAGCTAGGCATATGAACGTCTGCTCCGATTTCTCTACTTGTGTTAGTACTTCAGATTCAGAATAACATCCCATGTAAATAGAGAACCAGGTTTTGCACAAACGAGAAAAACAGAAAGCTTGCATACATGATCTGGTTGTGATGATAAACCCTCCCCATTACACACAGAAACATCATATACATCATTGAGTTTGGCCCGGAATTTTCAACAACTCGTTCTTCAAAGGCACAAGTCAGAATTTCTTCAAGGTGGGTAAGCTAGCTGGTGTATGCAGCAACCAGTGGTTCCCATGCAAATTCAACTCACTGATACCATCTTAATGTACACTTGAACCGACTCAACAGAATTTGATTGGGAAGGTTTGGATCCCACTCACTTGAAACATACAACTGAAAGGAAACCGATAGAGTAAAATTCAAGCAGACCAACAAAACAAAATTGTCTTGTCATCATCCAAGATGGGAATCTCGCAAGCATGGTGGACTTTTCGTGGGCGCCAGACCTCCAAACAGCCGAACTCGCACTTTGATTTAGATGCAGCATCCAAACGACCGTGCCATGCAGCTTGCCTTCAAGATTCTTCAGCTCCACTGTGTTTACCCCCACTAAGCGCGAATGCACTCACACCTGGAGAAAACAAGAGGCAAGAGGCCACCAAATCAATGCTGCACTTACCATGATCTTCAAGCTGCTCATCCCCTTGTACCTCATGCTGTTGATTTGAGACTCGACCTGACAACAAAAAGCCACAGAGAGCAACCGAAACAGCAAAAAACACGAAGATATCACGACTTGGCAAAAGAAAACTTAGGGTTTCAAATGCATGCCTCATCACCAGCCTCTGCAAAGATTCTGACCTCGATGTTCCATCTTGTGATTGCCTAGCTGTCCCAACCGCTATGTTGCACTAGAAAAAATACACAAGGCAGATTAAGAATCGAAAGTTAGCCTCGTCATTTGGGGCATTGGAGCAAAACTATTACAGAGGGTTAGTGTATCTGAGCTGTAAATATGTAAAGGCTGTTCTTTGTTAATTAACAGTTACTCGAAACATGGCAGGTATGGTGGTGGTGCAGGACCTGCCACCATAAGCACCAGTTAGGAAATTCACCACATAAAACAAATAGGGCAAAGGGAGAGAAAATTCTAAGTAGACAGTTCAACATTCAACTTTGTTTGATAAAGTTTCATGCAATAATTAATTAGGGGCGACTATAAACATTAGCACTTTTAAGAAATTTCTGGACCTCAAAAGTAGATTACTTGGAATGATTTTTCACTGGCATGCTGGGAAACGCTCCGACTCAATCGAACAATGGAAAAGACCATAGGCAATAAGGCAATCAATCAGGTAAAAGCAAGTGCAGAACGAAAAATAATACTGAACAAACGAATTGCTGGATGGCAATTAAGATTTAAGACCTCAAGTTCTTCAGGCAAGTCATTTGCAAACTGTTCTTTCCCATTCGGACATCTATTCTCCAGATCTGAGCCCAAATCAGTAGCTTCTTCACCCTGCAAAGATCTCCTCGTTCTCACTATCTTCTGTACTTCAGATTGCCCCTTCCATATCTTTCACATCCTTAAAACCGAAAAACCTCAAACAGAATTAACTCACCTCAAAATTGAGGTTCCGAGTGCTGGAACTAGAGCACACTACATCTTTTCCTCCAAGCTCTACAACAGTCTTTTGATTAGATGGTAGCATTAGCGCCGGTTCAACCTGAACATCTTCCCCAGTCAAACCTATGAGTCCCTCAGAGGACCCCTTTAGTGAGCCCTCTTCCAAACCCGTTTCAACTTCACTAACTTGGCATTCGCTTGGGTCAGGAGCATGCTGCCGTTCAGCCTCCAACTCCATTGGTTCAGTCTCATTCATAACTAAGCACGAATTGTATTGGTGTACTGTAACTTGTCTGCTTAAGTCACACCCCATATCTTCAGTTTCAATCCCATTAGCATCACGAACAACCAAGTTTCTATTTTCACCCTTGACCTGTCCACTACATGATGTAAATGGAGCATTATTATCAACATCAGCAAGAGCCGATGAACAGCCCAATTTAACCCCCTCATGTAAGCTCTCTAGAGATGGTCCAACAGACCTAGTTCTACAGATTTCTGGAGAAACTGACACTAGTCTCTGTGGGCTTACAGAGGCACACTTGACTCTTTTCTCAGCTGCCATTTCACCATCATGTTTTCGTTTCAGATGTTCTTCAATAGATCCTGATGGAGACTTTCTAACATCATCATTAACTTTTCCAGCCTGCTGCCTTGATGATCGAGAACGTCTGTGTCCCTCAGGGAAAACAAAACTAGGAAGCTGCCTTCTTCGAACATGAGCAACATAAATATCCATTCCCGGCTTCCAAAACATGTACATATTTATTTCTTGCCTAAATTCATCAACTGTTCCCCTTATATCAAACTGCTGGCCTTCCTGACCATTTATTCCCTCTTTCCTCTGCAACCCCATAAAGAAAGCACAATGAGGCCACTGCCTTGACATGTCGGTATATTCATGCGGATAAGGATGGCACTGCAGCATCCCATTTGTATCTCGCTCGATCTGCAAAATGATCGATAGAAAAAGTTGATAATTATTTAAAGAACCGTGAGGGTGATCTGAAATGAGTAGGTTTGAAAAAGAATCCCATTACTTTCAAAGTAAGTTGTCTCAGCCGTGACTCAACCCAACCTTTCCAAGCCAATAGATCATCAGTATCTGCTGCAATTATATCAACTTGGAGGTAGTTTTTGTATGAATCAAAAAATAGATAAGGCTCAAATAGTGCACTCCAATGGGCCTTGCTCAGCTCAATCTCCTACAGGCGAGAGAGAGAGAGAGAGAGAGAGAGAGAGAGAGAGAAAACAATAAAGGGCATCAATAACAGAATGTTAGGCAGGGCAATGAAAGAGATTACACTTAACCGCTCACCTCACAAGTCTTGTTACCAAATTGAAATTGCTCGATCATAACACGGAGAGTACTTATCGAGACGTTATAGCTAGAATTCATGCAAGGATAAGCTGGGGTTATTATAGGCATATGATGAAGTCTGTCTCTGGGGTTTTTACGGGGATCCCACACTGGAAATCCGAGCTCATCTTCTTCTATTGGGCACAACATCACAGGGTTCGGCCAACGCCACAGAGTGTACACTCGAAAAAATCGAGAAACCAACATGCTAGGGATTGCGTTGGGATAAAGCTGGCACACCCGAGCAACAAGAAGAGCCCAATTCACGCCGCCAAGAAAACCAGTGACCTAGATACAATTGACATGTAAATGGAAGTCACACAAGTATCATGGAAAAGAACCAGATGGGAAAAGAGAATGTTCATCTTACATTAGAATAAACACCTCGCCTTTTAGCCCAAAATTTCAAACATCTAAGTGCTGTTCGGAAATGCTAGAGTTTCATAACAAGGAAACAATGGTCAGACTCAAATCCATAAAAATGATGTGCAAACTGGAAAACAAAATATTTATTCACCTCAACATTTGGAACATGCTTGAGAATTTGATCCGCTACCCTGCATCCATTAAGGCTTCGAACAGTTTGTTCATCCACCTGATGCAGCACGGACTCATTAGAGATGTCGAGTTCCTGTCAAAAAGTAGTGTCCTAATTTAGTTTGACAAGAGGAAGAAAACATTGACCATAAACAGCAACTCAAAAGCAATTGCTTAAACTGAAAAGTGAAAGCTTGATCTTTATCATGAGAACAAACTCCAGAATCCAATCCAACATGAACTAGAAACAACCAGCTCAAGATTAAAAAATGTTATTATGAAGGAGAGAGGAGAGAGAGGAGAAGAAAGAAATAGTAGAAAGTGCAATAAAAAGTCAGGTAAGAAGATAAGATATGAGATAACTAAACATCTCCATACCAACCAAGCAGCTGAAACTAGAATAAGCATATCAACAAAGAACAAACAAAACCAACTGGCCTCACCAGCTCAAGCATCAGCATCTAATTGCCAAACATCCACTACAGAAGCTGACACGCGGGTTCAATAAATAACGCAATTCATAGAGAAATGAGCTCACTAATCAAGTATAGTTCATTTTTAAGAGATGAAGAGACTTACCTCCGGAACAACCAAAAGAGAAATACTTGCATAAAGTAGATCGATAGATATCCCCAGGAATTTAAATTTCATTACAGGGACATGAGCATCTGGAACTGGTTGAAGCTCTGTAACTTCCTCCATATCAGCTAGCAAATCATGCAAAATAATGAAGAAATCTTCCTGCAAAAGATATGGGTACCATTCAGAAAAACTTAAGAAATATCATGTAAGCAGGTCTTCAAGAAGATAGCCAGTTTCAGAAGTCACCTCACGATTGACATAAGATGGCCCCACACACAATGTATCCACATCTGCCCCAGGACCATGCACCTGCTCAATAAGACAATAAGCAATTCTCATGATTTGAACTCAGAATTCAGGGGAAAAGGTTCTAAATTCTCTAGCAGAATACTGAATATACGTTAAGGGAAAACATAGAGCAGAAAGGAGAATACCGCCCTCAAAGGCCATCCATGAGTGAAGCTTACAAAGTAAAATAATGTGTGTTTGTGCAAATAAACCTGTCAGGCTGTACTTGCCAATCAGACAGGATGAAGGCTTACTCACTTGACTACTTCCTTAAATGGTTACTATTGCTTGACTTGCAGCCAAGTGATTAAAGCAAGAAAGTAACAGCAATGTCCAAAACCTGAGCCATTTTCATATCCATATGATCAAGGAATCATGCAGGAACAAAAACAGTTTCTTTCCTATCCCTACAGCTACTGCAAACCTACATTCAGAGAATCTCTGGTAGAGGAGAGTCAAGAAAAATGCGGTGGCGGCAGGATTCCCCCCTAATATATTTCTTGGCACGAGATGCTGTTACACCATACACAGTAGGCGAAAGACTAAGCGCCAGTGTATAATTTCATCCCAAACGCTCTACACTTCTACAGGAAGGAAGCACACTACAGGACTAGAAAAGTGAGAAAACAAAAACATAATAGCGTTCTCCTGATTGCTTTTAGGTAGACTACATTCTCACACGCAAGAGGAAACAAACAGGCAACAAAATATCCACAAGTGTCGCCAATAGCCCACTAAACCAACTTGCATGCATTTCAATTTCCTCAGTAGACAGAGAAAAGGAAACATAACCTAGACTTAGACTTACTCCAAGACGGTAAGACCCAAAAGTGAAAAGAACTGCATTTGCTTCTTCCACCATCTGATCGGTGTAGCCCCTCAGGCGCGTCAACTGCTTGACCCAAGCTTTGACAATCTGCAAGTCGAGGTACAGAGCTCTCATGAAGAGTTAGCTAATTCCAGTAACAACTGCCGACCGATAAAGTTATACAATAAGCTCATAAGGGTACCTGATCAATCCTGCCAAGGACCTCCTGCCTCTTCTCAGCTTCTTCTTCGGTCTCATACAACCCAGAATCAACCAAAAACTGTCGAGCACCACACCAAGTGAACACAAAGCACGAAACTTTCTTAACAGTAGGCTAAAAACCTGAAGAAGGGCGGTTTCATCTACAATTCAGTGGGCAACCAGTATTGAAAATATGGGCTACCTTCTCCAAATCAGCATTCCGCTGAAGATCAGCCTCTGAAGGGCCAGCAAGAAAGACTTTATTAGCAGCGCCACCCTTTCTCTTATTTCCCGATTGAGCGGATGCCGCCACGCTCGGAGTCTGCGAACCCACCACCATTTTTTTTTTTTAAATTCACCGGCGCTGGTCGAACGAGGAAGCAAGGGGACCCGAATTTTCAAAAGCAGCTTAAAAGAGGAAGAGCCGCTTAAATCTAGGAAGCCCCCGACGGAGATGAGAATTAGGGCATCAGAAGAAAGAGGGAGGTAAAACAAACAGATCGCAACCCTAGATCGTGACCAGCTCTGTAACAGAGCCGGGTGGATCCAGAAAAGCAATACCGGCGGCGGTATCGAAGGGACAGTGAGAGAGAGAGAGAGCGAGCGAAGCACGAGAGGAAGAGAAGGGAATTGAATGGAGCGAGCGTAGAGGAAAGGTCGAGAAGCGGGGGGGAAGGAGAAAAGAGTCAAAAGGAGAGAGATTTAGAGAGAGAGAACGAAGAAGAAGAGAAGAGAAGAAGGCAGAAGAAAAGGAAACGATTTTTTTTCCCCCTTCCGAAACGCCGTTACTGGGAAATTACAGTTCCACTCCTCATAATTTTACTATTTTTTCAAAACCCATTTAATTGATCTAAAATCAAACCAACGGTGTGACCGGTCCAACCGTACCCACAACATCTATAACCGAACCAAAACCATCTCCGGGAACCAGGTAGAGAGAGAGCTTCATAAGCGTCACTTTCCGTTCTCCTCCAAATCTACGGCGGAGCTACCAAACAGCAACGGCCGGCCAACAACCATTAGTGGCCACCTGCAATTAAACCATATGTTCCCTCGAGTCTCTCCTCTCCTTCGGTTCTCTCTCCCTTTACCTTCTTCAATGGCGCGTAACATTTCTTCTCGCGCCGCCACCGGCGCTTTTCCCATTGTTGCCCTCGCCGCCGCCGCCTCGCCTTCCAACGTTCAGTTCTTCACTCCGTCCAACTCCTTCGCTTCCCCCTCGTTACGCTTCACGACCAGATGCTTCCACGCCGGATTCGTCAAGCCGATTGAAACCGGGGTTTGGGCGGCCGGCGGGCAGAGAGGGTATCGGAAAGTGAGGAGACGCGCCACCGCCAAGAGCAAGCAGAAGGAGCTGGAGCTCAGCGTTAGCATTTGCATCGAGGATGACCTCCCCGATAATGATTCTGAAATCCTGGTAACCATTTCGCTCACTCTCCCTTATTAGTTGTTTGTTATGAACTAGCAAGTCCGAGTGCCAGTGATTGATTGTTGGAGATACTAGGACTGGAAACTAGGGGCACTGTTATTATTATCATGTGAAGACCTAAGTTTAATCGCAATAACTCGAGTTGTTGGACGGGTTTTAAGAGAGTGTGTTATACCATTCCCTTCCGTGGATGTTTATGTATGGTTTGAAGTTTTTGTTGTTTTTGTATTGAAGTCTCGATTCCAATGTTGCAGAGTATAGCAGAGTTGCTCCGCCTGAACGCGCCCATGGCGTTGAAGTTGGCACTGGATGGCCTGAAAGACTCGCCCTGCAAAACTCGAGATACTGCCATCACAGATGTTGGTGGCTACGAGAGCATCGAGTTGTCTGTCATGCTTTGCAATGACAGATTCATCCGTAAGCTCAACAAAGAATGGAGGGATGAAGACAGTGCTACTGACGTTCTCTCCATGTCGCAGCATGTTGCTCAGCTTAATCTCCCGATTGTAAGTATAGTAGGTTATTACCATTTGTTAAAGGAGTCTTCTTTCTTGGGAGAGAGCAAGCCAGGGTTGATAGTTCGTTTTCTTTTTGTTTGCAGCTTATGTTGGGTGACATTGTAATTTCTGTGGAGACGGCTGCAAGGCAAGCTGAAGAAAGAGGTCATACACTTCTTGATGAAATCCGTATTCTCATGGTTGGTTTAATCATCAGTTTTTAATAGTCCGGTGCAGTTGAGAAGGCGTTACATGTTTTACGGTGGTTTCATCCTCATTTCCATGCCTAACTGGTAGATTTTTCTGTTGCCTTGTCCTTCTGCACCATTTACAGGTCCATGGGTTGTTGCATTTGCTAGGATTTGATCACGAGATTAGTGAAGAAGCTGAAACCGAGATGGAGAAAGAGGAGGAAGTTCTTCTAAAGAGTCTTGGATGGGCGGGAAAAGGACTAATTCAAAGTGCATATGAGTCCTACGATCAAGCTAATTCTGATTCAGAAATTTCGGATGGTAATTTTTTAAAATTCTTCTGCTATATATCAATCCAAAATCTTATCAAAATTATATGCTTCCGAGTCTTAGAACTGGTGCTATAAAGACAGGAAGAAAGAAGGGAGTCTCCGCTTCTATAAACCAAAATTCAAGTACATCTTCTGTGACATGGATGGTGAGATCATCTCTTCAATATGATTACTTTGAGGTTCTTTCTTTCATATTTATCCTTCTAATTTGGTTTGTATCCTGAATGCTAGGGACATTGCTTAACAGCAAAAGTCAACTTTCAACCACAAATGCAAATGCATTGAAAGAAGCTATGTCAAGAGGAGTGAAGGTAGTGATAGCAACTGGAAAGGTAAGAGACATAATCTGCTTGAAATTAATTATTGTGCACTTTGTTCCATCGGTATTTGCCTTTTTGGTCTGGTGGCAGCTGAATTGAGGTGGAAGTTTTTGTTAACTGGCCAAGAACTTATGGAACAGGCTCGCCCTTCTGCAATAAATATCTTAAAGACTGCTGGCTTAGCTGATAAAGATGGTATTGTTTCAGAGTTATCCCCTGGTGTTTTCCTTCAGGTTTCTTACTTCTCTCCTTATAATTCTCTACCACAAAATTTTGAGTTTTTGGGTCACATTTCCGCTGGCTTTTCGGACTGGATGTTAAGAAATAAGAACTCTATATCCTCTAGAGTAATAATTTTTCCTTCCGAGCAAACATGCACAACCTATTCTAGTTTTCTTCCTTTCTGCGCACAATTTGATTTTTTTTGGTTTTTACCAAGCTTAAATTTAATATGCATTATCTTTATCTAGTGTATTACTTCTAGTTATTTTTACTTTTCTTAAATTAAACAGTGTAACAGTGTTCAGCTGCTCATGTTTCGGAGTTTCTATTATCTCAGGGGTTGCTTGTGTACGGTAGGCAGGGGCGAGAGATCTTCAGAAGAAATTTAGATCCAAGTGTCTGCAGAGAGGTAACATTATGATGCTAATATCTGTCTGAGTTAGATCCTTGTTCATTGACAAAGAATCATTTGCATGGATTTTCACAAATACAAGCGAAGCTATAATCTGTTTTCATCCTATAGAAGGCTACTCAGCTGGATTGCTTGATAAGCCTTGTGTACCATAAGAATGTTGGCAAATCCTGAAGTTATTATGTTGTAGAGACAGAAATCATTTCTTGATTGCAGGTGTGCCGGTATTCTTTGGAGCATAAGGTTCCCCTAATTGCATTCAGCAATGATCGTTGCCTAACGCTGTTTGATCACCCCCTTGTTGAATCGCTGCATACAGTTTACCATGAGCCAAAGGTACCCTTTTCATGTCCTTGCTCTGCTTAATGAAAAAGTATAGTTGTTCCTTTGTTATTCTCTGAAGCTATTCCCGTGAGTAATGATGCAAGGCGATTTTAACAGGCAGAAGTCATGCCTTCAGTTGAGGATCTCGTAGCTGCAGCTGACATACAAGTACGTGAATATTCTTCTATCTATCACCATTTGGGACACACAGAGCGCTGAGTTGTTATCTGCTTAAAGAGCAACAAAGGACACTAGCTCAGAAAATTATCATTGAATTCACTATTAATTTGTTTGGTTAAAAATATCGTAGTTGTCGGTGGCCTTGAGCACATCATTTGCCCCTGTTGACTGGGCAAGTAAAGCCCAAATTTTGGATTATCTTGCAATGTCTCACTTTCCATTTGATTTAATTACTAGTTACTATCAATTATTCCTGCAGATTTATTGCCAGCTGAGATCCGCCATTGTTTTTCTTCAGTGTCAAAATGCTTTGCTTTGCTTTCTTTTATTTGCTGATAAGGATTCTGACTTATTGGATATTTTAGAAACTTTTATTCATAGACACGGCTGATAGAGTAGCTACTGAGCTGAGGCCGTACTGGTCAGAAGCAGCAGGAGGTCGCGCCAGTGTAGTCCAAGCCATCCCACATATGCTTGAGATCGTGCCTGTGGGAACATCGAAAGGGAGTGGGGTGCAAATTCTTCTTGATCATTTGGGTGTGAAAGCCGAGGAGGTAAGAGCTGATTCAATCTTTGGTCTGCGCTTGTTTATTATTCTTCTGCCATAAGATAAATGAAGTAGAAGTGGGAAGTGACATGGGTTGGGTTATTGTTCTAGGTTGGGGTTAGAATGGATTCGTAAATTTCTTGAAATTTTGATGTGGTTTGGAGGGAGTTTTACTCATTTCTCGGTGCAAGGGCTTTCTGATCAGGTTAAATGTTTGGATGCTATGTTGTGAAATGACAGAGGTGGATTGGTTTGTTTATTATCGAAAATATGGTCACATAATGCAGTGTTCCATTTTCTCCACTGAATTAGCAGACTGGAATTTGGATTTTCTTTCTGGATTAGTTGGTGAAATTCCTGAAAGTCTAGGTGCTGCAATGTAAGAGTCAGAATATTGAGGCACTAGATAGTTGTTCTGAAGCTAAGAACCATCGATCCAAGGCAGAAGGCACCACCCCAATGGACTTTTGTCAGATGGATTCTTATTTCTTAGTGGGTTGGTTGCTACTTGCCAGTAGCCAGTAAATGCTTCAACTTCCTAAGCCAGATCTTCTAGCTCTACTGTTTCTAATCACTCATTTATCAATCCTTTCTTCTCAGATAATGGCCCTTGGCGACGGGGAGAACGATATCGAGATGCTGCAATTGGCTTCTCTTGGCATTGCTCTCAGCAATGGCGCCGAGAAGACGAAAGCTGTCGCCAACGTAATTGGTGCCAGCAACGACGAAGATGGGGTAGCTGATGCCATCTATCGGTATGCATTTTGAACCACTCGAGCATAGCCATTGATCTTTCGAGAGCTCACTCAGCAAGCATCTGCACAACACACTGGAGGTGACCGAGCTCGTGGTCGTGGATGCTTGGCGATTCTTCTTCTTATCATTCTTTAATGAAGACTAGAGAGCCTTTAGAGTAAAACCAGCAAAAAAGAAAAGCTATTTTCTGTGTTCTTTTGATAAAAGGCGCCATTTTTGAGCTGGTATCCTAGGTTGGGTGTCTACTCATTGGATTACAAATGGTTAGTTTATTTGATTGGGTGGTCGTTTTTGTTTCCCTTTAACCAACTGAACACTTTTTTTTCTTCTTCTTTTCGATAGATATGAAGGAACTGTATTACTAGTTGCCCAGGGACGTGCGAAAAGTAGCAAATTGGCAGGTGTTTTGCCACTATATTGTGAATTTGTGAGCTCTTCGATTAGTTGATGAATTTTAACATGACATTATAGAAGTCTCCAAAACTGAAAGAATATTAGCACAATTTACATAAAAATGGTTCTCTGCTGAGCAGCCTTTTATCCTCAACGAACCAGCCTAGCTTTTTGTGAGGCCTATCGCAGCGAGCAGCTCGCCTCTTCCTATAAAATGCCCTATGATGATGGAGAGAAGCCTGGAACAAGGTACATGGTAGATGTAACATCGACAACATCTGTCGACTAACTGGGAGACTGGCATATTCGAAAGCAAGTTGTCTGTATGCAAATGTTTATCATACGTGGATTAACGTGCGTTCTTTCGTTGGATTGATTAGACGAAGGCTTGAGAAATTGTCGAGAAGTAGTTCCCTTTAAATGAGCGAAAGGCAAAACTAATCTCAGAAACACACTGGTAACTGGTAGGCAAGAATGATTACAGAAGATGGATTTCTTTTGCTATAGATATAGCCCAAATGAATGAATTACATAGTAAATTATAACACTTCATCCCCTCATCGATATTCGATAACATGGCGAAAGAAGGGGATATGGTCATTCTTCCTCCCGAGTCTATAAGTAGTACAAAGAATGCTGGTGTATTGAGGCTCTTCTAATGTGACTGCAAAGAGATTATGCTGGAGTCTTGAAGCTCATACATTGATGAAGGGAGTAGGTTTAGCAGCAGCCATCTAATTCTAAACACATCAAGCCTTGTAAACACCAGAGGGATCGGCATTCTGAATGATCCATGGATGCTCAAGCACCTTGTGTAATGGCAGCCGCTTAAATGAATCCTTGACAAGCATCTGCAGGTGCATAAGCCATAAGAGACAGTAGCAGATGATGAGAAAGACAAATCTTGAGTCAAGATGGAAACTTCAGCTGGTTTAAGAGATGTGGCTTACCTGACTAATAAGGTCTTTTGCAGAAGCAGATATAATTGGCTTGGGAGGAAACTTGAGATCCACTTGCACAATCCTGCCATTATTGCCCAGATCCGATTCAATGGAGTACACCACACAAGAAATGCAACAATTCGGAAGTCAGAGTGAAACTTATGCTAACCTTCGGTATGTGTCAGAGTGTTCCATAGCCTCGAAAGGGGGAACACCATAGAGGAACTCGTAACACAACACGCCTAGGCTCCAGATGTCGACACTAGCATCGTGCTCAACACTTTCCACTGCAGAACAAGCAAACCAGATCAGACTCGGTGAAATGTTTCTGGTTAGCAATTATGGGTCCTATCTGTTTACATACCCATTTCAGGTGGGAGGTAGTCCAATGTACCACACATTGTCCGCCTTCTGTTGAAGGTATGCACAGACCATCCGAAATCGGCAATCTTGAGCTCACCCTGATGAAAGGAGAAGAGGGAGAAGCATTTGGGAACACATAAGTTCACAAGAACCAAGAAATCGACACTAAAAGCACTAAAAGTTGCATAAAAATGTATGAAATGGCCGAGCACCTGGGCACCAATAAGGAGATTCTCTGGTTTGATATCACGGTGGATGACATGCTTCCCATGGCAATATATCAGAGCTCGAGCCAACGACGCTACATACTGCAATTCATATACATAGACACAAGCATTTTAGAGTATATGTCAGATCAGATGTGGGTTTAGATAAAAACTACTTGACAAAGAAGGGGAATTGCAAATGATGCCATGAAATGGAGCTGTAGAGAAGAGAAGAGAGAGAGTTTCTCACGGTTGCAGCACGCCTCTCGCTGAAGTACTTGCACCTCTGAAGCTCCTTGTAGAGTTCACCCTTGGCTGCGTACTCTAGTATCAAGTAGACTCGCTTCTGCAGGCAATTTCCATGACCCCAGGGAAGAAAGAAAAACATCAGCTACACACAGTCTTAACAATAAGCAAAGCAGGAAATGTGATGTAAGAATGGCGGGGAGGAGGAAGCAGGGGAGGAAACCTGGTCATAGAAGTAGCCATAGAGACGGAGAATGTTTGGGTGACGAAGGTGGCTCTGGATCTCAACTTCACGGCGGAGTTGATGCTCCACCTGCGATTGCTGGAGCTGGTTCTTGAACAGCACTTTTAAGGCCACGACGTGATTGCTCTGCGGGGGATCGATCAAGAAAAGCAAACAGCCACCAGCAACTCAGAATCAGGAAACGAAACGAAATCGGGGGAAGAAAGGAGACGGGAAATTACTACTATGATTATCAATTAGATTACCCTTTTTTCACGAGCGGCGTAAACATGGCCGAATTTGCCGCGGCCGAGGGGCTTCCCGACGTCGAAATCGGCGAGAGTCCATCTCCTTGTCTGGTTGTTCTCTCCGCCGGCCGTATCTTCCGACGAAGTAGCAGCAGCAGCCTGCGATTAAGGAATTGAGGATCGAGAGAGCGAAAATCAGGGGGCGAAAATGAAACCCTAGACGGCGGCGGCAGGCGGAGGATGGATTTGACTTCATTACCTGGTGCTGGTGGTTGGATTGGGAATCAGGAGGAGGAGCGATCGCCATTAGAGAAGAATGGAAGAACGAGGAAGAGAGGAGAAATTCAAAATTACTATGGAACAAAAACAAAGCCGCTAAAATTTGAAAAGGGAAGTAAGGGGGGAAGGAGGGGCCGGGACCTCTCTCTCTTTCGTTCTTGTTCTTACTCTTCTTGCGGGGGGAATCTCTCTTGTAATGCTTTGAAGTCGAAAATATTATAACGGTCGACTAACAAGAGGGTGCCACGTGGCCCACATGTAGGGTTTCAAATTTTCATGTCTATTTATATATTGAAATGAGAGAAAAAGAAAAAGAAAAGGGAAGAAGATATCAATTAACTTCTATGAAATGTTTTTTCGCGTGATTCAGTTTTAGAAGAGGAACGTCTAGTGTTATAGTATAGATGCCCTCACAATAGGATAACTCAGGCCATCGTCAAAATTCTTGTACGGTGGTTAGTGGGATTTGACGGTAGAACAAACGAGTGAGAAGAATCGATAGAGGGAGATTGAATTAGAATTGGTTGGAGAGAAGGGTTCGATGGAGAAGGATAATGAATTGCGAGCGTTTGGAGTAGGTGCGTCGATGGAGAGTTTTTTAGTGATCATGTTAGATATAAGAATGTCCAAGCCAATGATGATTACATATTTATTAGAATAATTATATGAATGTGGTAGTTAGGGGTTTACCAATGAATAGTCTTGAAGTTACATGGACCACACATCTATGCATCATAGCACTTTCAATCTCTCGTTTATTCGATGATATTCCCCCCCCCCCCCCCTCCCTCCCTCCTTCCCTCCCTTGAGATTATTTATCGTATATAATTGAAGCGGCACTACGAGTATGGAATGAAAAGTGTTTCTCACAATAACGAACAACAACCCACTTGAACAATTTCTCATTTTTTCATTGATTCCTCATGAAAATAGGAGATTTATATTTCTCGTTCACAAATCTTATGATATTAACTCCTAGTTCGATCTTAGTTCATTTTGTTACTAAAAATAGAGGAGGTGCATTGGATTGGTAATGGACCGATGTCCTTTGAGCTTTTGTCCATACGGTACTAAGAGGTTGAATTTTTCATATAACATACTTGATATATATTTTAGTTTTGTGAATATATCTACTGTTCTAATTAATTTTGATCCACCATTGATTGCACAAAATCTTGCAGTTAGCATATGCTCATGGGGGGGCATATCCAAAGTAGCTTATACCTCTATGATCTAAACAAACCAAACCTTTTACCTATGTCATCTGCCTACAAACATTGCAGAACACCAAACTTTCACTACTCCATCATCTTGAATACGAGAGACACCGATCCTCCCCACGTTCAATTTTCAACCAAGGAAAACGTGCATCGGCTGGCACTCCTTCCTTCCTCCTGTTCTGCATAAAATGCTAACGATGAGAGCCCTATAAGCTTCCGTGATGATTGTAGGACTCCCCTCCCTGCTGCTAAATCGCTTCGAATAAACTTCCTTGCCAAATCCTAAGATTCTTTGGCAACACTCTCATATGATGATGATATGGAGCTTCCATTTTCAGGCGGCATGAGTGCTGGGAGAAAACGAGGGATGATGAATGCAGCCACTAAACACAGCAACACAAGCACTCCCACCCACCAAGCCTTGTGAGGGATACCCAGCAGCAATTCATCGCATACTGGAATACAGTAACCATAAGATTACTACACAGAAAAAAGCTACACAAATAAAACAAGATGATGTAGTTGGGATTGAAGGAGAAACGAATGAAGAAATATCATAGGCGAAAGGAAGAAAATGTGGTCGAGAGTGGCACTAATTCAGCAAGGCATCCACATAAAGCAACCTCGGAGTTCATGCTGCTTATAGAAGAGACATGACTCACATACAGCAACAAGTTCGGGGTTCTCACAAGAATAATCATAGGCTCGTATGTTAGCTGCAATGATTAGTGCAAGCTAGCAAGATAAAGAGAACTCAATAGCATTACTGCTTGAATAAAAACAAAAGCTTTCTACCATTTCAATGGAGAATGAAGACAATTAAGAATCAGATCAAAACCTAACAGTCTTTCAGATGAAGATTCGATGACATTATCTAAGAAACTTGTATGCAATAGCAAGAAGTTGGCAGTGAGTTTATTTTACCTATGTTGAAGATGATTGCTTCCCTCTCTGGTACATTTGGTATTGCAACCACCCCCTCCGGCTCTACAGTTACCAGCACGTACAACTGGTTCTGCTGAACAGAGTGAAACACATCAGAAGAAAGAACAAAAAGATAACAATGTTGCCAAGCGGATCAGTAAGAAAACTACACCTGATTGCCACTGAACTCATCAGTCTTGAAAATCAGTTTCTCTGTGTTTAGTAATCTTCGATTCCAGTTCAATCCCAAACCAGAAACATCCTTCTTCAGTTGTATAGTGAAGCTAGCAGGTATCTGGAATGTCAAACCCCAGGGAGAAACAAAGAAGTAAACTTTTTTGTTTCATGAATGGGATGGTGTGGAAATCAGCAAGTCAACAAGACAAACATACATACAGAAGCCGGATAAGATATCTTCACTTCATACCAAGTGTTCGATTTCAAGCCCCGAAGTTCATACAGACGAGAACCTCCCTGCAAGGCAAGAGTCTCCTTCCACAGTTCATTTCCAGGAATCAATACATTGCTGGCAACCCTTTAAAAGAGATTGCCAAAGGAAAACAGTGAGATACATCAGAACTGGCCAACTTGAGACTGGAAATGCACCGAGCCTAAAAGGAACAGTCCATACTCTATGTTCCCAAATGTTGGAATTGGGTATCCAGCAATGAAGGTGAATGCATAGACCCAAAGGAAAGAGCTAGAGATCATAGCTAGCAGGCCATTGAAGCTCCTCATTTTGTTCATTCCGTTTCTTCTACCCTGACGTTCTACACAACAGCCACCATAGATTTCATTACACTTATACATTGTAAATTGGATAATTCACCCAGATGATGCTGCACACAAACAAGAACAGCTAACGGAATTATCCTAGTTGAAGTTCACTTTTTCCCCGGCAGATTTTACTCAATTAGCCGAGACCGGAGAGATCCCCAAGATTAAAGAAGAAGAAGAAAAAGGATCTCATGTGATTACCCTAATTGATATAGTCGAGCAGTCGATGAGGACTGGCGTTGCTGTTGCCTTCTCCGCCTTCGATTGAAGCTACGTTATCAGCCAGCTTCAGGCGTGGAAGTGTAGAATTGGAGCTGGAAAGTAGGAAAATTAGCCGAGACGGCGAGACCTGAGAGGAAGCGTGGAAGTTGGAACTAAAACGTAAACATAGCCGCCGGCGTCTGCTGGAATGACTGACGGAGCTGGGCAGGTTAACGTCGACGGGGAGAAGGCCGAGATGTGAATGCGACTCTTCTTTACTCGGAGTCGGGAGGAAGAATAATGAATTAAAACGTCGCCGTTTCAAAGCCCCGTCTTGTCTGGGCTTTAAGCCTCTTTAATTAACTGGACTTGAAAATAGCTGGGCCTGAGTATCTCCCGCATCGAGCGAGAACCGAGACAGCTGGACACTGGAGTAAGTATCTATTTGCTTGGAAATGGCGGATTCTAGTTAAATCTCCCTCGCTGCTCGCAGGAGACGTCGAGAGTAGAAAGCCGACTGTTCCGTCAGACGGACCTCTCAATTGTACAAGCCAGAGTCAATTGGAAGAGAGAAATGGACAACAACGACATACTCGAGCGGGAGAGGCTGCAAATGGAGCAGATTCGAGAGCTTGAATTCGAGGAACTACAGGTCGTAGAAGTCGACGAACACGGCGATTCTTCCGATGACGGCATCGATCCCGGGTATCTCACTTGATTTCACACAAATTCAGTGTCCTCTGTTTTCCGGTTTGCTCTTCGTTTTTACGTTTCATGGTGCGGGAGCTAGGGTTTGGCCCGGCGCTTTGTTAATCGGCTGCTGCGTTGTATGAATATCGTTTGGTATTTGGTTCTGCTTTCTTAGATGGCGTTATTAATGTAGTTTTGTAAGCCGCCGAAGATAAGGTATTAGAAGAAGAAGAAAAGCTTTCCATCACCAAATGGAAATTTCAATTGCTTTGCAGTTTTGGTACTATTACCTCTGCCAAAGAGGAGCTACGAGCTGATAACTGAAGAGTGTTTGGTTTCAGCATGCATTTTCATTCGAGAATTGTCTTGTTGTTCTTCAGAACTCAGCTACTAAAGCTAGTCTACACTGATCACTTGCGCGTGGTGCTATGGTTGGAATTACCTGCTGATCCGTTACGGTTTTTTTGCCCTTTTTTCACCAGTTACAATGTCAACATTTCATCTGAAGAATTTACTTTCAACCCTGGTTTGGCTTCATTGCACACGTATTTGGGTGGTAAGCGACACTCCCTCCACCTTCAACATTGGCTTTTCTATTGTGTTGTGTTGGGGCATTGATGCAGTACTGGTTGTTGTTGTGCAGAGGTGGAAGACACGCGTCACAGGTTGTCGTTCTTGGATGGGGGTGTGACGTTAACTCTGCCGTTGTTCTATCTCGAAGGTGCATTAGTTTCTGATAATAGGCATCTTTCTTCTTTTGTTCTTGCGTTCCTATTTCTTTTCCTGGCATATTCAGAAAGACTGCAGGGGTCGATACATAACTGGTTTGCCTATGGAGTTCCTGGAGAAATACTTTACTATTTGACTTCATGTCCAACGTACTGAAAAGATAAATGATTTTGGTATTACTGATTCTAGCTTTTTGAAAATGGAATTGAATGCTTGAACAATTAATGCCAGTATATATTGTTCTATTTTGTATTTTCACTTCACTTCTCGTTGTCCGGTAATTGTTACTGCAGACCTCTTAATTACCAAACCATTCTGTTTTAATAGGGGTTGTTCTTTTCCCTGAGGCTACGCTTCCTCTAAGGGTTGTTCAATCCAATTTCATATCTGCCATTGAGAGAGCCATGACACAAGATGATGCTCCATTTACTATAGGTGTGGTGGGTTAACTTCACCTTGAACCCATTGTTAGCAGTCTTGTTACTTTACTTCTTTTCCCCGTCACAAAAGATGTTTCTTGAATGATGTTTTGCTTAGGTTCATGCTCACAGGAGCTCTGATAACAGAAGATTAAAGGTCTCTAACATTGGGACAACTGCAGAGGTATTGTGATGGAACTCTTATTTTTCTAAGCGATTAAAGGTTTGTGAAAGCAGTTTTTGGAGCACTGGTTAGGATTTCATCTATAACTTTTGGTTGTATCTAAAAGCTTGGAAAAGGAAAAACTTAAACGTTGAGGTTGTCTCCTTGCATCTTACTTTCAAAAGAAAAATACATGCCGAAAGATTTCTTCTTTGCAGCTCCTCTGAGTTGTCATTTTTTCATTCTGATTTCATCTGTAAACTTATTATACCGAACTCGTTAAATCTATTACACAGATCCGACAATATAGGCGGCTAGAAGATGGGTCACTCAATCTTCTTACTCGTGGGCAGCAGCGGTTTTGTTTAAAACGACTCTGGATGGATGTGGAAGGAGTGGTCAGCTATCCTTTTGCTCTTCTTTTTCTTCTCCTTCTATATTGTAGCCGTAAAGTTGGGTGGCAACTGATTCTTGATTTCCCTTGTTTAGCCATGTGCAGAAATTCAGATCATAGAGGAAGATTCACCATTAAGAGTTCCCAGGGAGGCCCTAGGAAAGTTGTCAGCATTAAGCAATCTGCATAGACGTTGTGCACATTTGCTGCCTGCAAGGCCATCATTGCTTGCGAGAGGCAACGATTCAGAATCAAGTTCAGACGAAAGTTTTGAGGGTGATCTTTCACGACAGGAAAAGAAAATGCATCTGACTGCTGTAGAGTCTTACTTTGAGTATGATATGATGGAAGAATCAACCAGCAGTGATGATGATGAGGTGCTCTTTGACTCAGAAATCAGATATAGAAGAGCTCGGTTAACTGACTCAGAATTGTCGGTACTCTCAGATGAGGGGAAAAGAATTAAAAAATCTGCCATGAAACATCAATCTGCTTCTGCTTCTGCTTCAAACAAGTTGCCTGACAAAGAAGAAGCTCAGAAAGTGAATATCAAACCTGATTTAAGTCAATTTTGTAAATCCTCCACAGCATTTTTGCCCTGTTGGGTGTACCAAATGTACGACTCCTATGAGCTTGCTCAAAGGGCTGCAGGTATCCTTCTAACGATTCCTATGCAAATTAATACAGCAATATTGCAATAATGCAGCCATTTTCAGTTTCATGATTTCTGACGGCAATAAAGAAAAGTTTAAATGTTCTTCTTGAGAAACATTTCAGAACGATGAGCATATTGGAAAATTCTACTCAAATGAGTTTAGTCTTCAAGTCACGGGCTAGAGTCATTCATAAAACTAGGTCTTCTAATGTTCATTTATTTTTATCTAGATTTGGCTATGCTAAGAGTGAACACAATCTGGTCCATCTTGTAGTCTCTTGCAATGAATTTCCTCTTTAATTTAAGTCATTCTAAATGACATTAGGTTTGGATTCAACACCAGTCTTGCACCTAAAATTGTCTGATTTGGTGTCTTTTGCAGATAAGTGGAAACACATAGTTGGGACATCATGCATGGATGATATGGTGAAGAAGCCCGATCTTTTATCATTTTATATTGCCAGTAAAATCCCTGTGTCTGAATCAACAAGGCAGGAGCTGTTAGAGATTGATGGCGTTTCTTATCGACTGCGTCGTGAAATCGAGTTACTCGAACGATTTGATCTCGTACGATGTAGAAGTTGTAAGGTAATAAGCAGCTGCTTGATATGCTAACCTCGTTGGCTGACATCAATAATCACTTCTGCCTGCTACCGACTGATACGTTGCTGAAACTGAAGTACATCAGTCATTCATTCTTCATTCTTCTAGTCTTAGTTGTAAGACGCAAGGCTACTCCACTGACATACTTGTTCACTCATCTCAGCAAGTGATAGATTATTCTCTATCTTCCATGCAGACTGTAATTGCTAGGCGGAGTGACATGCTGGTGATGTCAACCGATGGTCCTCTTGGTGCCTATGTGAATCCACACGGTTTTGTGCATGAGATAATGACTCTCTATAAAGCAAATGGCTTGGCCCTCATCGGACGTGCGGTTACAGAATATAGCTGGTTTCCCGGGTATGACACTCTCTCTATACATACATCTTATGCACCACTTTTAGTGAAGTGATTTAAGTGGAAGAGTAAATAATTGTGAAATGATGAAATGGTCATAAAATTTGTTTGTATATGAAATGCCAAATAACCTCACCAGCTCTTTTGAATATTATAGAAGAGGAAGGGGTAGAATTAGCAATATAGAAAAGATGAAGTAAAGTGGTGGGTACTGCATCAATTTGAACTTAGATTTTAAAGCTACATAGTGTATTTGGTTGGGGAAGTTGGTTAGCAGATCATCTGTAAGCACAGCCAACAGATGCCAGCCTATATAATCAAACAGAGTTTATCTAAATTCTCTGAACTAGGGCTCATGAGTCATGACCATGGCCAGAGTATCAAAGGTTGTCCCGACGTTTACTAAACTTCGCGGATGGTGGGTGCATTCGACATTCGTTGTAGGTACGCATGGACCGTTGCAGATTGTTCCACGTGCGAAACCCAGATGGGGTGGCTGTTCACAGCAACGAAGAAGAAACTGAAGCCTAGGTCTTTCTGGGGTATAAGAATTGCCCAGGTTGCCGACGAGGTGCGTTGAAGTAACGGAGAGTAGTGCTACAAAGTAGAATCTAGAATCTGTTGAAGGTAAATGCCCTAGTTAGTTTTCCCTGAAGACTTGCTAGCTGTGAGTTCGTCACTTTGAATGGTTTGCTCATGTAATTCGATGAGTTTGTAGCCTTCACAGAACTACGTACGTTTGTTGGGTCACTTTAAATAGTGTAACTTTTAGGTCTCCTTGATTTTGTGCTGTAGATTTTGGTGACGTAAAGATAAAGAGGGAAGGAGCGATAAATTCTTGGTATCCATTGTAAATTCTCTCTCTCAAAATCTCTGTTACAAGCTCAAAATAGGAAGGATTGTAAAATCGTACCGAAAAGTTTACAACATGGTATTTTATGCTGAAATCATTGTTCGTTGGTTTCGTACTACTAAATCAATTTAGACTCGGCAGAGATTTTTTTTTTACTGGATACGATCTTACAAACACATAATTTTAATATGTCATTAATTCGTCCACCCAACTAGCACAAGTAACTCTCTGCCGCTGCAGAAGTCACTTAACCCATTACCGCATAAGATCGCTGACGGAAGCAGGCCGTCGGATGTGGAAATTCCGGGCCCAAAGGAAAAGCCCATTCGCTTCACCGACCAAAAAGGAATGGCGCTCAAAACATAAACCAGATTGTGCCAATCCCCGTTTTCCGTGAAGAGTTCAAACTTCAACACACTTTCAAATAGATGGCTGTGTCTCTGTTCGTATCTGCGTGACTCCGTCATTTCCAGCAAAGCTCAGAGAAGTAGATATTACGGGTGGGAAGCCGGAAACAGAGAAGCTAGGGTTTTCCTTCCACTCAGTTTCGGATTGTCAGAGGGCCGTCGTTCATCTTCATCGATGACTCGGGTGCGTCCGAAGCTCGTTTTCTCTGGCTTCACCAAGGCCGAGGTACTTCCCCTTTGCCTCTTTCGTCTGTGTCTCTTCGCGCTCACTCGAATGTATGCCTCCAGTTTTACCAGTTTAGATTTTCGGCTTCCTGTTTTGCAATGCGTAACTGTCTCTTTCTCATCCATGGCGGCGGCGAGGAAACCGCAGACGGAGAAGATGGAGAAATTGCTGGATGATTCGGTCCAACCTCTCAACACGAAGTTCTTCAAGAATCTCGCTAGAGGTTTCAAGTGAGTTGCTCCTTCTGTGAAGTGTACATTGAAATGTTGAGTAAGCGACTACTGATTTCACCTGATTAGCATTGGACTGGAATGATGTGGACGAATGTCAGTAGTTGAGTTGGTTTGGATCTGACGCCTGTTCCTTTTTGTTAATTTTCTCTTTCACAGTCTGTCTACAGGTCGTGCTGGCAAACCAGTTGTGAAATGGACTGAGGTTTTCATTATACTTCAACTCGAGATTGCAAAGTTTTCTTTGGATTGATATCTCTGTTGTTCTTTGGTTTGCATCTCTTATTGTTTGACTTGCTTGATGATGGGTTTTTTTTTTTCTTCTTCCAGGTAGAGAGTTGGTTCCGACAGAGGCGACAAGGCATCCACCCACCAGTTTGCTCCGAAACTGATGCTCCGAAAGATGGTTCGATGTTGCTAGAGCCTAGTCCCGCGAATGAGTCTAATGATACCTCCAAAAAAGCTACAGGTGCTCCATTTCTTGAGTTCTTTGGATTTGGTTACGTTACACTGCATTCCTTGGTGCCTGTTTGCAATGGGACATTTTGTTGATTTGGAAACTACGAAATATAATCCAGCTTGAAGTGTAGTGAGATGCTTCAACTTATACTGTGAGGAGGAGGAGGAAGAGCTGAACTGCGTGGAATAAAGCGAATTTTAGGGATACTTCAACTTGAACTTAAAGTATATGGAAACGAATGAAATGAGTCATGCAAGACATAGATAAAACTTCGTTAGTATTGAACTCTTTGCAAAGTACTCTCATATGGACTGAAACCATCAAGTATTATCTCATTGATGAGTTGATGTTCACTTAGGTGGTTGGTTATAGGTATTATGAAAATGTCATGCAAGCTTCTTTCTCAATTCTTTCTGCAGTAAGGTCGCTTTCTTTTGATGCAGTATTATATCCATCTTTGTATCGATGGAATGTTAATGCTAACTGACCCTAACATACCTAATAATTTAATTTTTAACTTGCCCTCTCCATAATGACTGCTTTTCAAGTCCTTGTTGAAGTACATTCTCACCTTGCTATGTTAGAGCAAGAGAATTCTTGTGCTATAATTGTTGCTGATTTAACTGTGATTTTGCTCAAGTTCAAGTCAAAATCATAATGACCAACTTCTAAAATAAGCCCAAGGTTCGACCAATGCTATCTGGAGAACAAGTAGAATAACGATAAATAGCAACCATTGATGCCATCAGGCCTCTAGAACCTAGGTAGCTTGTGCTATTCAACCGAAGATTTAGAGCTTTAGGTTTGTAAAGAAGGAATGATCAATCTTTAAGTATTAGGAAATGTTATGCTTTAAAGTTCATAACTTCTTCCGGAATATGTGAAACTAATAAGCTAGTAAGCATCAAGTCAGACTAGGACTTGGCTTTTGTTGCTCAATGGAAAGCTTTGCCATGGCTTAGATAAGTGCTTATGCATTCTAAAGTATTGGTGTTTACCTCAAACTTGTGATTAGTGTGGTCTAACAAAATCAGAATATTGCCATAGCATCCAAACAAACTTAATGCAGCCAATGCTTCTTTTTGTAGCATCTCTCTAAACACATTTCTGCCCATATGGGCTCTTTCAACGGTAGTTTGGTTACATATGGGCTACTGTGTGTCATTGGTGTCGTCTTGTAATGTGGTTCTCTTTGTCTGCTCCTTCTTGGCCTATCTTGGACAGAAGGGGGAAAAAGCGTCTGCTCCTACCACTAATAATTTGGGATTTGTAGTAAAAGTTTGTCTACAAACAAATTACCCATTTTCTGTCAGTTTATTTGACTAAATCAATGAAAGAACTCCATCTTTGTGAATATTAGTAGGAAAGGTAACAATACATTTTGAAAAGGTTGGTGTTCAATTTGAAAAAAGAACATGGTACAGTCGACCAAGAGAAGATGGGAACTCGGGTCGTTTCGCTCTCTCTTCTTCTACAGATAACTTGTGGTATGTCTCCTTATGAAATGTGCAGTCCTATTTGGCTTTTCTAGATCTTACCATTTTGCTCCCTTTTTTGTCAAGGTGATTGTTATCCATTATCCAACCAAATAAAGTATCGTGACAATTTCTGTATCTTACTAGATCAGTGCTAAATAATAGCAAAATATTTTACATAGCATCAGAATATATATTTCTTCCAAACTAGTAAAGTGACATCTATTTGATTTTGCATGAGAGATCATAATCTATAAGTTTCCTTTATCAAACCATGCTAAAGTGACATCTATTTGACTCAATACAGGGCATATGCAAGACTGGTCGACGATGCAATTTGAAGCAAAGTCATCAAAAGATGGTGCTTGGTAAGCAAAAATAAGTATGATATCTAGTGGTTCCAATACTGACGCCAAAGATATGATTGATGTCACACTTACTTGGACAAGACTTGAACAATTGGATAAAATGTGATTTTTAGTGAGAAAAGGGATGAGAATTGGTGGTCATCTCTTATGGAGAAGGATGTGTAGTTATTTGTTTGTTTTAGCAGAACGGATGCCATTGTTTTTAGGCTCAACATAGAGATTATTAGTTGAAGCAAGAATATTTTGTACTTTTTGAATGCTCAATGTTTGAGTCCCTTGCTTACATGGAGAAATGCACAACAAAGTGTCGAGTGGCTTACTAGACGTCTGGAATCTAAGTTCGATGCTTTTCCCCCCGCTTTCCAGGTATGATGTTGAGCTTTTCCTTTGCTACAGAAAACTACCATCAGGAGACCTTGTAAGTTGTTTTAGTATGACTTAGTTATTCTTTTCATGCTAGTTCCCTTGTCTATAATTGTCTCGCCAATCATGATCATTGAAGATAGTAAATTTAATTAGTCAATGTTAACTTCCAATTAGCAATTTTTTTAGTAATATTGACTTGACAGCATGATACTGACTTGGAAGAGATACATGGATGTTAACATTCCAATACTTTAGCATTTTAACTAAGAAAAAAGTTACAAAATTATTAACAGTAACAAAAACTGACTAATATTTTTATACATTACAAAATATTTGGGTAATTATTAGTAATTCAGTAGATTTGGCTAATAAAAATGAATGCGGAAAAGGTTTTGCTAATAATTAGTATTTACCCTAAAAGTAAAAATTAAAGAAACAGTGTTGATAAGTTTTCAGGATAAGTTAAATTGATGAGTTGTGACTTATTTTGTAGTAGTAAAAAGTAATTGTTGTAATAATAGATAGTTTATTCACTAATAAAGAAATGAGTAGGTTATAGACAAGGCAATTCAACTGATGCATTTTATAACGTTTTGAAGGAAGTTCTTGTCAGATTTGAAGGATATGGGGCGGAGGAGGACGAATGGGTAAATGTAAGAGAGGCAGTCAGACAACGCTCCGTTCCCGTGGATCCTTCAGAATGTCATTTGGTGAACGTTGGGGATGTAGTATGCTGCTTTCAGGTGAGTGGCGCAGTTGCTTGCCAGTATCTCCCAAATCTTGGCTGGTTTTGTTGGTTGAATCCCAGAGAAATTAAAGAATACGAGATTTGAAATATATCGTTGCTTGTAATGAAAAAGTAACAGACGAGATAGTAAATAGCATACATAATAGTAAACATAATTGTGAGTGTTGGAAACTGAATGCTATGCGTATGAAGTGTAAGTTCATATTTTTTTTTTATTTAGCGAGCCGACTTCTAGTTTGCATTGTTCATCACGAGTAGTCTGACATCTTGCTCAAGTTACTAGCTATAACCAACACTCTGTTATCAGGAGAGGAAGGATTATGCGATTTACTACGATGCTCATGTGATCGGTATCAAGAGGAAACTGCATGATATAAGGGGTTGCAGGTGCATTTTCAAGATACGGTACAATCACGACGACATGGAGGTCAGGATCTCGATCGCGTTGCTCTTCCCCGGGTGGGTGTTGATAGTTAGGGTGGGGGATGGTGGCTGACCCTGGAATTGGTTCGTTTGCTGTTGTTGCCAGGAAAGAGTTCGCCTGAGAAGACTCTGTTACCGCCCAACACCTTGATGGGAAGCTGAGACGTCTCTTCGAGTATGTAGTAGTAGTCATGTATGACATCAATACATGTGAAAAAATGAAGAGAGTTTTCTTCCTGTTTGATGATCAATGCTTCCATTGTTTCAGTAAATTGGGAGCTGGCACTACAGTAGAATTGTTGATGACGAAAACTATGAGGTATGTGGGGAGAAACCGTCGCCAGTAGCCTTTTCTTTTAACCATGGTCCATGAAATCGTATCGTACCGGTGGTTCAACCACAAAATACCAGTATCGGAGGCTAAACCGGTAGGCGGTATTTAACGGTATGAACGGTTGAACTACCGTTAAACCACGATTTTGTCATAAAATACCCTACCACTGACTTTTCTGGTACGGTGTCCGGTACGGTTTCATGGACCATGCTTTTAACAGGTGTTTGTTAATATTGTACCGGACCGGCTGGCTGCACCCTTCAAACTGGTTTTTTTTACCAGTTTGGAATATTTGTTCCAACGGTGCGCGATCTCTGAACGGTTTTACATACGTTATTGTTAATAGTGTCTATCGGTTCGTTTAGTACCGGACACCGTACTAAACGGCCATGAGCCACAGCTCAACTTGGTGGTTTTGTTGAGCTCAAACTCATGGACTAGCTCGTTTTGAGCTCGACAGTATAGCTAGCGAGCCACCTCATACATTACTCATGTACTAATTACTATTAAATAACATTATAAGAATAATTAAAATTATAAACTATTTGATATGATACTTGACCTCTCGAATCGAGCTTTAATCGAACGCAAAAGAACATTTTTCATAAGCAAGTCGAGTTATATCTGGACTCTTTTATTAAATCAAAGGTAGGTCAAAACTCTATTGGACCCCACGCCTACCCCACCTTTTGACTAATCTTCCTGCGTATAAAAATCGAAACTTTCTTCAATCCAATCTTCATCACCGATATTCCCCCGAATGTTGTGTTCCTCGCTGGAAGCGTGGCACCACCGTCGTCATCGCGCATACGATCCCTGAGCCGGAGCAGAGAATTCGATCATCCCACAAACCCGCCGTTTCGGTTTCCTCTGCCGAACGGATTGTGATCGGCGTGGATTCTAATGAGACCATAATCGCAGAGGAAAATCCCACACACGAACAGAATCGCTGGGTTTTTTTTTATGCAAATCAGAATCTTGGGTCTGGAGCTTTCGAGAGGATCTTACTAAGACGATGGAACGCTACGACATTGGAGGCCGCAGTGGGGAGAATCCCGAGCCAGAGGACGAGGGAAGCACAGCTCCTTTGCCTGAAAAGGTTGGTTTCTCTCTGCCCGCGCCATTTTTTTTTTCCTGATGAGTTTTCGAAAATGGTCTTTGCAGTGTAGACTATAGGGTTCTCACTTTTTTGCTTCACAGGTGACTGTTGGTGGTTCCCCAACTTACAGAATAGATAGAAAGCTTGGGAAAGGAGGGTTTGGACAGGTCTATGTTGGTAGGCGAATTGGTGCTGGTCCTGGTGCGGTAGAGGTGTGTGTGTGTGTGTGTGTGTGTTTCCCATGTTTGAACTCTGCAACTTTTGTAAGTATACACCCTTTGGTGTGGGGGGTTTATATCAAGTCTCTGAATTTCAGGTGGCCTTGAAGTTTGAGCATAGAAGTAGCAAGGGATGCAATAATCGTCCACCATGTGAGTGGCAAGTTTACAAGTGAGTTCCTTGTCATACCTTTTTATAGTTCGTTCTGTTAATGAAGCAGTGTGGATGTGATGTGATGAACTTATCATCCCTTTTTAACCTTTGGTAATGCTCATAGTACACTTGGAGGCAGCCATGGGGTGCCACGAGTCCATTTTAAAGGCCGGCAAGGCGACTACTACGTGATGGTATGTTGGTCGAGCTTGAGTTCTTGTGTTCATGAAACGATTAGCGGTTTGATACACAGGGATGGTGAAAATGGAGCCCGTGTTTGCTGCAGGTCATGGATATGCTTGGTCCGAGCTTGTGGGATGTTTGGAATAATAATTCAGACACGTAAAGAATTTGTTTTGGAGTTGGAAGTTCATGCCTTTTTCCCCAACATTGGATTTTGTGGGTTGGGAATTCTCGTAATGCTCACCCGATACATTTTTATTTCAGGATGTCGATTGAGATGGTTGCCTGCATTGCCATCGAAGCCCTCTCCATACTGGAGAAGGTGCACTCTAAAGGGTAATGCACCGAATCTTTCCCCCTTGCTTATGTGAACTTGTCTGTTCTCTTGTGGGGTTGGCTTTGGAGTCCATTGGTTCCAAGGTTGTTGATCAAATGCCCTACTTGCTCCATGCTATAGGGACCTTGCCTGTATTTAGATTTTGAAGGTCGAGTGTGCCCACTCGGAAACCCCATGTTGTTTAGTATGATGCTGGTTGAGATAGCTTTTCCAATTTATTGATGTTGGTTTTCCAGATATGTTCACGGAGATGTAAAACCTGAGAATTTTTTGTTCGGGCCCTCAGGAACTCCTGATGAGAGAAAGTTGTTTCTTGTCGACCTTGGTCTGGGTAAGTTCAAAACTGTTCTCTGCTGGTAGTCTGTATTATATGTTAGAAATGGTTCTTTCTTTGTATTAACTGTACCTGATGATAATTTCACAATGGGGAACAGTGGGTCACCAAGTTAGACTACAAACTTCTGACCCCCCTTGACGTTCACAGTGTGAAGAGATGTATGCACTGGAATGCAGTTGATTTATCGTCTTAAAGTTGACCAAGGAAATGCTTACAAGTTAAATCATGCGTTTGTTTCAACTTTACAGCTACAAGGTGGCGTGATAATTCAACTGGTTTGCATGTCGAGTATGATCAACGGCCTGATGTTTTCAGGTAAATTCTTGTTTTTGTTCCTTTGATAAAAACAGCTTAAAGACCTTGTAGCGGCCTTATTTTCTTGCCGTGGCTCAGTGCAAAGGTGTGTTCCGTGATTCAGGGGAACAATGAGGTATGCTAGTGTTCATGCTCACTTAGGTAGAACTGGTAGCCGGAGAGATGACTTGGAATCTCTGGCCTACACTCTTGTTTTCCTTCTCCGTGGTCGGTTGCCTTGGCAAGGATTTCAGGTCTGCACCGTTGGATCATATGATTTCATCAAGAAAGTGAATTTTATTGTCTCTAACTGCAGCCTTTTTTAGGGGGAAGATAAAGGATTCCTTGTTTGTAAGAAGAAGATGGCTACTTCCCCAGAAACTTTGTGTTGCTTATTTCCTAAGCCTTTTCAGCAATTTGTAGAGTATGTGGTGAATTTGAAGTTTGACGAGGAGCCAAATTATGCCAAGTATATCTCCCTCTTTGATGGGGTTGTTGGCCCAAAACCAGATATTAGGCCAATAAACACTGATGGGGCTCAGAAGGTAACTTTTGTTGGCTGTTTTGATATGTTTGTTCACTTCATTTATCTTCTTGTATTAATCAATGAATTCGGTCATGTGAAGCTTATTTATCAGGTTGGACACAAGAGGGGACGATTGACAATGGAGGAGGGGGAAGATGGAAAACCATGTAAAAAGATCCGAATGGGAATGCCTACAACACAGTGGATCAGTATCTATAATGCTTACCGACCCATGAAACAAAGGTTTTCCTTGTAAGATTGTGGCACTTACTGCAATGTTCACAAGAAAGGTTATTAATTCTTTGAGCTGTTGCAGATATCACTATAACGTGGCTGACACAAGACTCTCCGAGCACGTTGAGAAAGGATACAGAGATGGCTTGTTTATAAGCAGTGTGGCTTCATGCTCAAATCTATGGGCCCTCATTATGGATGCTGGCACTGGCTTCAGTGCTCAAGTTTACGAGCTTTCTCCTCAATTCCTCGACAAGGTTGGTTTTCATAACAAGTTTATGATGCAAATATGTAGCGAGCAGTATAATGCTGCAATGCCTGTTGGAACTTGGGCTTTTGTCTTCATATTTGTCACTGCAACTTGTAAATGTATAACCGGTTTGATACCTTTTGGCTCGAAAGGAATGGATTATGGAACAGTGGGAAAAGAATTACTATATTAGTGCAGTTGCAGGAGCTAATAATGGCAGCTCGTTAGTTGTGATGTCTAGGGGTGAGTGGCATATCCTTAGTTGCTTCATTTTTATGGTTTCTGATGCCTCTTACCAACACATATCGCTTTATGAAACAGGTACCCAATTCTTACAGCAGTTGTATAAAGTTAGTGATTCGTTTCCTATCAAGTGGATTAATAAGAAATGGCGAGAGGGGTTCTATGTCACTGCCATGGCCACTGCTGGAAGTAGATGGGCTATTGTCATGTCTCGTGGGGCGGGGTTTTCGGATCAGGTCTTATGGCTCTCTATGATTTTCTGCTCCATATAGATTCTCTTACTGTTGAACGTTATGGTTGTTCTGAATGTCGTCTTCACTTGTAGGTCATTGAATTGGATTTTCTGTATCCTAGTGAAGGCATTCACCGCAGGTGGGATAATGGTTATCGTATAACCTCAGCTGCTGCAACTTGGGACCAAGCTGCCTTTGTTCTTAGTGTCCCACGTAGAAAACCAGTAGATGAAACTCAAGAAACCCTTAGAACATCTGATTTCCCAAGTACGCAAGTCAAGGTATATTCCATTTGCCATTCTCTTACAAATTTTGGCTTCTGTGTGTTCCCGCTTGTGGCTCCCTTTTATTTACACTCACCTTCCTATTTGTTCCAGGAGAAGTGGGCAAAGAATCTCTACATCGCGTCAATCTGCTACGGCAGAACTGTCGCATGAACAGCTGAAATCTTAATCCGAATCCCATCACGTGTCTCGTGATTCTTCCACGACATGGAACCAAAGCTTAAAAGAACGATGGTGTCGCCAACATGGATCGGCAAAAACCATGCCATTGCCATCGCTTAGCGTCCAGGGAGCTCGCGCTTGTGTGCACATTCTCTCGGTCGCGAGTCTCGCGCTGAGTTGCATTTCATCTGGAAAGTCTGTATGTATAAAACCGTCGGTGAACAACAGAACCAAGTCTTTGTGTTGAGGGTCCTATGCACAGATCCCTGCTCCATTGTTGATCTGAAGCCACAAGAGAACGGCCTCTGCGGTGAGCTCCGAGCTTCCATTCTCAGTGTCTCTGGCTTCCATGCTCTCTGCCATGAAAAGGCGGGCGTCGTTCGTCAGTTCATCCCCTGTGTTCTTGGGATGTCCCAGTATGATCCAAAAGACTCTGAATGCAGAGTGAACTTTGTATACTCTGCAAGATCATGTATTTGGTCTAGTGCCGGTTTAAGGTCACCTTCTTTTACTATTTTTTGTTTACCATTTGAACTTCTTCTACAACATTTTGTGGGAGGCATGTTCTAGCCATGTATATTTATAAGGCGTGTGCTTACGCAGCTGCAATTGCTTTCAAGAAGCTACTTAGAGCAAAGTGATGATAAAAAGAACAGAATACAAAGAGGGTTTGGCTATTTTCCCCGCATTGCAGATTACAAGCTATTTACGTTACTTGGAAATTGGCGAACTAAATGAGAAAACTGCCCATACCCCCAACTCTCACTCCCTGCCACCGAATTCCATCATGCTTACTCTCTCACAATTGTGGTGTACTCGCGAGTTGGCTCGTCGGTTGACTCATTTTAACTCTGATCCGGCCAGAAAAACGGGATCACACATTCCCACTGATCGACTTGTTACAAGGTTATTGGGTTGAGGTCGCACGGCGTCATTTTATATTAGATGAGATGGGTCAGATTGGTGTACGTCAGGCGTATATTATACGTCAGTTACTACCAGTGTGATATCTCTATCTAGACCATGAATTAAATCGAGTTTGGTGCATGATACTATACCATAACCTCAAATGGATAAACCCCAGGCACCGATTTTCTAAACCCCCCGACCCGAAGTTTGATTTAACGAAAAACAAAAAATGACCGTTGAGATTGGCCGGAGCTCATCTAATTAAGTACATCTAACGGTTAGATCACCTGCTGTATACTATACGTCTGACGTACACCAGTCATTACCTAGATTAGATTTGATATAGTTTATAAATATATAAACATTATTATACGCAGCACGAACCGATTCAACTGGCAAAGCCCACGGAGAATCGCCGCTACCATCCAATTACGATGACTCACGTGTGCCAAAGAAAGAGAATTCGCTTTTAACAAATCAATTATTCCACGGCTCCATGATTACTACTTTTGAATTTTGATCATTACGTTGATCTCTAATTTGTCTCGCTTCATATTTGGTCAGATCCCTATTTATACAATTTCGGGATCCATTACCTTTCTCACAACAACAACCATGGCGGAAGAGATTGATGACGAAACCAACGACAACAAGAAATGGCAGGGCAAAGTCACGGCGAGAGTAACCAAAGCCACCGCCGACCAGATATGGCGGCTCTTCGCCGACTTCTTCCACATCCACAAGTGGTTCCCCAACGTCCCTTCCAGCCGCGGCGTCCACGGCGCCAACGGCCACCCCGGCTGCGTCCGCTACTGCTCCGGCTTCTCCATCCCCGCCGCCGGCGAGGCGGCGGTGAGCTGGTCAAAGGAGAGATTGACCGCCGTCGATCACGCCCGGCGGTTTCTAAGCTACGAGATCGTCGATTGCAACATTGGGTTTGAAGGGTACGAATCGACGGTCGAGATCGTTCCTGATGGGAAAGGGTGCGCGATCGAGTGGGGGTTCACCGTAGATCCTGTGGAGAGCTGGACACTGGATTGTTTGGTGCGGAAGTATGAGTCGGCCCTGGAGGCCGCGGCCCGGAGAATGGAGGAAGAGATTGGATCGGGTTGAGTAAGTGGGCTGGGCCTGCTGGAGGTTCATGGACTCAAAGCCCATTATCTTCCCCATGAGTAATAATAACTGATAAGCTTATGTATCTGTTTACATTTTAACTGGAAAGGAAGAAGTGCTTCAGTTCTTCACTTCTTCTGCAGTTTTGCTGCTAGTTCATACGTATACACAACTATCATAGTGTGGAAGCTAAAACGAAAATATTATGACTGTAGGATAAAAAAAATTTACAGCATGAGTGCGCTCCTAAATCTCTCTAGGATAGCAGCTGTTTGTGCGCTGCTCCACCGTCTGCAAACTAAAAGTCTACCCGAAAGTCTATAAACACACTTATTTTCTTTCAGAAACCAGCAGCTAACTTCGTTTCCATCCAGTCGATGATCTCCTGCGCGATCTCCTCCCTCTCCGGTTCGAAGAGGAGGTCGTGCAGGAACCCTTCGTACAGCCTGATGTCTTTGAACTTGGAGGCGGCTTCGTTGTACAGATCCTGAGACGCTAGAGGGTCGGTGACCCTGTCAGCCGTGCCATGGAGAACGAAGAATGGAACCGTGACGGATTTTATGTTGCGCATCAGGTAGGACGAGATGCGAAGTATCTCGTGGCCCGTTCGGACTCGTATGGGGCCGGTGTAGACCAATGGATCGGAGTACTTGGCCAAGAGTGCTGCAGGGTCCCTCGAGACTGGGATGCCCCTCTTGTTGGCTCCTTTGAACTGGAACCTCGGGGCGACCAGAGAAACAATGGGAGCCACAGCCTGGAAACGAAACGAAACGAGAAGAATCAAGAACTAGTTCGTTCCAACGACGAGCTGTTGGGAAATGTCGAATAAGGGGATCTTATAAACAATTCTGCATCAGACATCTTTAGCATATTTGTAGTTACTTACCGCAACGATTGGATGAGAAGGCTTAACACGCAAAGCAGGCGAGGTTAGCACAATCCCCTCCACCATCTCTTGAATGCGAGGATATGACGCTGCCTGCATAACCAAATATTTTTCTCCATCATTCAACAAAAATTCCAATCTCCCGTGTAAGTATACCATACGGTAAACTCAAAGACGGGTTATTTTACCTTCAAAACCACAGCTCCTCCTGTTGAGTGACCAAAAAGGAAGCACGGTACTCCAGGGTTCTCAGACTTTATCTTCTCCAAGAAAGCCCCCTGTTATACACAAGGTGTTACAAAAACCAATCCTCCACAGTCTAGGAGTAGCATGAAAAGTTCCCATTATGCCAGGATTTCAATGGCATCCAGCTAATCTGAAGACTTCACACTTAATCACGTTCTAAGAGCAATTGAAACTGCAATGCCAGGATAATTGAATGTGCATAAAGAGTTTGCGAAAAATACATGCTTGAAGGAGTTTACAAGGACTGATAAAACCAACTTGACACAGGGTGATCACAACTGAACTGAATGCACATTAGAGGGAACACTGAACTTACAGTATCTGCGACGACATGGTCGAGAGAAGGAACGTATCCGTGCAACCCATCGCTCCCACCGTGACCTAAGCCATCAAAGAGACAAATGGAACAGCTAATCTAAATGAAGAGCTTCTAACTTCTAAGTGTTCATCTTCATTCTACTGTCGCACAATGGGAAGAAGAGTTGCGTACCTATCCAGTCCATAGCATAGACTCCAAAGTTCGACGAGGTTAGCTGCTTCGCAAAGTGAGCATACCTTCCACTGCGCATTACACAACAAAACCAGGCAAGAGAAGTACCATTAATCACAGACTTCCAATCTTTGCATACTAATGAGAGAATCAAAGTTGCTAAATCAGGAAAGCCAATAGTTACCCGTGCTCATTAAGCCCATGGATGATGACCAAAATTGCCCTGACATCACAAATTCCATTCCTCAGTACAGGTAAGCATGGAGAAGAATACATGGAAAGCTAGAAGCCAAAACTTGTTCACCCTAAACATGCATTTGATTTCTCCCAAACACGACGAATGCTTCCTTCTTCTTCTTTTTTTCGATGAATAAGGTTTTTATTCATCAAGAAAGAATGGTTAAGAATACCATTCTAACTGGTAACCAATCCACAAGTACAGACTGATTTCAGAACCTATACACAATGACGAACTGAAAACCAGATTACAGCAACAAAAACAGCTTGAGAGTTCAGACTATACTATTTATGTCAGCTTCTGGAATGGAATGCTTCCTTTTTCCGCATATAGAAACATGAAATTCAACTGAATCGAATCGCAAAAGAAAAGAGATTCATCCAATCACGGGGGGGAATCAGAGCCCTAAGATCATAGTTTTGCAACAAACAAAAACAAAACGAACCCTCCAATTCCAATTTCAAAAAAAAATCAGGCGAAAATGAAAACGCAAAATCAAACAGCTGAGCATCAATCAGGACCCTTCGGAGAGAGAGAGTGAGAGAGAAATCGAGGAAACCTTACTTCAAATCGTCGTGAAGCGGGAACCAGGAGCGGCAGAACAGAGCGTTCCGTTTCACGCCGAAGAACAACGAGGTGCTCCACCGGCACCGAGTGTCACCGTCGACGGTCATGTCGATGACCTCAGCAAGGGCCCTCCTCCGCAAGGTGTCCTCCTCCTCCAGCCTCCACATGGATCGCCGCTTCGACGAATTGACGGCGGAGGAGGAGGACGAATCCGCCGACGTAGAAGGAGAAGGTCGGCGGCGCGGGAAGAGGAAGATGAGGATGGCGAGGAAGATCGATTGGACGAAAATGAGACATCTCCTCAGGACTCTGAGGATCGGGATGATGCGATTGCTCGCACCGGACGTCAGGGGTTCCATCTCCGCCACCGTCGACATGGCCGAGACGGAAGGGGGAAAAAAAATCGAAAAAGTCTCAAACAATAAAAAAAAGACGAAAATGAGAACGGAGAGAGAGAAAGGGAAAAGGAGAAAAAAAAAAGAATGGGTCTTAAAAGCGCGCAAAATATTAAATAGGGGAAGAAAACGATGCTTGCCTGCCCCGAGTCCGACCCGGCCATTTTAGTACGTTACGGTCCACAAAATTAATAACGGACAATTATTATAAAATTGTACGTCGTCCACGTGGCGAGTCCTGATTGAGAGCTACGTGGGGCCTGCTGCAGTGATCGACGGTGGAGATTAACGTACGAAAGGCGGGAAGATGACGTGATTACGTGAAGAGGTTACAAAACGTCGCGTTTCATTTATTTATTTCAGTTGGCCGAGTCACTGAGTCAGCGGACAGGTCAGTTGGGCAATCTGCCTTCCCGCGCCTTTCGCTAACAAAATCGGAGACTTTTTTAAATACCATAAATTGGAGATTTTACGAGATTTCATGGAAAGATCAATAATTGACATTTTCACCTACTGAGTTATTAGATTAAATTCTTTAGTTGTTATTAATTATTATTCATCTTGAGGATGCTATTTCTTTTTATCCGATCCTTTTCTTTATTTGCTAGCTGAGAATTAAAAATCTTGGATATGGATTAAGGATTATTCCCTTCTTCGTCTAATTCGTTTGATAGAGATGTTATTTAAACCGATAAGTTTGAAAAGCTATTTAGGATTGTATGCTACGATTTTTACATTTCGACAGCTAAACATGCTAGCTTGCGATGGGACGGAGGATTATCGTCAGTCAAATTAGCCACGTATGTTTTTTAAGTTAATTTTTCTTAATCACTTAGTCCTAATAAAAAAAATTGTTTTTATAATAGGTAGAATGATAGCTCATTTTCTTACGGCCCACTACATTCATAAAGCCCAACGAGATCCACAAACAGGCCTATAATTTCAACCGGGCTCGTTAAAGCCCACTAAAATCAACGAAACTCACCCAGCCCGCGTTACTAACGGAAGGGGGCAGGAGAGTCACGTGAGAGTACTGCTGCTGACCACGTGTTCGCCTATAAAAACAAGGTGGTCGGCCGGGAACCCGCCGGCGAGCAGAGTCTTACAGAAAAAGAGAGGCGTCTATAAATCAAATATCCCTTCCCTGAGATCCGTTAGCCAAAAGGATTAATGTATGAATTGATCACCGGAATTTTGCTTTTCGTGACACGATTGCAGAGTTCTGGTACGTTAGATAGAGATGGAGCCAAATCCAATCCCTCCACATTTACTCACATGCTCGCCTGACAATCCTCCCCGGCGCCATCTCTGTCACGTGCGATTACCGCACCCATGGTATGGCGAGTTACTTTCTACTAGTGAGAGGAGGAGTGACAATCATAGAATGGAGATATCTTACTCCCCGAAGTAAATAACGGCGGCTGCCGCCGGCCACGCCACCGCCGCCTCCATCGCCATAAATTCACCGCCATCTCATCTCTTTCAGCTTTTGCAGCAGGATATGTGCATTGTTCACCGCCTCAAGTTGTTGAGAAATGTCCCGACGTGAATTTGATACTATCGATTACACTATACTTGTTGCTATGAATTGAAGATAGATTAGTCGTTGTCGACTAGAATGATACGGTATATGGGCTGATGCACGTTTTGTTTTACTGTTTTGGGTATGTTCGGTCTGTAACCTTATGGATAGGCCGTCAGGAAAAATCGTTATATGTACTTTCCGAGTCTCTATACTCTGTATCTCATTAAGGGGTCGTTTGTTTGTGGGATTTGGGTGATGGATTTGGAACCCAAATCCCAAGCATCATGGAGTTGACACAAATCCTTTGTTTGTTGAGGGGACACATATTCGTGGGGTCCACGGATTTGGACCCCTTTTTTAGAACCAAATCCGTGGATCCCACGGATTTGTAAATCCCACATTTCATTTTCGATTTGACAATAGAAAAATGTGAGACAAATCCATAATAAAAAATCAACTAAACAAACAATGTACTCTTCCAAATCCATGATGCAACAAATCCATCATAAATCCAAAGGTTTTTAAAACTCAAAACCTTCATTTTCAAATCCAACAAGCAAACGGGCCCTAAGTACAGTGGGTGAATCGGATCTCTTCTAAATCCTGCCTGTGATTTAGTTAACATAAATTGTATTAATGAACGACGTAAATCCATTGTGATTTTTCTGTTACTACGATACTCTTACCCGGTTCTTACTTTCTACTGCCCTGCTTCTCCTTCATCCTTCTGTCACCTGCTGGATGTGTTTTGCTACGTGAGCTCAGAACCGACATCCAACACAGTCGCAGTTAATCCCGAGAAATCTGTTAAGATTAGTGGAGAGCAGAGAGCAAAGGGCAGGTGGTAATTTGATTTATCTTTTGTATTCATGTAACGTGTAAATGCAGGCCGTCGTGCTCACTGGTGGATGGTGCAGCGGATTGTGAGGTTAATTAATGTAAATTATATGAATTGAGATAAATTAATTAACGTAGGAAGCAGCTGGGAGTGTCAGGTGTTTGTTTGTTTTTTGTCCTTCCTTTTCCACGTCTTAATTACCCTCTTTCTCTAATTAATTAAGAACCTAGGTCACTAATCTTTTTCAAGTGTAAAGAAGAAACCTACGAGTTGGGGGAAAGACCGAAAGAGGAATAATGTAAATGTTAAAAAGTGAATCGAGCTAGTTGCCGATGCAATGAAGACGACAACATCAATTTGAATACACATTCAATTTTAAATTTCTGGATCGATCGATTGATCGAATAACATGAGAAGATGGGAACAAGACGTACACATTTTTTATTCACAAATCGAGACATCGTATTCCCTGCCTTTCGTAAACATGGCTGACAATGGTTATGAGTCAAGGTCGGCTGAATTTGTGTACCCAAAACATGGTTTCCTAATAGAGTTGCGGAATTAGAAGTTATGGTTGAATTCGGTCTGAAGTTGCAGACTTTGGTAGGTTCGAGTGCAAAGGGGTGACCATGCCCATAGATAAGGGTAGAATATCGGTTCAACCGAGTCGTAGCGTTCTCAACCCAAAAAAATGACTCACAAGTCAAAACATTTTTTTCCTGAGAAATGTGAACCAAATTGTCAAGAGCGCTTTAATGATTTTTTGATTTTCTCTTAGAGCTTCAAATCAAGACCAGCAACGATTTTAATTGAAACCGATAAACACAAAACGACTTCGAGCTTGAAAGCACCTTCACCTTTTATTTTTTTTTATCAAGTTGTTCATTTCTCTTTTTTTTTTTTTTTTTTTGTATTTCTTACAGTGAGTGACTTTTGGGAATGGTGTTAATTTTGCGGGTTATTCACTTCACCTTTCCTCGTCAAAATGGCACCTCCATATTTGTAGCTGTCCTCCCCTGTCCCCCTTCTAACGCAAACCCAAAACTTCCCCTCTCTCTCTCTCTCTCTCTCATCACTGCCTACAACCTCGCTTTCCTTTCTTCTTCCTTCCCTTTCCTCCATTGCTCTCTCTCTCTCTCTCTCTAACTCACTTTCTTCTTCACACAACACCCAATTCCCTCTCCACACTCCACTCTCCCTCCCTCAAATTATACCGGGGAAGAAAAAAAATTAGACAGGAAAAGGGGTAATGGAAGCACCAGAATTGTACCAATCTAACAATGGCGGAGGAGGAGGATTCTGCGCGGCTAACGAAAAGCAGCACTCTAGTATTGACAATTCCAAGCCCAGTAATGGCGGTGGTGGTGGAAGTGAGCATTTCGTCGTGGAAGACCTCTTGGATTTCTCCAACGAGGACGACGAGGAGGAGGAGGAGGAGGAAAACGACGCCGTATTGACCGCCGACTCCTCCACCGTCGACAACAGCTGCAATTCCTCCTCCGGCTCCGACCCTCCCGCTCCTCCTCTTCCTCCGGCCGCCGCACCTTTCTCCGACTCCCACTTCTCCAACGACCTCTGCGTCCCGGTAATTAATTCAATTTAACCCCATGTTTTTTTTAATTAAAATTGATTCTTCAATAGGTTCAATATTTCTTCTGTAATTGAGCGAGACCATTAGCGATAATTCGGATTTGAGCGTAATTAATTGTGTTCTCTTTTTTATTTTTTGTCCTTTTCCGGTGACCGTACAGTACGACGATTTGGCGGAGCTGGAATGGCTGTCGAATTTCGTGGAGGAATCGTTCTCCAGCGAGGAACTGCAAAAGCAGCAGCTCATCTCCGGGATGAAATCTTCATCCCACCACGCCGCCGGCAGCAATTTCGTCCCCGAGAATCCCACCGCCGGCAACAACAACAACAACAACCCCATTTTCACCGCCGACGTCTCCGTCCCGGCGAAGGCCAGGAGCAAGCGGTCCCGCGCGGCGGCGTGCAACTGGGCGTCCCGCCTCCTCGTCCTCTCCCCGTCTTCCTCCACCTCCTCCTCCGCCGCCGACCCGCCGGAGCTCACCGTCGCCCCACCTCCGCCGCCGTTGCCGCCGACGGCGGCCACGGCGTTTTTGCACCAGCACCCGGCGATGATGATGATGGGGAAGAAGACGGTGAAATCTACGACGCCGAAGAAGAGAGACGGCGGCGGCGGCGGAGGCGGAGGGGGGAGCAACGGCGGCGGGGAGGGGAGGAGGTGCCTGCACTGCGCCACCGACAAGACGCCGCAGTGGCGGACGGGCCCAATGGGCCCGAAGACGCTGTGCAACGCGTGCGGGGTCCGGTACAAGTCCGGGAGGCTGGTGCCGGAGTACAGGCCGGCGGCGAGCCCGACGTTCGTGCTGACGAAGCACTCCAACTCGCACCGGAAGGTGATGGAGCTGCGGCGGCAGAAGGAGATGATGATGCGCGGGCCCCACCACCACCACACGGTCAATACGACGTCGTCTTCCCATCATCATCATCAGCAGCAGCAACCGTTCTTCCACGGCCATTCTCATCATAATCACCACCGTCAAAGCGTGGTGTACGACGTCGCATCCAACGGTGGCGGTGACGATTACTTGATTCACCAACACGTGGGCCCCGATTACCGGCAGCTCATTTAGCGGGGGCTTTTTTCTCTTCACTCTTTTTTCTTTTAATTTTTTGTCTTAAAAGGGTAAATTTAGGATAGGCGAGAAACAACAAGTCACGGAGTTTAGTGAGTTTCGCTTAATCTTCTTTTTTTTCTCCCCCGCATTCTAATTTTCTTTCTATATTTGGTTTAATTTTCTTGCTTTTTTTTTGGGGTTTTGCCTAGCATTTTCCAAAAAAAAATTTCTCAGACTATACACGAGTTTTGCCCTTGGTGATTTTACGTAATGAGGTTAGCTATTTGCATGCAATTAGTTTTTGTTTGGTTGTTTATTATAGTGCATGGCAATTGCGAGTTGTCAAATGAAAAAGCATGCTACGGATTGCGATGTGGGCTAGTGAGGTATAGATAGATGATAGCATCAATAAGAAAAAAAATCAAGGTTTCAATTGACTTGGATATCTGGGAGTTGTCGTTTTAATGTATGCGTATCGCACCAAATCTCGAGCAAAAATAGTCTTCTTGTTGGAATCAAGCTTACGAATGAGTGACGGTCTGACAAACAATATATCATCTCAACAGCAAATTACTTTTGTTCCGTCGCCAATTGGATTCCAAATTCCATGGCAAGATCAGCTCCGACCATCTCCGCACCCCGACCAGTTCCCATTGAGCTCGCCTCTCTCTCTCTCTCTCTCTCTCTCTCTCTCTCTCCTAAAGAAAACGACCGGCAACATCACCATATCTCGCACTTAATAAGCAATCAATCGACAACATAAGAGTGTCGTCGCGAGAATTCAAACACGAGCACTCTCAAATAAAACGCATTGTTGCCGATCTGTTGATAATATCCAGCTGGTTCCAATAACTCGAGAATCACCAGAAGAAGCAGGTGAGCAACTGGTCTGAACAAGACAAGTGATATAGAAAGATTCATATTCGAATCTCTCCCAACATCTCAACTTACTGGTATCGACCTAGTTCTTGACGATATATGGGTTCGTCCCCATTAATATTGAGGGTGGATGTGGCTAGAGGATACATACTCACCCCTGCATTTTGCCAATATGCCAACCTAAACTTGCATAAATATGCATATGATATCAACATAAATTTCAGTGCAAAGACTTCATATATGAGTTGTTGGTAATGAGAGGTGGCCGGTGGGCTGATTGATGGGATTGGATTGGGATCGTTCATATCCCAGAGAATGTTAGAAAACCAAAGAGGTTTTTGCAGCTTATTGTTTCCTTCCTTTTACTTAAGTTTGTTGCATGAATTTCCCCAAACTCCATTTACAAGTTCGAGGGAGAAAGATAACATATATACAAATTTCCCAAATATTAATCTCATTTTTCCCTTCTTTACACTGTAAAATAAAACATAATATAAACCCTAACCCTAATTTTTTAATTGGTGATAAAATTGATTACGATAATATAGCACATTGATGCACGATCCTATGCAGGCTCTACAGTACCACTCTACACTGATCCAAAGACCTGCACTGCACTGCACACAAGCAGGCAAGTAGATTATAATTTTGTATAAATGATTAGTATTCAATTAATTTTTTTTATCACCAACTTATTATTTATTTAATTAACCCCCAATGTGGAGGGGAAGCAAAATTTGCAGTGCTCACGTGTCCCTTTGATTATCAAACTTAATTAATTAGTAAAGAAAGGGAGGGTTTAAGCTTTAATGTGGTCTCTCCATGCAGAGGATCACGTGCTTCCTCTCACTCTCAGTCTCAGAGCGATATTCATGGGTCATGTTTAAAAGATAAACCCAAAAAGTAAGTAAATAAATAAACAGAAGTAAATGTTTTGATTAATTAATTCATTAATTAAGCAAAGATTAAGGGTGGAGTCGGTGATTGGCCTATTATTAATGGTTAAATTGAAAAGTGGGGTAGAAAAGAAATTAAAGTAGAGAGAGAAAGAGGGATGTTAGGGTTAGCAGAGTTAGCTTGTATTTTAGTCAAAGGGTTTTGGTTCTCTGAGCAGCTTTCATGTGAGGCCACTGATCTGCAGCAAAGCTAGCTAAGATACTAATAAGTGGGCAGAGCAGTGGCAGGGAGCAGCAGAGGATTGATTCTTATTCCATCCATGGAGGAAGGAAGGAAGGAAAGAGGGTGTTGCACAAGCACCCAAAATTCCCCCCACTTCAAATACCAAGTTAAAAGTTACTCTACCCAAGAGAGGTTGATGAGTGATGATGATGGTGGAGTTGTTCGATTCGAGTTGTTGTGGAATGTTTTTTTTTGTTATGGGTTTCATGTATCTTATCAGTAGTCGTCTTCTCAGATAGATATAGTCAATTTAGTTCTGGGTTCGAAGTCATATTATGTGTCGGTGTTTAGATTGGTTGCGAAGCTAGAAGTCTTGATGAGCTAGCTAGCTAGCTAGATACTGGGAATATTCGCGACCATGCGAGAGAGATATCTCTGTAAATGAAGAATTTCGCATTTTATCGTGGATCGAATTGTTGCATTGGAGATTTGGAGTTTCATGATCTCACGTTCTTGCTAGAGTTTAGTGATCTACGGTATATGGTTGTACCAACCGACAACCCATCTTCCAAACATTGGTGGCTCGTCATACAAGGAAATCAGATGTACGAAAACCATATTCACACTTGAACATATGTTCAACCACTTAAGAAACTCATCATGATGAACTGGTGAATTATTCGATATGACATGATATCAAAATCTTTATTGAAAAATCTCGTGTTTAAATCTTCACGATCCTGTCAATATCGGACGGTTATGTTAACCACTAATTATAGTAGGAGCAACCTTCATGGGTTGATTCCCACTTGGAAGGGGGTTGTAAAAGGATTTATTTATAGAACTAGGAAAAAAAGTACAAGAAAATAGTTTTTTTTTTATAACTAACTGAGAGAGAGCTTGAAAAGGAGCTGTCATGAGAAAAGGATAGATGAGAAAAGCAATTCCACTCTCGGCCCGACTCCTCCAGACAAACAAAAGCAATTTCACGTCAAGATTTTGCCCCCTTTTCCCAATCCGAGAAAAAAGGCAAAAACATCTAAAAGCACATATATCAGTAAACTATAAACATAATTGCATTTGCATGCATGAGAGCTTCCCAAAGCACAGATGCATGGGGGAGGAATGCACTTCCATGTGTCAACCAAAAGTGCTTGTCCCCTCCTTCTCTTTCTTCTCAGGACCATCACTTGACTTACCTGCAATTACCAGTACTTTCACCACACAAGAATTGCCTAGACATGGCCACCATTGAAGGACAAGGTAGCTTAGTTAAGTAAGAGGAAGTACTGGGATGTTCTGGGTAGCTGATATGAACTGTGAAGTGCAGGGTTGATCATGGAAACAGCAGAAGATTGGAGAAGATACCAGAGAAAGGTCAGGGAAACCAGAGTTAATATCATGGTGGCATTAGGACATTTACCTCTTAATCTCACCTAAGTTGGTATATGAACACAACAACTTCCCTGCCCCCATGCCTTATCTGTTCCTTGTTCAATGACAGAAACTCAAAGCAATGTTGACAATATGGCCATGCATTGTTGCCTCCTGATAGATAATGAGAAGAAATGAAACCAACCACCCAGTCGTTTTTGGCTAGTGTCAGGCCAAGAACTGCCCATAAACAATCAATGGCAGATACAGATGAAAGAGAGCAGCAGACAGCTTCATTTCTCTACCAGTGATGTAGTAATAATGGGTATGATGCTATTCCTATCCAAAAAATTTGAATTCGGTACAAGGGATGTGACAACAATCCACAAAAGTACAGCAGCAGAGTCACATCCAAGATTTTTATTGTTACTCCTGTGAGACGAAGACGAAACTCTCTCGTGACAGAATGTGAGTTCAGAACGAGATGTGTTCTTCGTCTGACTTGGTTCGTTATCGAGGCACGCTCAATCCCAGCTCTGCAAAACAATTTGGAAACAAAATGCCATCTTAAGAGTGGCAAAATTGGCATCACTTATTCACTTGAAAATGTTCTAATAGAGGCAATTAAAGAGCATATGATGATTAGAAACAAGTTTCAACAGAATGCTCTAGCAATCAAGTCGAATCATATGTTTAATAACCAGAATAAGATACAAATTGATAGTGAATAAGATGAGATAAGAGTCATAGTGATCTGTTTGGTCCATTCACTAGGTAACTCTAATAATCAATCCCCCCGATGCTGTGGACTGGATTAGACAAGAGAAGTCTTACTGGGTTGAGAATCAGAAATTGGCCATTTCAATGGTAAACTGTAAGATGAACCTCTCAAGACGCTAGTTCCAGTTTATGTAACGTTTTAAGGTGTTGGGAAGAAAGAAAATTTTGAAAATTTCATAATCATTCAACTTCGAAAATGAAGAGAATTCAAAGATAGACTATAGGGCCAACGACATGACAATGGCCTCATCTCCAGATAAAAACCAAATTACTCAACTGAATAGTGTATACAATTTGAGAACTGATACGACATATAGGTAATGATGTACCTAGTTTATGTCTTGCCAAAGAGCACACAGTATGCTTTCGAAGGAATTACTACAGAAAAAGCAAGACATTATCGACCTGATGCAAATCCCCAGCATATCCATTGAAGATAAGTTATTTGGCTGACCCTATGCACTCCCGTATGCACAATTGGAAAAGGAAACTGTCAGCCTGTCAGTAGTCTGATATGATAGCCCCTATCTATCTTGTGGTTCAAGGAGATATTTGAAGTGTTGAACGGTCGAGCAAAGTAACCTTACTGCTCCAAGTTAAGATAATCTAAACCTCGAATAAGGAGGCATCCGAATCAGTATCATCTATCTGTTTCCCAAAGGCTCTCTCTACTGACCCATAGCGATCGCGTGATGTACAAGTTACGTATCGAGTGAAGGACCATTGTTGCACTCTTGTAATGCCCCTCCTGAAGTATCAAATGCACCATTTCTCTCCTCACTTAACAACTGCAATTCGCCAGTTAATTGTTGTGGTTCGTGGCATTTCCTATCTAGCAGTAAGTTAGTAGGAGAGGGGGGGGGGGGGGGGGGGGAAATGGAAGCACAGAGATGCAATTCAACTGCTTTCAAATACGAGCACGAAGTAAACAACACAAGGAAGTGAATGGAAGAGTAAAAAGTTGCTTACAGATAACCAACACACAAAACATTTGGGAGAGATTTATCAAACTCCTGGGTTCGCACTGCAGAGCATACCCTGAGACAACGACCGCGAGCTGGTGGAATCGATGCCGAGGCACGACGTGAGACGAGCTGAAGAGACCGCGGAGTGAAGCGGGAGAAGCGATTGAAGAGCACCCAACTGAGCAATCGGCCTGAGAAATTGGACAACCTCTTAAAGTTTCAGTATTTTGTGAAAACTCCGCATTCAATTGAAATGGGCGGACGCTAGATTTTGACCTGGAGAATGTGGAAGAAGGGCGAGCTGGGAAAAGAGAAGCGGCCGAGGTGGGCGTGGGTTTGACGCCGGCGGGCTTGTTGACCGCGTGTTTGAAGAGAGATACCGTTGATTTTGAAAGAGCTCTGTAACGAGTCGCCATTGATGCCCGAAGGTGAAGACCCGGGAAAGGAGTAAAGTTGGCGACTTTATTAGGGTTTATGCGGGAACAGAATCAATCAACGGAAGTTCCAGATTTGGGGAAGAAAGGGATTTTTGCGGGCTTTTCCAATTTTCCCGTCACCATGAAGCCGGCTAATGATAAAACGGCAGCGTTTCCGCAAGGGACCAACCAATCACCCATTTCCCGCCAAGTCCTCAACCCAATAAAAAAAAACAACTACTAGTCTACTACTAAACTTTGATCAAATCCGAAACTCCAAACTCTAACAATCACCTTTGTCGATCGTAACAAAAAAAAAACTACACATTTCTCAACCATCCATCTAGTCCAACAATTTACCCATTGAAAACAAAAAACTCCAAACTCTCACAATCACCTCGGCGAGCTGCTCACCGGCGAATCGGCCATCGCTCTGTTAACCTCCACCGCCACGTGGCTCATTCCACTCTCCTCCAACACGTCTTGTTAGCTAATGTTTGTTTCTTACTTATGAATCACGGGTCTCTCGTGTACTTTATCGATGTGGGATTCACCTAAATTATTACACTATACTATGATATTTGCAATAATATTCATATAATATTATTAAGGTAATCAATAGTTGTTGTGAAACTGTATTGGCATTTGGATAGTAAAAAACCCCACCTTGTATCATAACTAGAATTGATAGATGTAGTTTAATGTGGCATGAAGGGATTGAACTACAGTTAATTTACAGTTTCAGCACAAAATACCGTAACACTCACTTTTTCACATTGATTTCTTTAACCTTTCAAGATCTATCATCATGCGAATAGAAGTTTGCAAACCTTTGGAGCCCAAGAATCATCTTTGGTATAATTTTCATTATGGTGGATGAGAAGGAAGAGAGATGGCATGAAGAATAATGAGTTAGGGTTGGCTCATCAATGGGGTGGGTTTGGCCGTTTGGGACCCAACAAGGCATTAGACTAATCCATAACAAAACTTACGAATTAAATGGAGTAATTATTTTGTTTTACTTTTTTTATAAGGGTGTTAAAGATATATTTATTTTATTATAAGGTGCTATTTGAGAGACTTAAATTTAAAATTTACAGGTTAAAATTATTGATAGTTGTACTACGAGTACCACTAGACCAAATCATTATTCACGAGTAATTATTTTGTTACGAAAAAAGGTAATTCTGTGATTAATCTATTGTGTTTTTTAGATTGAGTGACCATGTCAATACATTCATCAAAATTTATTGTCTAACCCATATGTCCCTTAGATAAGAGAGGAGATCTCATGCATAAATATTCTCAAGGCTAAAATATAAAGTGTACATTTCGTTTATTTTAACCTAAATTCCAAAATTTTAACGAAATATGTCTTGTCCTGATAATGTCATCCACATCGACATATTTTGAAGCTAAAACATAAACATTAAGTGACACATTTTTAGTTATATCATGGTGGTGCAAAATATTATATCATGGTGGTCATCTCTGTTTTTTATACGAGTATTGTCATCTTTTGTTACCATCATATAATTCTCATAAATTAACAAAGCCATCATACCTCTATTGGAGCGAATTGTAACAGTGATTGATCGTTCAAAACTTTAAACGTTGTACAAAGCGGTAACAAAAGTTTGAGCTCGCATGAAACGGCCACTCTGTTCAATTTGTGACCGTTTTGTTCTAAGTACAAATTTTTATCACCGTATTGTTACAAATAAAATGTTTGTAACCGTTTTGTACTAAGTGCAAAAGTTTGTGAATATTTATGCTAACTACCTATTTATCATCCTCTACCACCATGATAGAAATTAGAATTTGATATAATTAGCCTCATTAGCGGTAGATTACAACGAACAAATGTTAGAGAGTGGTAAAAGATCGTAACTTGTAACGGGTAGCTCGGGTTTTTTTTTTTACTTGGAATATTATCCAAAATAATTATTATTTTGTGGATCATGTATAATGATTCTCCGTTATCAGGAAAGAATTTAAGAGAAGGCCGTTTCCTTTTTAACAGTCAACAGACGGCGCCGGTTAGCTTCAATTTTCCCTCTTCCGACTTCACTCAGACAGTCTAAGTCGCCGACTTTTTCCTCGCCAAAACCCCGCCATCCCTAAACCCTAATTTCGCAATCTCCGTCTACAATGCCGGGACTCGCACCGGCCGATTCCGCCGGCGGGGGGCCCGACTCAGTTAACGGAGCACTCGTGCCTTACTTGCCAGATTCTCATGTCTCAGCTATATACCCGCTCCGACACGGTCTGAACCCACCGATCTCCCGCGTCTCCGTCTCATGGGGCCGCGGCAACTCCCTCCGCGTCTCAGTTTTCCGGCAGCCGGATTCCGACGGAGGAGAAGTCGGCGGTAAAGTAGTGGAGTTGACTCTCGGCAAAAGCAGGGACGGCGAGATCAGTGACACTCAGTGGCGGAAAATCGCGTACGGCTCCGTCTCCCCCTTCGCACTTCTCCAGAGCCGGAAAAACTCGGCTGCCAGCTTGTCCAGGATGCAATTGTCTCCCTCTCCTTATCACCTTGAGTGGTGAGCTCCGTTAGAAAAGAATGCAAATTGTGTTTTCCCCCTTTGTTTGTTATTTGCTTCTCTGATAGCTGGAAACACAAAATGCCGAGTTTCAGGTGGGAGTATGTAATGGAGTACAGTAAGGACATAAGCGCGCTTCTGGGGGATCCCAAATCGGTTGGAGCTCCATTGATTGAAGATCCGAATGAGGTTTTTATAAAGGTAAGCTCTTTGATTCAGTGTCATTGCTAGATTAAGAATTGGTTCGCTAAGAATAATGAGTTATAGCGAATTTGAATGGTGATGGTTTGTAGAAAAGTGAGGAGCCAAGCAGTTTGAAGGCAGCATGGGAGCTGATGGAAATGTTCTATGTGGATAAGTTATCTCAAGCATGGTTGCCTGAACGGCTTGTTGATTGGTTAGCTGTAATAAGTCTCTTTTGAACTCTTTCTCTTTACTATCTCCAAGTTTGACATGAATATTTGGTTGTGTGATTCTCATGACTGGTTTTATGTTCCAGGATTATGATAGCCTTATATCTGTCGATCTGCCAACTGTTCACTCGAAGCTTGTGGAATTTCAGAGTAAAATCGTCACCTTACAGGTTTACTTCTTTTTTCGCAATTCTGTCGAATTTCTTTGATTTCAAAATGCAGCGTGGAAGCTACCACAAGCCAGCTTTGTGAAAGAAGTCTATAAATTTGGGGTCTTATTTTGTTTGTGGTATACATCTTCGTGTCTTTGGTCTATAGCTATTAGATAAGTGATTTAATGTTTGTTCCGTAGGTAATTGAGGATGATCCCAGGTATTGGGACTTGATATCATCAGCACTAGCTGTTGGATGGTTGGAGATTGTGGTAAGTATTGTTATCTCATTGCAATTTATGCTACGGGGGAAAACATAATGAATGGCCCAACTGGACTAAGTTTGAGAAATTTTTTACTCAAGCGTTTCACTTCCAGGTGAAATTATTGCGTTTGCATGGATCTTATCGACTGGATCAACTTGGGAGAAGAGAGGTTTGGAGCCATATGTCCATATTCAGCTATGCAATGAACATCGTCTGCTCTTCGTCAGTTCATTTCAATTCTAAATGAAGGTGGGTTAAGAGAGCTGATGAGTTGCTACGTTTGTTTTGCATGTCACTGAATATAGACAGAAAATGGTCTCGTAGAGGCTGTTGCTGTTCTAATTTCTAAGATGCCACGCATGCGTCCAGCTATAGATGCTGGAAAACATGGTGAATGTTTTAAAGCGAAGCCTGACTTTGTGAAGGTAAAATTTTGAGTTTTGGATACATGGAGGCATTATAAACTTTGAAGTATCTGATAATTTTTCCAGTCTCGTTATGCTGACTTCGCATTGCCTTTTGAATTCTCTTAGGCATGGGAAAGATGGCGCGCACAGATAACTAAATTGGATTCTAGTGCATTCTGGGTTCAATGTGATAATCGTCAGACCCGGGAAGGATTGAAAAATGTGCTCCAGATCATGCTTGGAAATGTCGACGTTCTCTGCTCTGCTACTTGTCATTGGATGGAGTTATATATATCGCACTTTCTGTACATAAGACCTTTCACTGCGGTAGGTGTCCTGTGACTTGGCTGTTCGACGAGTTCTCAAGTTCGAAATTTTCATTTTCCTTTTATGCTACATTGTTTTGGTTCTTTTCACTCAGTTCCTGTTTTATGGGTTAGGGTCTTGAAAGCATGTACAGCTTGGCTCAGAACTGTATTCGGTTGAAACATACATCGAATCCCCATAAGTTGATGCGACTCATGATTGGAATTCTGGGGGAGAATAATGAGGTGAGATGTTGGCCTACCCTGTGAATGTAACATAATTGGGCTCAATGGATTGTTTTTGCCTAAAATTTCGTTCATTTTCCCAACTGCTGTAGGTCGTGTTATCAGAATGCTCAAGAGGGTTTGGTACTTGGTGAGCTCTCTTTCTATTCCCTCTAATTAAGGCTGGCAGGCTTCTGAGGCATTTAAATTTTATCTTTAATCATACAGAAGACATAGTAGCATTCACATAGCTTATTTCCCCAAATGAAGAAATGTGTTTTGGGTTTCTTCTACCCGAGATTTTACTCATGTTATTGGAAAAAAGCACATGTAACAGCGGTCTAAATTTGGCGGATCACTTATTGAAGTTTTCATCTCCTTTCACATTTATTAATAGGAAAAAAAAAAAAAACTGTACATCTTCAAGTTACATACTCACTTCCCTCAACCTAAGGTGCAGCCAACTTTATCAGGAGAACTCTTTTGACAAATGTGCTAATCTTTTCACCATGTTCCAGGATGGTGGCCCACGCCATAGAGCTCTTGACTGCTGGGAGCAACGAAGCTGATTTTCTTGTACACGAGGAGCGTGAAAACTTGGGTGGGATCAGTTTGGAGGAACTCCATCGGCTTGTTTATGCTCAACTTCTATCTTCTCATCTATTAACTTGGCAAGTAAGGCAAAACTACTGCCCTGGACAATATTGAAAGCCACATACTGAATTAGAGTTTTATTCATGCAATTCAGTTATTACAGATGCTTAGAACGTAAAGTATTAAAGTTGCACATTTGCAAACTATCCTCGGGAGTCATTAAATTCCTAAGGTTATTGGATTCTTGTCGATCTTCTCATTCTAATGCTTGTCGCTGTCTTGTGTCTGCAGATCGCCCCTATTTATTTAACATCGTGCATGAGACAGGGAATGGGTATGCTTGAGATTTTACTGCTCAAGCAGCCGGTTCAGGAAAATCAAGTGCTGCTGAAGGTAAACCTTTGCATAAACTGTGCCTTTCTAGGCTTTTTGGGATTCCTATACATGTATGCCTGTTTGCAAATCAGTTACACTTATTTGTGCAGAATCTGGAGATTTGTAGGCTCTATGAACTTGATGGTGTCAGCTCACGCCTTATGGAGGTAGGGGGGAAAATGACAGTAATTAATTCTTTCATGAACGGAACATTCTCCCGTTTAATCTTCAACTGTTAGAAGAACAATTATAATGGATTTAGGAATTTCTCTTCTCAACTCTCCTATTACTCTTTTGGCAAATTTTTGAATCCAGATTTCTGGAATGTACCACTGGAAACACGGTAGGAAAGGATGCGCTGTTTTCTGGCTACAGCAGGCACAGGATGAGGTTCGTCTCAGCAAGATTGCTAGCCAGTTGTTTGAATCTGTTGGAAAGTCAATATCTGGAGAAAGCTTCAAGGTAATGTATATCATTGATCTGGTTTCCATACTCAACTTGCCTAGTCTACACTTCTGATTTTTTTCCTTTTGTCCATGCCAGCAATGGGAAGGTCTGATTGAATTGTTGGGTTCAGAAGGGCAGCCAGCTGGTGGTCTCGATTTCCTCCACAAGTATGAAACTTTGCTGTAAACAATAAGTGGTTCAACTTCAAACTTTCTTTTCCCCACCCGCCCGTGATTCTGACCTGTTTATGGGTCACAGGTACAGGGATTTCAAGAAATGCCTTCAGCATGCTGACAGCAAGAAAGATGCAGATGCTGCTCGTCAAGCAGTAGAATCACTTATGTCGGTATGTTGCTGCGATTTAGATCCTGCCCTTGTTTTCTTTTCCCCTCCCTTTGCTCGCTCCTCTGTGGTAGTATTCATTAACGTGGTGTATCTACACGATGTGTGCAGCTAATGAGGAATGCTTCGACGCCTCAGCGTTTCTGGTTGCCCATTCTCTACGATGCCGTGAGCTTCCTATTCTTGTCATTTGTACTGTCATACAACTTTTCGACTACTCGATAACCCTGTATTTTCCGTCTCTAGGTGAAGCTGCTAAGCTGGGATAAGAGGCCTCTTATAAATGTTAGCCAGACGAATCTATTGCTGAATAAACTACAGGAGCTGTCATTGGCAAGACTCCGTCCGGACTTTGTAGAGCCCGAGTTGCCAACCCACGCTCTGAACCATGTGCGATATTCGCTGGCTACGAACCTTGGGCGCGCTATCCTTGAAGAATCATGATCGATAGAAATGCTCTTTATGGAATGGGGAGGGGAAGAAATGTGTTTGTTTCGTGTTCAAGTTCCGACGATTCCCTCGGCCGAGTCAGGCATGTCTGAACATATAATGGCAGATTGTATCAGTTAAATCGATGTAATCAATGAACTGTTCCGTTAATCTCATTGGGTTGATCTTTTGCGGTGAAGTTTGCAAGATTGTCACGAATTGTAGTCCCCACTTACAATAATACAAAGCTAATTAAAGAATGATATATATATTTAATATATATATATAATTACAATACAAACTGTAATGCTATGCCGCCGGCAGCAGGCCGCCGGAACCCAGAAAAAAATCAGCTCACTCAAAGGCAGTAAGACGGGGAAAATGGAAAGCAGTATTTGCAGGCAGTAAACAACAGAAGATCAACTCACTCCTTTCTTCCTCGATCGACCGACTCTGTTCTGTACAAGACCTTCAGCGAGCATATTTCCAAGAACACCACCTGAAGCTGAAGATCATTTGGAGGTTTTCTCGATTTACCTTCCGACGATGGTTAACTAAAGCTTCTTCGGCAAGTTATAGGCCTTCTTAAGAAACTTCGACGCAGCATCATCGTTCCGATAACACAACACGCGAAGAATCGTGTTTGGTTCGGTCGGATCCCACTGCCCAGACGTCGGAGGAAGAGGAAGCCTCGATCTCGCAGCAGATCCATACGCCTCCAGAGTCTCCCTTCTAAACCTCTCAATCAAGCTCTCCGTATCAGTCCTGAACAATGGCAGAACGCCTCTCACCGTGGCTGCAAACTTGTCTACCAACTCGGCAGGTAGGCCATCTCCATTGGCCCAAAACAGATCCTTCAGGGCCTTGAAGTCCTCTTCGATGATCGCCGAGTCCTGACGAGTGAAACCGCGAGAGGGCCCGCCGGCGAGCAACACGAGCAAGAACCCGTCACACGAGGCCCTCATTACGTCGGCAATGACCCGTGTACGAACCCTTTCGTTGACAATATCCGAGATGATCGTCAGGTTTCGCTCGAGCTCCTCAAGGCAAGGCTCGATTCTCGAGGTCGATGGCTCTCCCACGTATAACCCGTCGAATAAGATGTGACTCAGGTCGTGGAACACGATTTTGTAGCCGAGTGACTCGCTGAGCTGCTGGACTCCTTCAACACAGGCGGAGGGTGCGAGCTCAAACTTCTTGGCCAGCCCGTTTGAGAAGTCATGTGCTTCAGCCGACTCCGAGTTCCGGAGGTGGGTTATGATTCGCTTCTCGACGGTGTCCAGCTCTGATCGAATTCGGTGGAGTGTGTTGATACGGACGCATAGCTGAGCTGTCCCAGAGGTGGTGGGGACACCGTTCGTTGTCGTTGCGACCTGGGAGTTTGACCTCTTTTGACCGTTTGTAGTTGTTGATGACGTCTTGTCTTTCTTCTTCCACTGGAACTTGGATCCAGTTTCGCATCTGGTTAGCGCCGGCATGGTTGGGAGGTAAGAGTTCCGGGTTCCTGCGCATGCAGTAGAGAGAAGTGATTAGTTTGCATGGTGGATTCACAATCATTTCTGTGGGGGGATATATACTTGAGTTAGATGTTAAGTAATTACCACAGCCGGATTTGGCCTTGGTTGCGTAGTACTGAAGGCATCTATCGAGCCCTGTCATCAAATCGGGGAGCAAAGCTGGATGCATTGGTATCGGGAGCTGGAAATATGCGTCTAGTGTTTCGTCGATCACACGTAACACTTCTACACCTGATGGAGCAAATCCTTCTTGGCTTGCCTGTGGGCTCCAGACCTGTGGATCACGAATCAAGCTATGAATCCTAAGGGTCACAAATATTCACAAGGCTAGCTATTCAATATTTCAACCATAGATGAGAATTTACCTCTTGTTGTAAGCTTCTGTCGATCCATTCCTTCAATCTGTCGAGTCTCGACTTGATCCACACTTTCACCAAGTTGGCAATCGCAGCTTCAGCCTCATAAGGAGGCATCTCACGAATGATAGCTTTCCCACCATCATCACTGTCCACAGAATCTTCGACAGCAATCTGCACCAGATCCTGCTCCAACTTATCTGCCGCCCTCAGTACTTGTACGGCATCTGGTGTCAGTTCCGTTATCCCAGAAATGAATTGTTTCAACTCATTTCCATAGCAAGCATGCAGTGTGGCTACAGCCAACCCTGCTGAAAATGGGTGCCATCTCTTCAGTATTGGACTAAACACTCGCTTTTCCTTAACTGCTAGCTCACCAACATCTTTGGCAAGGATGGCAAGGATGGGAAGTGGATTCGGCTGGTTCTTGGTTGCTCGTCTGCTCGAGTCAGCCTTCTCCATTCTCTGTTGCATCAGCAGTCAAACACATTTAGTCAACTGACCAACTCAAGAACAGTTAAATCAAACATATTCAGATTATTCATATCATAACGAAGTCGTTAGCCAATGTAGTTTCCCTAAGAAACACACACCTGTAATTCTTACACCTAAAGCTATCACCTTTATGCCTCTAAGGTTGAATCATCTTAAGCTACTCACAGGAAATGATATAACAGAAAGTGACAGCAAATTTAATATCCCCATCTGCTATAAAAGTTTAATATCTATCTCGAGCCTTCTCCTACATATCAAATCTACTGCAGATACAGAAAGGTATAGACTTGCCTGAGCAAACGCAGTACGGAGGGACGACCTGATGTAAGTATCGATCCTACTACGAGCGACATCAACGTCGTTCTTCCTCCTTCGCCGGTACTCATTCGATATATCCTCGACCAAAATCTTCGCAGCAGCAACTCCCAGAGAAACAATGCTCTGCATGGCCTCCGAATTCCGGCTGTCGAAAGTGTCGTGATAAGCAAGCAGCCTCTTCTCAGCCCAACCCATGATCGCAGTCAAAGTGGAGCTCAAGACTTTGGAATACTCCGCATCCTTTGTCGTCTTGGCATCTTTGGCAACTTCCAGCAGCTGCCCATCAGCAGCATCTAGCAAATCCGCTTCCACTTGGCCAGTAGCGACAAACCGATGAAACAAAACCCACGTAAAGCACAAGTTGTGGAGCATTTGATTAATCCCAAGCACAGTCCAAGTCTTCTTTATAAACTCCATGAGCTCGTCCACTTCATCAACGATGGAAGTTTCATCCTGCACATCGAAGCAAGCTTCCAACAGCATTTCGTACAGGCGAAGGTTCAACGGAATCCCATCCGCCCAATGTGCAACGTCGGAAACCGATGATGAGCCGGCGTCAGGTCTGCTAGCGAGAGAGGTCACCGCGCTGCGAAGAATCTGCATTGACTCGTTGTTCCGCCCGGTTTCCATCTGCTTGTTCAGAGCCGAATTGATGATTTGCCGCAGCCGCTGTGAGGTAGGGTTCGACTTGTCGAGCGGAACTCTAGGGTGTGCTAGCAATCCGAGCTCGAGAACTTTGAGAGTCCTCTTCTGCCACGACTCGAATTCTTGATGATCGGTAAAATCCGACGATTTCAGCTGCTGCAGAAGCTCCAGCGGCAGCACCACCGTCTCGATTCGCCGGCCGACCTGTTCAAAAAATCGGCGGATTGGGAATCAGGGAAATCCAAAATTGAAAACGAGAGAGAGAGAGAGAGAGAGTTCAAAGTCAAACATAGATCTTACCTGACCAGCGGAAATCCGCAGCAGAGCTTTCCGAATCCTGGAATCGTCGGCCTCCGACACCCGCATTTGAATCCTCATCAGCTCACCGACCGTCAATGGCTTCCTCGACTTGCCATGACCCGACCCGGACCTGGAGCCGGAGCCTGGGGATTTCAATCCGAGCGCCTTCTTCATCTTGCTGGCGGCGGCGGAAGTGAGCGAGCGCTGGAGTGATGGAGACGAGTTGGAGTTGGAATTGGAGCTGGAGCTCGGGGAGTGAGGCAAATGGTGGTGATTAGGTGAGTCGGTGGCGGCGGCGGCGGTGGAGAGGGGTTTGGCGGAGGAAGTGCGGGTGAAGGCGAGGAAGATCTCGTAGGCGGCGGAGCGGAGGTCGGAGTCGGTGAGCTGGGAGGCGAGCTGGCCGAGCGGGCAGTCGAGATCGGCGGCGACTGGCCTGGCGGACATTACCGGCGGCGGGGGCTGGATTCGGAGCTTCGGCGGTGGCGGTGAAGGAGTGGACTCCCTCCATGATTGGCCCAAGGAGAGGTCTCTGAAGAGGGAAGCCATGGCTGATGGCTTCCTCGGCGACAGAGACGGAAAGAGAGATAGAGAGTGAAAGGGAAAGAGGAGGAAGAAGACGATATAGAATGTAGAGTAGAACACGCTAAGTAGTCGGCAAATAAAAAAAAACAAAAAAAAAAAACAACTGAGCATGATTGATTTTTTATTTTTTTCCCCCTTTTCCAACTAATCTGACTGGGATTAAGGTTGGGTTTGTTTTTTTGTGACAACTAATTCTCGAGGTTCGGTTTTGTAGCTCCAATATGTTTTCGTTATAGCTCGATTTGGTCCGATCAACAATTAATCGCTCTTATAGTTGTTTCGATGTGGTGATGCATGTAGCTATACGAAGAGTTGCATCACTCTCTCTGCTCTTCTCGGGATGCGAATAAGAAATTAAAGAAACTTGTGTAGTCTCGCGGAATTAATTGCAGCTCGGGCTCCCTTCTAATGAAACGTTTCAGGTCTGTTATTGAGTCTTTATGATATAAATGGGTTTTGATTTGTTTTTCTGTCTGTCTCGTGCCACTCTCTCGATCATCTCTTATGTTGCATCCTGATTTTCTCAGTGTTTTGAAGAAATGTCATCACCGTTAACTTTTCTAGTCTTCCTCGATTAATAATTTACTACCATTGTTGCTTTCAAACCTTAATAAACACTTCTTTCCATGGCCTAGAACTTAAAGGACGAGTTACTTCATTAAAAGGTAAAACAAAGCAAAGTCCACCCAACTTGCACCAAACAAAATGTACCTTTAAGTTTTGTTTATATGATATGATCAATCAACTTCAATGGTTTAACCCAAACTTTGGTGGTGGGTTTCAATCATGATTACCAGTTGGCCAGTTGGCCTCGATTTGAGAAGATGGGGAAAGTTGGGGGTAGATCTCTAGTTCTTTGGGATCGGGTTCGATTCGCCTTTTGGATATTCGAGTCGGATTTGGTTCGAAAGAGCGTTTGAGTTTTGCTCGGAGAAGGTTAATTATGAATCTTGTATCACTATTTGAATGCACTTTTCAAATGAAAACCAACTCACAAGTTTGTGTTTGCACCGACTCATCATATATCGGACGATGACG